TTGCTGTTGTTTCCCTTCCAAAAAGAAAAACACCTGCTGTTCTTGCCATTGGATTTGTAATATCCTTTGTTTCATAAATCTTAATAAAGTCTACTTCTCCATTGTCACCTGGGCTTGACACAATTATATGATAGCTATAAATAACCTTCACATCCCCCCAACCACCACTGCCACCAAAAAGGAAAAATCATGCTAACCCTTTGCATCATAGTTCAATAAATGACTGATGGGCTGATGGCTTTATAGGGTTATTGACCATTAATATTTTGCTAATTCAATAAATTTGTTGTACCGTATCAGAGAGCTTGGCTATTGTCATCACATTTTTTCATGTGCAGGTTGTTCTATTAGTGTTGGAAGTTCATGCGCGCATAGCTGAAGAGTCTCATCACTTTCATCATCTTGTATCCTACTTAATCCACACTTTTCACAACAATCATGTTCTACTGGAGAAGTATGCACATTTCCCCACTCAAAAGTTGATTACATAGTATATGTTTCTTTGTTATTAGTCCTACTTTTAGGGTTACACAGTTCACTATTACATAAATTGCTTACCAAACAATGGTTTATGACATACTTATACAGACGTGGCGCATTGATAGTTCGTCGACTTTGTATTCTTTTGGGTGCTGAAAAAGTTTATCGAGAGTTCTCTACTATTCTTGAGACCGAAGGTGACCTTGAATTTGCATCCACCATGGTTCAGGTATCCCCCACTGTTGCAACACTATACTACTGCCTAATTTAACTGTAGACATTCCGTAACTGTTAAATTTCTTGTAGGCCTTGAATTTAATTTTGCTCACATCAACCGAACTTGCTGAGCTGCGTTCTCTTCTTAAGAAAACATTGGTTGATTCTTGTGGCAAGGACTTATTTCAATCTTTATACGCTTCTTGGTGTCACTCTCCGATGGCTACAATAAGCTTGTGTCTACTTGCGCAGGTAATGACCAACTTCTAACTTTTGCAGTTTGTGTTTCTTACTTGGGCACTGATCTTTGGATGTTCTTTTCCAACATGTGTAGGCATACAATCATGCAATTTCTGTTATCCAGTCTTTGGGAGAGGAAGATATAAATGTGAAGTTTCTCGTGCAACTAGACAAATTAATCCGTCTTTTAGAGACTCCTGTATTTGCTTACTTACGTTTGCAGGTAGAGCTCCATTTTCCAATAATACCTCATCTTTGTTTCATTCGGTTGATATGAAACTACTTCCTCCGTCCCAGAATATAAGAAGTTTTAGAGTTGGACACGGTTATTAAGAAAGTAGGTAGAAGTGAGTGGTGGAGGGTTGTGATTGGATGAGTAGTGGAGGTAGGTGGGAAAAGTGAATGGTGGAGGGTTGTGATTGGTTGGAAAGAGTGTTGGAGAAGTTGTTATATTTTGGGACAAATCCTGAGGGCTAAAAGTTGTTATATTTTGGGACGGAGGGAGTAGTTGTTTTTTGGTTTGCATTTTATTTAAACTTTTTGATATCTCCTAATGCTTCCACATTCAGTACAAATGCTGTAAAGCCCATATGTATGTGTTATTCAGTTTATGTGATGTGTCACACTGACACTGTGTCAGTAGTAGTTTATGAATCTTTGGTGACATGGGCACTGTTCTTGTTATCTTACTTGTGGTATAGGCGTATAGCAGTATGGAGAATTGAATGTTCTGATGATACTATTCTATGATATGGTACTCCAATGATTTGTTTAATAAAATTTGCAGCTTCTTGAGCCTGGAAAACATACCTGGCTTCTCAAAACACTTTATGGTCTCCTGATGCTACTGCCTCAGGTATGTTTGATATCTCATTTTTTGTGACCCTACGGTCTTGCTTTGATAGTTTCATGCATATTCTGTTTCCAAACTGAGAAGCGGAACACTTGATACACATAGAGAAGGAAATTCTCGTGTGTTAGATTGTTAGGTTGGATGCAGGAATATGCTTAAGTTATGCCTAACATGGACTAGTTAGAACTGTTTTAGCTTACTTAAAGTAAGCAAAGTATCTGGTTGATGTGGCAATCTGATGTTAACATAGGTGTCTGATGACCTATTATTAAGTTGTAAGCTTTAGCCTAGTTCCGTGAGAAGCGACTTGGCAGCTACTTAGTCCTTTCAGTTTTGACTAGGATGGCAGTTGCTGATCAATAAAAGCTGATGCTGAAGCCGTCTGCTTGACATTCGCTGTTGTCGATAACTCTCTGCCGCTTCTCCTTCCTCAACCTATTTCATTCTGTTGTTGCTACTTTTGCTGCTCCTCCCTGCAGTTGCAAATAGCTTCTCTGGGAAGCTTGCTGAGGCCATCTCCACCTCCTATTGATGTGGCATGGTCACGGTCTGGTTGGCCAACAGGATAAAGCTGATAGGGAGATGTCGAGGTGGCCGATGATGTGGGGAGAAGCCTGTGAGAAACAAACGGCATGGGGACAGAGAGAGGTGGCCAGCTATTTATAGTGATAGGCTGAGCTGGGCTACCCCACCTGATCACCTCTTCTCTTCCAGAGGGCAAAAACCATTGTACAAAGCATGGTGAGAGACTGAGCTTGCTTGGCCCACCTGGCTATGTCCATTCTTCGCTGCCGTCCTTTTGTTCGCCAATCACCAGCACCACCTCTGTTCTCTGCAGCATGCATGGCGCTCTGTTGCTAACATAACCATTACCTTTCCCTTTTCCCCTCCGTTATTCTAGCATCATGCTTTTCGGCCTGCATATGCTGTTCGAAGTGAGGAGCCCAACTACGCTAGTATGCGTTGGTTCACATGTCCATTGATGATTTTGGTGAGACAATCCATTTCCTCATTTCCCCACATAAGTAAACTTGCGGTTTCAAGTTCTGAGGTATTGATTATCAATTCATCGTCTCATTCTTCAAGCCAAACATGACATTTTCACCAGATTCTGTAGGAAAGGTTGAGCTTTTGTAAACCTTATGTGTCCCTCATGTTATTTACAGACTACGGGAAGTTTTCAATAGTCATTTTTCTAAGTAGTTCTAGAATTGAATGACTAAGCTTTATGTGTTTGTGCAGCAAAGTGCAGCCTTCAAGATCTTGAGAACTCGGCTGAAGACTGTGCCTTTCAGTGAAAATTTGAAACGCACATCTTCAACAAATCCATACTCTCAGATTCTACAAGTGACAGAAGATGGTAATCGAAATCACGACACTCAGAGCTACAATGCAATCAATTTCCCATCCCGGCTCCACCAGTTTGAGAGCATGCAGCAGCAGCACAGAGTTCATCTAAAGAATCAACTGCAATCCCAAAAATCTGCTTCAGCTATAGTATTATCACAGGTAATGTTTCTCTTGCATTAAGCCATTAACATATATCTGATTATATTGTATACCTATACGTAGTTGCTTCCCCCATTAAAGTGTAACTAGGTTTTTAGTTGCGTACTGAAAATGGTTCCTTAGCTTACCTATGCAACTAAGATCTGTGTTTTCTTGGTGTTGAACACTTCTTCTTCTTCTTCTTCTTTTTTTTTTTTTGGGGGGGGGGGGATGGGGGGGGGTGGTCTTTAATCCTTTCATCTACAATTGGTTGTGAGAGTTTCTTCGTGTTAAGTTGTAAATCCTTCTCTTTGCAGATATATTAAATATCTGATGTCTCCCGTATCAACTGTAGGTCTACCTGAATCATCATCGCATCATAATTTAATCTTGTAACACATTTGTTAGTCCCTTTGATTTGCTACTAAAATGTTATTTCCCAGAAACCTGACTGTTTTCAGAAATCTGCCAACTGCAACTAGGAAAAGTTGCTCTTGAATGGCTTCTTTGATTGTGTACCATAGTTTCTCACTGCAAACCTTCATAACTTAGTCAAACAAAGGTTGCCACTAAGATGCTTATTCTTTGATAGGAAAACCGCTATGTAACTTTTGTGAATTGCATGCAGGAAATTCAAAGATACGAAGAAGCACATTCCTCTTCGACATCAGAGATTGGCAGGCCCCCTTCGAGAACATCCAGAGGCATTTCATGATGCATTTTGGTTGATTGTGATGTATTATACATTTGCAAGACGCATCGTCACAAATTTGTTGGGGCTTTGGTTAGTCTCCTTTATTTTTTTTTCAAAGGAGGTTCATAGGGTACATAGAGTGTAATCTTTTTGTTTGGTTCCTAGATTTTTGTCATGGGATGGCAATTATTTGTTGGAGAAAGCTCGTTTCCCTCTTTCAGCTATTATTTTCCCTTTTCTTTTAGCTGTTTCACTGCTCATGTGGTTTCTGTAATTTTTCAATTGAAGGCCAATGAGCAAAATAGTATTTGGAGATATGTCACGACTGTTCTGCTTATCAATCTCCAATAAATTAGTGATGCAATGTAAATTTTTGTTCCTAGCTCTTGTGATCCACGCCATCTGTAATTTTCTACCACATGATAATCGTGAACTTTTAAAATTGGTAATTTACTTCTTAATTTTTAGCAAATTCATGTCGTTGCTTTAAGGACGAATTCTTGAAATTCTTCAGGTTATTTTTGACATTTTCTTACAGTAGATATATCATTTTTCACTGTGGCGTGTGATTTTTTTTACCAGATGGCGTGTAATTTTCATTCTTCATTCGTAGATTATTGAGCTGTTACTTCTAATAAGTAGGAGATTTCTGTAACAAAATGCCATGAATACGGGATGCCTAATCTGTGTAGAGTTCATCGAATACTTTGGTCATTGCAACCTTCATGTTTCGTTTGTTGCGATTGGCTGTTGTGACAGGCATTTAGTGCCGTGGTTTATTTTTATTTTTATTTTTATTTTTTTTTCAGTTCAGTTCCAGCATAGCATTCATGCTATAGGGCTGAGCGGATCACAGTCGTATCACTGACCGGTGATTGCGCTCCAGTGATGCATAGTAAGAGCTTGATCCGTTGGTCTAATTAGTCAATGCCAAAAATCAAAAATTGAATTTTCATATTTAATTTTAAAGTTAATTTTAAGAAATTTTTGGCACAGTTTTTTATATTGACTTTTAAGTCACTAAGAACATTTCTATAAAAAGTTTATCTATAAATTAATTCTTGTTCTTTAACAAGCTGTTTTTATCTATAAAAGTACGAATTACCCTCTGAACTATCGTGGTGGTCCGAATTACCCCCCGAACCACAAAACCAGACATATTAGACCTCAAACTATTGAAACTGGATAAATTACCCCCCTCACTCAATATGAAGTGGTATTGATCCTACGTGGCATATACATGGCGTTGAGGTGGAAATCCGATCAACATTTTCTTTTTTAAAAATGGTGGGGGCCACCTGTAAGACCTCATCTTCCCATCTTCCTCCCTCTCTCTCTCATCATCTTCCACGCGGTCTTGGTTCCCGACGGCGTGCGGCCACGGCTGCGCGGATTAGACGACCCCCGGCGTGCCCACCGCCTTCCAGGACCCCGACGGCGTGGTCCAGCTCGGTCGCCCGCCCCGCACCTCCCGCTCCTGCCGCGGGCAGAAGTAGAACCACGGCTCCCCCTCCTCGCCGCTGCTGCCCAGCATCTCGTGGTGAATCTCTGCAGGTGTATACAGGTGACGCGGCGCTCGCGCGACGACGTACGACGAACGCAATGCACACGTGTGTGCTGGTACCTGAGAGCTGCAACGGGTCGACGGAGTAGATGTCGAAGACGGGGATGACGCACTCGATGTCGTCGTGGAGGCCGTCGAGCTTGTTGCGGAGGTAGAAGCATATCAGCTCCTCCTCTGTTGGGTAGAAGCGGAACCCGAGAGCCAGCCGCCGCCTCAACCTCCGTCTCCGCGTCCCGCGCCGCCGCCCGCACCCGCCTCCATCCGTCCCCGCGCCAGGGGCGGCTGCTTGTCGTGGCGGTCGGCCGCAATCCCTCGCGGTGGCGCGCACGACGGCGCACGGCGGCGCACGCAGCGTGCGGAGGCGGGCCTACGGGGGCGGGGGCGGGCGGTTGAAGACGAGCGGCAGGGCGAACGGCCACGGGCGCGACTTCGGTCGGCGGTGAGCCCTCCGCGCGCCGACGAGGAGGAGGAGCCCGCGGTGGCGGCGGTGGCCCACCACGCGTTCCTGCACGCTGCCGCCCACCGCGCGCCCACGACGTGGAGGAGGAGCCCGCCGCCCACCGCGCGCCCGGTCAGCCTCCGCCTCCGTCGCCGGCCGCCGCCGTCCTTCGCCCCCCACGCGCCGCCGTCCTCACCTCGCCAACCGCCTACGCCGACCGCGCTCGCCTCCTCCGCGCAGACGGAGCTTGGGGCGGCAGGCTCCCGGCCGCTCGCTCCGACACTCCCCCTTCTCTTCCGCCACCGGACGCACGCTCCGCCTCCGCCTCCGCCTCTGTCATCGGCCGTCCGAGAGAGCTCCGCCAGGGTGCCTCCGCCGCTAGCCGCCTAGTCCGCCTCCGCGTCCACCCATCACCGCCGGTCGCACGCCTCGAGCCGCCGCCGCTCGCCACCTAGCTGCCGCTCGCCTAGCCGCCGCTCGCCTAGCCGCCGCCGCCGCCTCCTCAGCCGTCGCTGCCTCGCCTCGCCTCCTCTGTCCGCCGCTTGCGTAGTTGACAGTGAGAGGAGAGAGAGAGAGAGGAGAAGAGTAAGAGAGAGAAGAGAGAGAGGAATAGTGGAATATGAGTATGACAGGTGGGTCCTACATTTTTTTAATAAATAAAATGCTGACTGGACTGCCACGCGTATGCCATGTAGACCAAAACCATCGTGGATTGGGTCGAGGGGGGTAATTCGTCCGGTTTGCATAGTTGGGGGGTGAAGAATGTCCGGTTTTATGGTTCAGAGGGGTAATTTGGACGACCGCCATAGTTCGTGGGGGTAATTTGTACTTTTTTTCCTATTAGTAAACGTGGGTAACCGAGGAGGTGTAAGGCTCCAAATGGTCTGTTTCTGTACTTGTTTTTGCTACATTCGCTTCCTGCACATTACCAGATCGATTTATTATTCATTTATGTGCTTGCGATTCTCCTCCCATCTTTTCCTCATGCAGCTCACCAAGCATCCTTGTACAATGTCCGATGGTCCCACGATTCACAGGGAATATATCCACGGTACAAATTCTGGTCTCAATTTGCCAAAAAGCTCTACTAGACCGAGCATGGCTGGTCCTAGTTCATCCATGGGGCACACTTCTATCCAATCTTGTTGGACAACCATGTGCATCGTCAATCTGGTGGTTGTAATCCATTCTTTCCTCTTAGCCATCCTCTGTTTTTACCCCTCCTCTCCTTTCATCCTGTGCCTGTTCTCCGCACATCTTGCGCCCTGCTGCCCCCTTTTCTGCAGGGTGAAATACACACGAGCGGATGACTGTCCAATGGCAAAAGCCATCTCGATTAGCAGATCGATCGAACATGGATAATGCATCGCCTGGACGCAGCCAACTGCCGTCCATTTTTCTTTTGTTTCCTGCCTCCAGTTCCAGATCTGATTGGCGCTCGGCACCATGTTTCAGTCCTCACCTGACCTGCTGATGGTTTCTGGAGTGGTTTTCCTGTTTGATCCACTCGGATCTCAGCGCCCGGTTGGGCTTTTGTCAGTTTTTCAACATGTTACCCCTAGAGGCTGTGACTGTATATTAGTTTATACTTAGTTCTTCATGACAATTTTCTTTAACTAAAACAATTACCAAATGATAATTCAATATGAATTACTCTCCCCAGTATGACCAATCCTAGCTGTGGTGTTCTTATATGTTGGGACATCTGTGGCACCCCATTACAATAGCACGGGTCGCACGAAGAATACAAATTCGTTCCTGCATCAGTTAATTTCTTTTTAGATGGTAGCATAAGTTGTCTATGACACTACTGTTCGTATCACATGAATTGGGATTAGAAGTGTTGGAGAAAAACAGTGCATGTGGAATTGTAGTTAATTGACAAGGTTTTTGATGGGGATAGGTTGGACAAAATGAGGAGTATCTTGGTTGACCTTTCTTCATAAAAATAATACTTGCCATCTAGTAAACTAAAACTGTTGGGAAGTAGATTCCTTGGCCAATTGAGACAAGCCAGTGGTGCTTGGAAGATGCAAGATTCTGCACAGAAAAATGGGTTGCAAACAACAATTTGAGTTCTTTGATTCAAACAAATAGACATAAACTAGCTAATTTGTTCTTTGGGTCCCCACAAAAAAAAATTATTTGGGACAACAATGTTACTCTTGCCACCTTGGCAACTGGCATGACTTCTGTGAGCCTAAAGGGTCATCAATCTGGAGATCTCATGCCCGACCCTAACAACTGATTGCCCTCATATGAACATATGAATGATTGTAGGCTTGTTGCATAATATATCAAATACTTCCTCCGTTTCACAATGTAAATCATTCTAGCATTTCCCAAATTCATATTAATGTTAATGAATCTAGACATATATATATATCTAGATTCATTAACATCAATATTAATGTGGGAAATGCTAGAATGACTTACATTGTGAAACGGAGGAAGTATCAAATAAGAGTGCCAAAAGGGAAATATAAACCCGGGAAGATTCAGATCACCTCACTTCCTACTAACACAAGGTAGAAATTGCACAATATCAGTAACTCTAAGCATGACATCTGATCTGAAAGTCAGTAATATAAGAAGAGCAAACTGAGTGCTAAATGCAAAAGGTAGCTACTAAATCATTTGGGATATGGCACAAGTAACCATGCATCTTCAAGAACATACACTTAAGACGTTGGGATTAGCAAGAATGTAACAAAATGCAATCTGTCTTGGTCTTAACCAACAATGATTGGAGACATGTAACCAGGGACCAAAATGCTTAAAACACAAATTATTTGTCAAGAGTCACACATCAGATGATGTTATTGTATGCAATGCAAAGTCAATTTCTTAAAACAACAGGCCGGGAAGAGAAGAAGAGCAAAATATGTAGATGCAAAGTCAACCAATGCGGTGAATGGAAGACGTTTGGATGCTACAAGTTGACATTTTAAAAACCGCTTTGTTGCTGTTTTTTAGAACCTGGCAGTTGTAGATACCATTATAGAATCAAGGAGTCCAGATTGGATGAATAAGTTGAACAGATCAAGGAACAAAGTAAGATTGGTGGAGCTAAAAAAATATTAATGTTTTGGCCCAGCATTGAGAATATTGAAGCAAAGTTCTGCTTGTTTATGCTTAGACAAACTCTCAATATGTCATCAATCCGATTAATAATCAGTGTTTTATCCTCAGTTCTTAGGTTAAAAAACCTTGTGTCATTTCTTTCTAAAAACTTGTAATAAATTGACAAATCATTGACATCTGTGGAGTGTATGCCACGGCCGTTGTCGGATTTAACATTTGGAAAGTTATTGTCTATGCAAATACAGAGCAGAAATGTGACGAACCAATCAATGATCATTGTCACGTTGAGGTCAACAGTTAAAAAAAAAAAGATTCCGTGGATCAATTGGTGATCCTTTTTATAAATTTGTTGGCTGATGTCTACTATTGGAGGCCTGATAGATACATCAAACCTCTACCTCCTGTATTTCTCAGAACAGATAAGAAAAACAAAGAGAAAAGGGGTCGCTCCTTTTTGGCTTGGAATGATGACGTCCAATTCTTTGTTTTTTTGTCATGGAGATGTAGTTAACCAGAAGCATGGTTTTTGATTACTTGTGATAGCCGAAACTTATTAATGGAAAGCAGTTACAATTTGTACTGCTCTATAAGAGCTATTCTACTCTAAAATCTTAAGGACACAAAATTAAGTAAGCAACAGTCATTAGCAATTTAGGTTCTGGATAAGTGACCATCCAACAGAACAAGGGGAGCATCACGGCCAAATTCTTTGCTATACTATACATCATCATCAAACGTTATTTCGAATAAAAATATGTCTAAGTATCAAGGCAGCATTTTGTGTCTTTCTTTCCCTTTTTTCATTTAAAAATAGAGCTCGCATATTCTTAGGTCAACACCGAAAACTAATCACCATGTTGACTTTGAATTATTTAAATCAATGTAACTCAAAAGTTAATAAACGTGAATGTGCAAGCATACAAAACAAACTATTTTGTATTTTAGTTGCACGATCATGTTCACTTACAAACTCTTTTCCTCATTATTTGGAAAACTGACCCACTATATTTTGCTCCTCCTTTTAGTTGTAAACATCCTTCTGGAAATACATATGTGCACAAGCACAGTGCTCACATAATTCATGAGTTGGACACCAGATGAAAAAAAACCCCAAGAAAATAATAAGTGGAGTAAACTTCCATCCAACTTAAGTTACCACGGTCCACGGTTAATTCCTATTGACTACGAACAAATTGTTTTACTATGTTAACCATGTTTTTTTAGACAATAGTGTCAAATTATCATATTACGTATGAATTTATGATTACACCTCTTCTTTCTCCCTGAAAATACTGCAGCATCCTCTCGATTTGAGATGATTACTTCAGTTTCTTGCCACACCAGAGGTAATCCATTCCCTTGATTTTTGTTAAAAGATAAAGATAATATAGACGCTATCTTTTTAAACGGCCAATATCATTATTAATCAAATAACTGAAAAAAAAATGTCTCTGAATGATACTTGCCCCTACTTCGCTATCCACAGTTGCGATTTGCGACTTGCAAGCACACCGTAGCTAACTTCTCTCCTTCTGGGTATAAATATCCCTCTCCTCTCCCTGTTTCTCCTCATCCCTGCTTCCTCTTCTACACCTCATTTTCCGCTTGCATCTTGCTCATTCAGATCTCTTCTGCTTTGAGCAATGGCCAACCTCACCGACCTCGTTAACCTCAACCTCAGCGACTGCAGCGACAAGATCATCGCCGAGTACATCTGGTTGGCAAACCTCCTCTGCTTTTGATCTGTTCTTGATTTCTTATATTCGTCTGCACTAGCAAGTCTCCTGCTGCACTGGTGCGTTCTTCAAGGATGCAAGATCGCGTTTTTTTGTGCGAAATTAATCTCCATTTCCCTACCTATGATCGTCGTGGATCGTGAAAATTGATGATTGTTCGCTTCCTGAATTCTACCACTGATCAAACTTTTCTACCAAGTTTCTTTGATACAACAACCTGAATGATCTTCCTCGTCTCAAAACGTCATCTTTTTTATTTCTGTTCAGGGTTGGAGGATCGGGCATAGACCTCAGGAGCAAAGCGAGGGTGAGTGTGTTTATCTCAACATACAATCCTGGACTCATTATGATCACTAACACTATCACAATTCTGAATTTTCTCACCATTTTTGTTCTTCCGTTTTCATCGAGCAGACTGTGAAAGGCCCCATCACCGATGTGAGCCAGCTGCCGAAGTGGAACTACGACGGCTCCAGCACCGGGCAGGCTCCCGGCGAGGACAGCGAAGTGATCCTCTAGTATGTATATGGCCTTGTTCTCATCGTCTCTTGTGATGGTTTTACTTTGTAGATTACCAAAGGTTCTTTGTTTCTTATGCCTTTTAACATTTTTCTTTTCTTACTTTGAAGCCCTCAAGCCATTTTCAAGGACCCGTTCAGGAGGGGCGACAACATCCTTGTAAGTTCCTCTCACTTCTCTTGTACTTTTTTTTTGCTTTGTAGCTCATGACATATTGACACTTTATGATGGCCAAAAGGAAGGGAACGAAAGGTCCTTTGCAAACAAAATTTGAATGTGTGAGATGGTAGATTTGTTGTAGAAACATATTATTTCAGGCACTGTTAAGTGTTAACCTTGTTGAATTGTAGCTTGGTCTGAAAAATAAAATTATGAATATGTTAACTAGTAGTTAGGTTATTTTTTCTGGCTGTTGGATGTGCTCGAAACCTTTAGCTGTTTATCTTGCTCTTAGCCAGCAAACTGCCTACACCCTGATGTAGACATGCCAAAATTCTTACATCATTGATTGGCCTGCTCGTACTTTATGGAATTCAACTCTTGTGTATAGATATAAATTAGCCTGTTAGAAACATTGGCCACGAATAGCTTCCGTACTCCTTCCGTATCAAAATAAAACAATTTCTGGAATTTGAAATTTATTCCAAAATAAACACCTTCTATCTTCTTAACTATCGTCAATCCGCAAAGCAAGAAGTTTTATTACCTCAATACCCCCGACCTACCAGTAAATCAATACAACTTTCACATTAATTGAGGGCATTGTGGTTTCTGTTTCTCTCCTTAAAATTTTCTTTGGATGTTAGGGTTTAAGTTAGGGAGAAAGGGGGTAGATGTACTTCATTCAGCTTAAAGCAGTAACTGCATAGCCCTTAATTTTCAACTATGCCTAAGTTTATTTCCAAACTTTTTTTTTAAACTTTCAACTTTTCCATCACATCAAAACTTTCCTACACACACAAACTTTCAACTTTTCCGTCACATCGTTCCAATTTCAATCAAACTTTTAATTTTGGCGTGAACTAAACATACCCTATATCGGGAAGTCGCTGGTTTGCTTACTTTTTTAATTTAATGTTACTATAGGTGATGTGCGACTGCTACACGCCACAAGGTGAGCCAATCCCCACTAACAAGAGGCACAGTGCCGCCAAGATCTTCAGCCACCCTGATGTTGTTGCTGAGGTGCCATGGTAAGAACCGTTCTCTCCAGATTATTAAAGTATTTTTGCATACGACTTAATTAAAATTTTAACTCCGTTGTTAAAAAAAATCCTTGTTTCCAATAAATATAAGCATGTCAGAACTTTCAAGTTCTGAAACGATTGTTATATTCACCAAGTGATTTAAATTACTACTTGGTGAGTAGTAATCTAGATCATTTTTGTTGACACAAATATAATAGTTTAGTTTAGTTTATCAAATAGCTAAATATGAAAACTAAAAGTTTTCAAGGCCGTTCAAAATAAAAAAAAGTTTTTAAGGACCACCAAATGTGGAGACCCCCAAATCTATATCTACTTTACTATCTTATCTGCTATACCATTCTCATAAGGTTTTATCTCTGAATCCAAACAGGTACGGTATTGAGCAGGAGTACACACTCCTTCAAAAGGATGTGAACTGGCCCCTTGGCTGGCCAGTTGGTGGCTTCCCTGGCCCACAGGCAAGAAATCACTGCTCAAAATATTCATAGTTACTCCATAGAATTTAGGGCATTAGAATCTTCATTAAAATAGACTTTGTTTGGTAGTATTGTTGTGAATTTTTCAACAAAAATGTTCTTGCTTTACCCAATAGAAACAATGTTTGAAAGAGTTTGAAAGAGGAGTAACATCCTACTATTGCAAATTATATAAAACCAAGCTATGTGATGTACGTGAATGTGATGTCAGAATTTGAAAAATCAAAGCCACACTTGCAGTTTTTATTAATCTATGGTAGTTGACTTGCTGAAAATTTACAAATCCTTAAATTGCCACTTGAGCCTTATAGGGACTTAACTGAAAAAAGACCAGCTCTAGTGTCATGAATAGCAATTAGATATGCTTGTGTCGGTAATATTTTCCCATAAAATCCTCTGTAATTTTCTGAACTTTGTTCTGAATTTTTTTTCTCTCTCAGGGACCATACTACTGCGCTGCCGGTGCCGAAAAGGCGTTCGGCCGCGACATCGTGGACGCCCACTACAAGGCCTGCATCTACGCCGGGATCAACATCAGTGGCATCAACGGGGAAGTCATGCCCGGCCAGGTACTTCCAACGAAATCTCCATATTGTTCTCTTCATCTTATCACCACCGGGCTCCATGTACCATAGTATGGCACATGAACACGACGGCTGATACGTGTGCTAATTCTGATTCTGAATCGGATTCTGTGGGTGACAGTGGGAGTTCCAAGTTGGCCCGTCAGTTGGCATCGCCGCTGCTGACCAAGTGTGGGTTGCCCGCTACATCCTCGAGGTACGTACAAATCATATCCTGATATGATATATTATATTATTCTCGGCTAGCTTGGATTAATCGGAATAAGCATCGCGACAAGTACACCGCTCAACTGCGAGCAGTATATGTTCCAGTTCTGCAATGTTACTACATCTTAATTAATTAGTACGTTGAGGTTTAGCTGAACTTTTGTCGTGGTTGATTGGTTCCAGAGGGTCACAGAGGTGGCCGGAGTCGTGCTCTCCCTTGACCCGAAGCCGATCCCGGGTGACTGGAATGGCGCTGGTGCCCACACCAACTTCAGGTAGCAGCAGTAACAATTTTCTAGCTCTCTGATGCTGTGAGTGAGCTGCAACACAGGTGGTTTATGTGTGCATTTTGTGCATTTTGCAGCACCAAGTCGATGAGGGAGCCGGGAGGCTACGAGGTGATCAAGAAGGCGATCGACAAGCTCGCGCTGAGGCACAAGGAGCACATCGCCGCCTACGGCGAGGGCAACGAGCGCCGCCTCACCGGCCGCCACGAGACCGCCGACATCAACACCTTCAAATGGGTACGTGTATACACGCATACGCCCGCCGTTCGTCGATCGATCGGCTAGCCTACCATGAGATCATAACCTTTTTTTGCGTGCGTGCGTGCAGGGCGTGGCGAACCGCGGCGCGTCCATCCGCGTGGGGCGCGACACGGAGAAGGAGGGCAAGGGGTACTTCGAGGACAGGAGGCCGGCGTCCAACATGGACCCATACGTCGTCACCGGCATGATCGCCGAGACCACGCTGCTGTGGAAGCAGAACTAAGCCGTCCGGCGGGCCTCTCCCGTGCATTTCTGCGCCCAAAAAAAACAAAAAAAAGAAACGTACGCGTGCGTGCATCAGCCGTGATGTGTCAACGTTGGATTTCGGTCTCGGTCTATCCTTGGCGTCGACAAGGCCCTTTGAATTTTATTACTAGTCTGTCCTGTTCACCGAGTGTCATTTTGTGTACTCTGAATAATAATGCTTTGTAAAACGGATTTGCTTTTTCCGTAGGGACGGATGTTCTTGATTTTCCTATATCGTGATTTATATATATGGAAAACCGCTGTCTTTTTTTGTTCGATCAGCTTGTCTGTTTGTTCGATCGGGTTACATCTTCTCCACTCTTTACATGTCACTCTGACTGATGCGAATAACTTCGATGGATGGATGTAAACGTCTGTGCCAAATGTGCAAAGTGTTGCACTTTGAGCTAGCGTGTTGCAGGCTAAAAGCAAAAGAGAAACTGCCTCGTATATTTTTTGAAACCTACGGTCAGGCCGTTGCCGACATTTTATATTAAGAAGAAGATATCCCATTTTGAGAAGAAAACGGGATCAAACTTTACAGTGCTCAGTTAATTAGAGAAAACTGAGCGAAAACCACAACTACAACACCTCAGTTAATTAGAGAAAACTGAGCGAAAACCACAACTACAACACCACACCAACAGCTAACCTATCCTAAACTACCACGACAGAGCCCGACACAAGGCATCGGCCAAGCTTGCCATTTGAGACAACACGGCAGCTTACACATGTTATCGTTGCCAAGCTTGTCACCCAAGTGACACAGCAGCTTCGACTTCAATGTGATGCTATCCCAACGCCAAAATGAACAAACAAGAACGACACCCACGAAGGACATCAGCCCAAGCTACCAAGGAACCACTCCTACACACAGCTAGCATCAACAATCCTATAAAGAAATTGCAGTGTGTCATTGTTGCCAAGCTTCGTCGCCCCCAGCAAAGCAGTTCCGACTCTACCCCACAGTAACCAGATAAGAGTGATGAACACCCGTTGTAGCAAGGAACGAAGCCAAGGAAGTGAGGCCTCGTCAAACACCCTAGACCTGAAGAGCTTTGGGGACATTGCAGGAGTCCACCAAGGCTACCATTGCGCGTAGAGGGTTCTTCGTGTTACGAGGGGTCAATGCCAGGACGACGCCTCCAAGGAGGGGAACGGCGCCAAATGGCGTCGCCGTCGTCATGCCAGCCCATGGCCTGGCAAGGCTTTCGCCAGCGGTTTCCCATCAAAACCCCACACAACCATCCTGCACAACGACCATCGCCAGACCACCACGCCATCCCTTCAACACCCAAGCTCAGTCTACCACCCCGCAGGTCAAGCTGGCAATACAGAGGATGAACTCTTCACTGCCAAACCGCTTCCTGCATGCTGCAGAAAGCCACTGAGGTCACCAATGGCAGCCAGCCACTTGATGACCCCGTCACCACCGCCGGCTTGCTCCTCGCGCAGCACCTCCACAGCCTCACGCCGCCGGACATCGGGCCAAGGCCGCGTGTCCGGCCAGCACCACCTCGCACACCACCGGCCGCCGCCTCGCCCTGGCTGCCGGCCTCGCCTTCCTCCTACGCGCCATCTGACAACGACGCCGGGCGGGGGCACGAGGCAGAGCAGGAGCAGGCGCCGTCGCCGCAGCAACCCCAACCCACGCCGCCGCCGCGCCGGCCGGGGCCCGCGTCGCGCCGCCCGCCGCCCACATCGCGTCCATCTTGCCGCCCATCTTGCCGCCCGCTGCACCGGCAGGGCACGCCCGCGCCGCTCGCCGCCCGCTCCGCCTCCATCGCGCCTCTCACCGTGCCGACCGGATCCGTGGGTGGGGAGGCCAGATCCGGCCACAGGGGCGCCGGATCCGCCGCCCCAAGCCGAACTGTCGTCTCCACCTCCGGCCGCGCCATCGTCGGCGTTCTCCGTCCTCCTCGCGCAGGGGCCGGTTCCGCCGAGCCGTTTGGGCCTCGCCGCCGCCTTCCCGGCACGCCGCCGGCTTTGCCACCGGCGAGCTCCGGCGGCGGCGAGGTGGAGGAGGGGGATGAGGGTGTGGCGGCGCGGGCGGCTAGGGTTTCGCCCCCGAGCCGCCCGCGCGAGAGCGACGCGGGGGTCCCGATAATTCTAAGTTTGTGATATACACAGCACAGATAAAAGTATAAAAAGATAGAATAACTGCCTCGTATATATGCAGCAGTAGCACGTAGTACAGCCTTAAAAGTGTAACCCTATCACATCTTATCCGTATGCAACTACCCGAGGAATAATATCATGTATTCACGTTTCTCTTTAATCTTCAGCCCTTCTTTTTTCCCCCTTCAATGGATGTACGCTTATTCTCAGCAGTAGTAAGCACTGTTCTCAGATGGAAAAGGGGATTTTTCCTTTTATTGACATGCCAACCGTTCAATCAGTGATTTTTATGGCTATGATTCAGCTTCTTTCCAAAGTTAGCTCACCATTACTAATCTATAAAACTTTCATTCCCTTGCGCATTTTCGAATACACTATGAAATTCTATCACTGATAAACAGGATTTCCACGGCGATGCATGGGCATAGCCGCATACTCCACTCCTCGCTTACACGAAACACAAGCAATGGCAAGTAAAAGGAGGAGCAAAGTGAATCTTATCATGTTCTTCAGTTTTGACTGAATCTTATCACGTTCTTCAGTCCTGACTTCGAAAAATCATAGTTCAATGCATCTCTTGCTTCTTCTGTCCCTGAGAAACCACCACCACAAACAAACTCTAACGAGCACGGGCCATTGTGTTGGCTACGTCGATCACAAACCTGTACCTCACGTCTCCCTTCTGCAGCCTCTCCATCGCGCCGTTGACGTCCTCCATGCCGATGACCTCCACCTCGGCGGCGACGCCGTGCTCGACGGCGAAGTCGACCATCTCCTGCGTATCCCTCATCCCGCCGATCATGCTCCCGGCCACGCTCTTCCCATCTGCCACATCGCACACCATGAGCACGGCCCATCTAGCTCTGATTGGGCCTCCAGCCCAATCTATTCGCGGGCCAACTGGTGATGGGCCTGGTTTGGTGTGAGGCTGTAAGGCCCAGTAATGATGAACCACACGCACCTGATTGCAGAGGGTACAGGGCTAGTTGCACCGGCTTTCCCGGCGATCCGACCGGGACGAGCTGGCCGTGAGTCCGCAGCAGCGTGATGAGTGGCGTCAGGTCGTGCACCGCCGAGACCGTGTCGATGATGCCATCCATGGTGCCCGCAGCTGCCTGCACATATGGTGGTTCTTAGCTTCAGAATTCGGATGCAAAATGGCGCACAGATCGGTGTTTTTTGGTCACCTTCATCTGTTCGGCGTTGGTGCTGAGCAAGAACGCGTCGGCGCCAAGCCTCTCCACGGCCTCCGCTTCCTTCCACGGGCTGGTGCTGATCACGGTCACCTTCACGCCGAACGCCTTGCCGAACTTGACAGCGAGATGGCCGAGGCCGCCGAGCCCGGCCACGCCGAGGTGCACCCCTGGCCTGTCCAGCCCGAGCCGCCTCATGGGGCAGTACACCGTGACGCCGGCGCACAGCAGCGGCGCCAAGCGGTCGAGCGGCGCCGGCGACGCGCCGCCGCCGCCGCCGGGGATCCGGACGACGTACCGCTGGTTGACGACGGCCAGCTCCGAGAAGCCGCCGTGCACCGTAGCGCCGTCGGGGAGCGCGGCGTTGAAGGACGGCACGAGGCCCGCGCAGTAGTTCTCGAAGCCGTCGCGGCAGTTGGCGCAGGCGCGGCATGTGCTGGCGATGTACCCGACGCCGACAGTGTCGCCGGCGGCGAACCTCGCCACGCTGCTCCCGACCTCGGCGACGACCCCAACGATTTCATGACTGGATTAAGCACGCAAAACGATCGATCAATAATATATCTCTGGATAATTCTGTTGCGCATTAGCCGATTTGCATTGCATGTGTACGTACTGACCCTGGTACTACGGGATACTTGGCGTTGCCCCACTCGTTCTTGATAGTAGAAAGATCAGAGTGGCAAATGCCACAGAACAGTATCTTGACAACGACGTCTTCGTCTCCCTTAGCTCTGAAATATGAAATGCACGGTGGAAATGACGATTAATTAACCCTTTTCTGTACTCACGAAAAAGAAAACAATTGGGGAGAATGCATATAGTTTGACAATGCATAAACATAAATCAGCAGGTGAATAATGGAAGAAATGCTGTTGCAACGACTCGAACTCGCCCAATGGCGTGCAAACAAGCCATCGGTGCCAAAATGGTTTGATTCCTTTCAGCCGTGGAAGTTGGGTATGAGTGCGTCGCCACTACTACCTACTGAATGGCTATCATTCATTCTTTCTAAAAGATGGCAATCGAGGCTTCATGATGAATGTATAGTGCATAATTGGTCATCACCCGTGTAGCCTTTACTTTCCTGCAGTAAATGATATATCTTTGCAATCCAAGCATAAGTTTCTTTTTAATCAAAAAATGTAATTCAGAACGCATTGTGTAGCTGCAAATTTCTTGAAAAATGCTCAAAACTCAACAGACAATACTACCTCTTTAGTTCTCAGTGTTCTAATTTCTATATAGCAGTACACCAGTGATGTTTTCGTTAGAGTGGCAACCCAACGATTGGTTACTACTGACTGACTGAAGCAATTTAGTTATTTTTCAATAATTAACAGAGTTACAGAACCAATGAGCCATGCAGTACTTCTCATCGGTCATTACACAAAGAAAATATCACCGGAGACCGGTAGAAAACGTAGACGGCAGCGTTTATGTGCTTGGTGCGTCAATTGTCAAAGGCAATTCCATATTCCTCATAAATCTCGATCGATACAGTTTGATGGTACCCGTTCAAAACTAGAATTCCTGACTACAATTAATTAACGAAGTAATGGAGATGACTATTGACTATTTATCAGTAACTTTGCTTTCATAAAAAGAAAACGGTATAACTCAAGAATTTTGTGTGAACTTCTCTTTGAATATTTCAAGACCCAGGAACATCTGAACACACAGGAAAAAGATAGAGCAAGAGAGCTAGAGATCACCTGAGGGGGTAAGAGAAAGGAGAGAGCAGCCCGTTGGCGTCTCTTGCCGCCCATCCGGTCACCATCTTAGGTTGCTGCTCCATCCCTGTCTTCTTGATTATGTTGGCTGAAGAGGGATGAGGTTCTTTTCCCCAATATATAGTCTAGTGGTGCATTGGCCGGTGCAATCCATATATAGCTCGAGGTAGGTGAATGAATTATCATATTAATGTGATTGGTGAAAATTAAATGCATTTTTATTCTCTTCTATAGATATCATAGGAGAAGAACGTATTCATACTGTGAAGGAACCACATAATGGCATACTATTTTGGGCGTTCTGCTATATAGACTATATCTTAAAAAATGGTTCTGCCTAATACAAACATTCCTATAGAGCGTCGTACCATTCAGGGATGGTATAGAAATCACAATCCCGCGATTCTTCTATGTGCAGTTTCCACGTGTGCAGTGTGCACCCACGCTTGCGAGCAAGTCCTCCTTACAATTCCCTCAAGCACATCCTTCCAAGCCTCTACACACCGGGCAAGCACCTCCTCTGTGTTGGATAATACATGAGCATACACCACTATTGGGTCATATGCATGGTAGGATAAGGCTTGTTAGAAGTGAACTTAATTATGTTATATCAGATCGACCCTTACACTTTGTGCCTCATGTATCTCCATAATATCATAGAGGTAATTACGATTTCTATCATATCTCACATGTATCTCCATGTTTTATTTATGTAGATGGTACCACATGATTTCCATCATATCTGAAAATGTCATCATGGTTATATTTACAAAGATTTCACGAAATATTTGGAGATATCATGAAAATATCGTAAATGTTGTTGGTTGTATCGTAGAGGTTTACTGTGATAACATAAAAAAAGTCTTAATACCTTCATGACACCAACGAGGTATCACAATAAATTGATGTATCACCGATACTTCATGGTTTTATTGTAGAAGATACCATAAAAGTATCATTATACCTTCATGGAATCAATTAAGTATTATGATACCTCTATGGTGCCGAGGAGGTATCAACATAAAACGATAAATTTACCATGATAATTTCATGGCATCAAGTAAGTATCATGATACTCCATTAGGGGTGGGCAATCAGTCAGACCAATCAGTTCGGGCTCGGGGACTTTAGAGAAACTTCGGTCGTCTAAAATTCAAGACCAAATTGCATTGCCTAAAGGGTGAAGATAGATCATGGTCGAGAAATAAAGTTGTGGCAGTAGCAGGAAAGAAGAAAGTGCTGCTGCTCGGTATGTTCCGATAGGCCAACTGCCTTGACGTGCTGCTAATGGGGGTCAACACTTAATCAACATTCATCATAGTTGGCGTGTTGGGCAACATTGTTGGTGTGGAGGAGCTAAGGAGGCAGGATGCGCGTCGGTACGGAGTAGGGCGCAGCGGTTGGGTGCGTGCATGAGGAGGAGGAATGAGTGAATGACTGGGGATGGGGGTGTTAAGAGATGACGTGGCTAGAGTTTTCCAGTGATTCTGGGCTTAATGGGCCTAATGGGCTACTTTTGGTTTATTCGGTTAACGGTGTCACGCCCTGAACTAGCCCCGAGCGGAACTAGCCCGTGACGCTCCAAATTAACCTGTTAATCGATACCAGTCCCAGGAAACAGTGCTGGTATCACAGGAAGACAGAATATCACAGCAGCAGAGGTCTCTTTATTACAGAGTAGGAGTACAGTCATGTTGGGTTGCGGACAGATCCCGAGCTCACAACTGCATTACAAAAGGGAAAACGGAAGCCAAGACTTGGACTATTCATCACAGGCGCAACTTGGGAACTAGGCCGAAACCCTAAAACTCATCGTAGCCGACTTGCTCCTGGAAGAACTCCTCATCAGCAGTATCCACATCATCTTCTTTAGCAACTGGGGGGATTATTTATATAGAGCAAGGGTGAGTACAGGAGTACTCAGCAAGCCATGGGAATTAAGTGTTTAATGCAGGCTTCAAAGGAAGGGCTGTTGTTTTTGCAATTGTTTTTATTTAAACTCCTTTTTGAAACAACTAAGTGAGTGCTTCTCAAACGACACGGATGAGACAGTGTGTCTCGTTCGGTCGGAGTTTGTGCAATGTATCAGTCTTTGAATTGATTCAAGGTTGGCACCCGGCCAACAGCTTTTAAACGGCCACCCGGGCCTGGCTGATCCCATCAGCCGCAGATTTTTCAAACATCGAACCCATTCCACAACAGTAATTTCACAAGCAGTAGTCAAACAAAACTACGCTAGGAATCACCTCACATCCACCCATGATCGTGGGCACGGCTGTTCGAACAGTTTGTTAACCTCTGCAGAGAGGGTACACTTTACCCACACGACATTACTAACCCGGATCACCCAGCCCGTGCAGAACGGCCACGTCTGGAGACCTTGAGGCTTTCGTGACAAGGCATTTCGAGAGCCAACACAGGTTCACCATATGCCAACGAGAGGGGTCCCAGACCAACACTAGGTTAGGTCCCAGACTATACTGTGCCAGGAAACCCGGGGGTTCTCCCCGGCACCACCCCGTTGAATCCACATGTCTCTTGGCATCATGGTTCCCCCGATTAGCTAGTTACTCAGCCAGGGGGTGTCCCATTCCACCCATGTGGTCGCACTTGCCTTATGTTCGGATGAAATTCCAAGGAAAACGGTCCTTAAGTGCAAGAGCGGGAAACCGCACTCCCGGTACGTTCCCCGATCCGCGATTTTGAAATTTCGTTTAGTTCGCAAGCACCGACCCAGGTGTCGGGTTTTTCCAAGTCTTTTGTAAAAACCCCAAGTTTTACCCATCATTGGATATTTTAAATTTGAGGGGAGGTGTCCCGATGCGCGTGCCCGAAGGCCCATGCATCGAAGCACAACAATCGACAAAGGAGGTTTAAGTGTTCAATAATTCAAGGAGGGTAATTGCAGCAATTAGGATTGGGGGCCGGCAGGCTATCTCGCAAGCCGCGGCCGAATTACTCGTGATAATCCTATTTATGCAATATTTGCGAAAAAGAAATACTTAGATTTAAATTATAGGTGCAAGATGATCAAAGGTGACTTGCCTTGCTCGAGATCTTGAGCTTGATCCTCGAAATCCTCGCACTGCGGGTCTTCGGGCTCCGAAACTACACGCGAAACGGGACAACTCAACAAACGGCGAAAATAGAGCCCTATTATTGACCTCTAAACGTGCCATTAAACAGATCTCGAGATTTGAGGAATTTTGGAAGTTGAACGGAGTCAAACGGACATACGGTTGAGAAGATATTGAATTTCTAAGATTATTGGATTTTTGGTCTAAAGGAAAAATGATTTAATTAAACCCTTTTGAAAAAGAGAAAAGAGGGAGGGGAAACAGACTTCCCTCGGGCAGCTAGGGCGCGGCCCGAGAGAAAGGGGCGGCTCGGCCAAGCTTAATGGGCCGGCCGGCCCGAGAAGACGGCCCAAGGCACGCGCGGGAGGGGAGGAGAGAGGGAGCCGGTGGACCGGGCTCACCTCGTGTGGTCCCGAGTGGGACCCGCTTGTCGGTGACACGGTTCACCGTGCGGAGGGAGCACGCGGCGCGCGCTAGGGTTTGGGGAAGGGACGCGGTGCACGCGCGCGGCTCGCGGTGGGTGCGGTTGCGGCGGGCCCACGCGCAACCTCACGGCTCGCGGTGGACCGCGCGCGCGAGCGGGGCAGAGGGTAGCAGCGGACCGGGGTAGGCTTGACCCGGTCTTGGCCGAGGTGGCGCCGACGTGGCGCCTACGTGGCTGCCATGCGGGTCGGCGGGAGGAAGACGACGACGTCGGCCGGAACGGACGACGGACGGCGGCGGCGAGCGGCGGGGCGATCTACAGCGATGCAGGCAAGGGCGAGCGCACCGGGAGGTTGCATGGGACGAGGGGAGACGAGCCAACGGCTCGGATTCGCCGGAGGGGGCTCGACGGCGGCGGATTGCGGCGGCGGCAACCGGCGGCGAGGGAAGGGGGAAACGGCGACGGCGCGACGGGAGATCGATTCGGGCGAGCTAGAGCATCTACGCGACTCCGGGAATCCGGTTCTAGCGTCGGATTGGACGGAGACACTACGAGAGAGGTCGGCGACGTGCGGGCGCTACGGAGCACGGGCGGCGACGGTGGCGGCACATAGTGAGCGGCGGCAGCGGTCGGGGCAGCGCCAGCTAGCTACAGGGAGGCTATACGAGCTTCTACCGAAAGCTAAGGGGAAGAGGAGGAACGAGGAGGGAGAACGGGGAGGAGGCACTACCGTGCGGGATGAAGGGGCGCAGTGACGGTGGCCGACGGCGCGGGGCGTGATCGCTTCGGCCTCGGGCGGGGAAGAGGAAGGAGAGGGTGCGCCCGGAGTCCACGTCACGCGTCTCGCTCGTGCCGGCTCCTCCGATACGCGCGACGACGAACGGCGACGACGAACAGGGCAGGGCGCGGCAATGGCAAGGGCGAAAACGGGGAAGATTGGTTTGGGGAGAGGCTCGGGTTTATAGGGCGGCATTGTCGGTTTGGGAGGGAGGAACCGACATTGGGCGGTCAAGCCAGCGAGTTGGTTCTCCGGCTAGCGGCCAAAACGGCGATAGGGAGGATGACGCCGGCGGGGGGGAGAGGGGGGGAAGAAGAAAAGAAAGAGGGAAAGGAGACTTGCCTCTTGCCACTTTGGGAAAAGAAGGAAGGAGGGAGAGGGCGACGAGGCAGTGGGAGGAGGAGCTCTGCCTCCAACCCTTGGAAGTATGCGCGGTGGTGGCGGGGCCGGGTCGTGACGACGGCGATGACGGCGGGGGCGGTTTGGAAGGGCGCGGCTACAGGGGCGGCAGGCGCGGGCTCAGGCGCAGCAGGGCACGCGTGCTGGCTCGCGGGGCAGGGCGCGGCGCAGGCGGCGCAGCGTGGCAGGGCGCGGGGCCGGAAGGCGCAGGCACGGGCAGCAGGCGGCTGACGACGGCGGCGACCGCGCGCGCACGCAAGGTAACGGCGCGCGGGGAGTTTGCCGGGGATGGAGCAGGGAGGGAGAGCGGGAGAACGAGAGAGAGAGGGAGAGCTCGGCTCGGCGTCGGCTCATGCACATGCGGCACACAGGCAGAGCGAGGGGAGAGCTGAGGGAGAGAGAGAGATAGAGAGAGAGAGAGATGGGCCGAGAGGAAATTGGCCCACCGAACCTGAGGGAGGCAAAATAGACTTTTGCGGAGGAATTTGATTTGGCAAGGATTTGGATTCGGGATTTGAATTTGACGATAGATCGGGGATTCGAGATCAGGGATTGGCACGGAGACTGACAACAAGCAAAGAAACAGATTTCGCAATTATGGTTTTTAGAGTTTAAATTTTCCCGCTAGGCGCCACGACGGAACGGGCGCTACAAACGGTCAATCGAGTATATTAACAGAATTGACCAAACAAAATTTGATCAGTTAGATGCTAAGACTGAATGGATGATCAAATTTATTCGTCTTGATCCTAGTTTTCCAGATTCAAGTAATTTTGCCCAGCCCTGTACTTCGTGGTATCAAGGAGGTATCGGTATCACAAATTTTTCTTGGTTGTATTGCAGAGATTTCATAGTGATACTTTAAGAGAACATGATACCTCCATGATACCAAGGAGGTGTCATAAAGATACCATTGCTATATATAGTACTAGTAGTATCATGAAGATATTTTTGGAATTTCATATTGGTATCATACAAGTACCATTGATATTTTATTTTTTACGAACGCACAAAAGTATTGCACGTCAATATATTAGAAGAAAAAGAGTTTTAGTTACACAACGCAATCAGCCAGATTGGCTTATACCAGGGGAAGGGAGAAAAAGCAAATGAAAAAAAAAACTGAAGCTTAGAGAAACTATGGCGGCTAAAAATAGACTCCAAGCAACAGGAAGGGACCAAGCCACGCTACACTCCAAACAAATCACCAAAAGTAGCGACACCAGCTAAAGACCATAGATGGCCCTCCGAATGGATAGACTCCAAAATCACTGAGACTGAAGAGAGAGCAGAGTCGAAAACCCTAGAGTTCAACTCCTTCCACAGTTTCCAAGAGACCAGGAGCACCAGGGAGTCGAAACTCTCGCGGAGATGCTTAGGTAAGCAGGCCCTAGAGGACGGCCACCAGTCCTGGAACCAGCTGCCACAGGGGGGAGAGAAGGCAGCCCAGCCAAGAGGCAACAACACCCGGAGCCAGACCTGCCGAGCGAACACGCAGTCGAGGAGGATGTGGTTCGCCGTCTCAAGATCCTTAGCGCAAAAGAGGCAGGTCGAGTGACTATCGATGCCACGCTTCTGAAGGAGATCAGCCGTTCAGCAGCGCTACTGAAATGCGAACCAAAGGAAGAACCTGCATTTGGCAGGACACTTTGCGTGCTAGAGAAGATCGGCACAGGCAAAGAAATGCTGGTCATAGAAGAATTCCTGGTGCACCGAACGCGCTGAGAGCGCTGGTCAGCCGTCCAATGCCAAACGAGACAATCCTCGACACCCGGTGAGAGCTGAACGTGAAGCACCGCATCCCAAATAAGAAGAAACTGAGAAATGACCGGGACAGTGAAGGCACCGCGGATATCAGAGACCCAGGAGTTGTTCGCCAGTCCAGAAGCAACTTTTTTTTCACCATTGATATTTTATGATTGATGCCACAAAAATATTCTGAAGGTATATATGATATTTCATAGTTATATTATAGAGATTCTTTGTGATGGCACAAAGATATTATGTGCATGCTATCTCTATGGTATATGGTGGTATCATTACATGATAAGGGGGAAATTATTTTAAACTCTCGAGGGGACATTCCCTTGTTGTTTCCTTGTCATCTAAATTGTTATAAAAAATAATTCAGAAGATAGATTGATATGTGATAAATCACTCCACAAACATGCAAAGTTAAATTTAACTTCTACAAGTTGCAAAAAAAAATTGACTGTGAATATACGTTAACTAGTCATAGTTTAATTTGTTTTTCTTTACAACTTGTAGAAGTTGAATTTTAACGACCAAAAGAATGGAAGCATCTGCATGTGATGGATGAATATCTTGCAAACAGATCCTTCAGTTCAATTTTGCTAGTGATTGGCTCTTGAAAAAGCTCAAGGTTCCCAAGTACATCATCCTAGGCTCCATTCGAGCTCTAAAAGACCGAGATAAAGTGCAAGTTTACGCGAAAGCTAGTGAACTCGAGCCTAGATAGGAGAACTCACTTGAGGTTTGTTCGCTGAAAACCCCATTAATTTGGACCAAAACCATTAATAACTCATAGTGGTCAGAAAATTTTTCAGATAAGTCCCCAATTCGGACTGAAATTTTAAAGATTAATCTCTAGGGGTTAGTCTAGTGTTGACTCGAGAACATGGCAAGAGCAGAAATCTTTGGATGGACGCGGAATGCCACCGTAGAACGACGTGACACTGAGGACTAGAGTACGCAGTTAGTAGTCGTAATGTCATCGTCATCGACATCGATGTGTTGCTACATGGCATTTTCGTTCAGAGAAATTGTGAACCCAACCAGCAACAAATCAACACTGTTCGTCTGTCCCTACGTACCGGACAAACCTGACGTTGGCACTACAGCAGCCCGTGCACAAGAACACAACAAGATCACGAGTTTCACGAGTGGCCATGGCGACACCACCGCAACAGTTTCACTAATCACCAGTCATTACACTCTGCCATTTCCTTATCCAGTTATCTGGTACTCCTACCTGCTTAATTCGCTCGAAGTACAGATGAAACAGATTATTAATCTCAAATTCGTCGTCCTCGCAAATCGGATCAGCATGGCTGCCATCCTGCTGCTGCTGCTCGTGTTCTTGGTGAGTGTGGCCTTGGTTGTTCGAACATGGAGTGCTAGTAGGAGATCTCATGAGAAGGCGCGGTATGCGACGGCCGAGCTGCGGCCGTATCCGCTGGTCGGCCACCTGCCGCAGTTCCTCGCCAACCGGCACCGCATCCTGGACTGGATGACGGAGGTGCTGTCGCGGCAGCCGACGCGCACGTTCGTGCTCCGCCGCCCCGGCGGCGTGCGGGGCGTGATCACCGCGAACCCGGCGAACGTGGAGCGCTTCCTCCGATCCGGGTTCGACAACTACCCCAAGGGCGAGCGCTTCGCGTCGCTGCTGCACGACTTCCTCGGGCGCGGCATCTTCAACGCTGACGGCGAGGCGTGGCGGTCGCAGCGCAAGGCGGCGAGCTACGAGTTCAACACGCGGTCGCTCCGCGCCTTCGTGGCGCGGTGCGTGCACGGGGAGCTGCACGGGCGCCTCCTCCCGCTGCTGCGGCGCGCCGCGGCGGAGGGCCGCGCCATCGACCTCCAGGACGCGCTCGAGCGCTTCGCGTTCGACAACATCTGCCGTGTCGCCTTCGACCACGACCCCGGCCAGCTCCCTGACGCCAGCGGCGGCGGCGCTCTCGCGGAGGCCGACGATGGCTCCACTGCCAGCGGCAGGTTCGCCGACGCGTTCCGCGACGCCGCTAATCTCAGCGCGGGGCGGTTCCGGTATGCTGTCCCGTGGTTCTGGAGGGTGAAGAAGGCGCTCCACATTGGGTCCGAGCGGCGGCTGCGCGAGTCCATCGCCATCGTCCACGACTTCGCCGACCGCATCATCCGGTCGCGGCGGGAGGAGATACGCGCCGGCCTCGAGAAGCACGACCTCCTGTCCCGGTTCATGGCGAGCCACGACGAGTCGTACACCGAGGTGGCCCTCCGCGACGTCGTCATCAGCTTCCTCCTCGCGGGGCGGGAGACCACGTCGTCGGCGCTCACCTGGTTCTTCTGGCTTCTCTCCTCTCGCCCGGACGTGGAGCGGCGCATCCGCGAAGAAGTCGCCACGGTGCGCGCACGCCGTGGCGACGGCGACGTCGACAGGGTCGGCTTCGACCTGGACGAGCTGAGAGAGATGCAGTACGTGCACGCCGCAATCACGGAGTCGATGCGCCTCTACCCGCCGGTGCCGGTGGACTCGCTGCATGCGCAGGAGGACGACGTCCTGCCGGACGGCACGGCGGTGGAGGCCGGGTGGTTCGTGGCGTACAACTCGTACGCCATGGGGCGCATGGAGTCCGTGTGGGGCAAGGACGCGGCGGAGTTCCGGGCGGAGCGGTGGCTGGAGGACGCGGCGGCGGCGACGTTCCGGCCGGAGAGCCCGTTCCGGTACGTGTCGTTCCACGGCGGGCCGAGGGTGTGCCTCGGGAAGGAGATGGCGTACATACAGATGAAGTCCATCATCGCCTGCGTGCTCCAGGAGCTCGAGCTCGCCGTCGACGGCGCGTACCGGCCGCGGCAGGTGACGTCACTGACGCTGCGAATGGCGGATGGGCTCCCCACTAGGGTGAAAGTTAGAGGCAATTGAATGTGACATTTGGGCTTGTGGACCATGGCCCGTAGCAGAAAGAAACAGTTTCCCATGCAGATGATGGTGCCGATCTCTAAACTTCTTACCAGGCCGAATATAGAACCGTCCGAATAATTGGGCCGGGCCTAAAGCTACGTTGGTGGCACGTCCTGGGCCTATTCATACAGCTGCTGTATGTAAATGCTTTTCATTTTCTCTTTGGGAAGATCATGACACGTATGTCATTAGTCATTACTAGTACTCATTAGATAGTCACGGATTCAATGAAATCTAGGGCGCTTGATGGGAGATGCAATTGCGGCAGACCGCTGAACAACCTTGAACCGGTCATTATCATTTGAAAGGAATACTGGAAAATGATCATTTGCTTTGCTTGCTTAGGTCTTCTTTGGAACTAGACATCAGGTGAAACCTAAACCTGTATCTTCAAGGCAAGGGAGCGAGTTCTTTACTTCTTTTGAGTGAGTATGTTGGCCTCCGAAAACTCGTTTTCAAGCTACGGCCTTGAAAAAATTGGCATGCGTAGACTTGACTTGAAAAATATTATCATAGTAATACAGACTTGTTAGATTTTATAAATTTTTTTATAAAACCGGCACTTAAAGTTTTAAAAGTTCGACTAAATTTGTCTAAGCATACAAATACTGTAGATTGCATCGATTTAGTTCAACTTAAACCCACTGATCGATTGCAAATAACTTTAGATATCAGTCGACACGAACTCGCTGATTGCAAATCACTGGAGATACCAGAGGACTGGTACTGCTATTAATCAGTAGCAGACATGGCAGTTTCACTTTCTACCCGCCCCACATTGTTTATCTGTGGTGTGCGATTGAATTAAAGCCCTTATTACCGTATGATTAGTAAGTCTGAGCTAACTTGTCACTTTCCACTGCTCATGCTTTGCTTCTAACTTTCTCTTCTTTCGATAAAGAAAACGCGATGCTCGCCTTTGGGCCTGTTTAGGCCCTGTTTAGATCCTCCAAAACTTTTGCTATTTTGAAGGATCTAAACAGGGCCTTAGATCCATTTGGAATGGCAAATGGCAAATGACAAAAGTTTTGGCATTGTAAAAGTACTAGTTGGTGTTTAGATGCATGTTAAATTTTTGCCATTCTAGCACTAAAGTAAGAGAGAGAAAGAGAGAGGGAGTGGTCTCAAAGCACTTTTTGGCACAATTTACTACTATGGACTAGCAAATGCCAAATTAACAACTTTTCCTATTAGTGTTTAGATCCAAAATGACAAAAAGTGCTACAAAATAACAAAACTTTTGCCATTTTGAAGGATGTAACAGGGCCTTTGGTCTTCTTCTACCCGTGCCCATCGACGCAGACAGACCGCAGGCGAGAGAGGAGAAGAAACCGTGCGGCTTTGCGTTGTCATCAAGCCTTCGACCTGGTCTCGATCGATTCCATGGCGACAACGAGACAAAAGTTTAAAGTTACAACCCTCTCCATGTTCACTGAAAAGTTCTACTTTTTTTTATATATAATGGAAATCAGTGAAAAGAACGAACACATCTGTAACCCAGAGCTCTATGTCAATTGCAACAAGAAAGCCGCCCTCTTCAGACACGGATGACACTATACATGGTAGGTATTAGGAAGCAATCAGAATCAAATGGTTTCGATGCAGATGGATTTTGTCTGACAATTAAAAATTTTCTTGCAAGGTACAGCTAGGCGCACATTCACTGTGACTAATGAAACAATGATTCCTCTGTCTGCAGAGATTGTTTTGTAGGAGCATTTCCAGGTTCGGTTTTTGGTTAAACTAACTCGATTGTCGATTCTGCTAGTGACGACTATTTATATGATTGTCTTTCAGGAGGAGCAAACGTGGCTGGTGTCAGGGCTGAGTCATCCTATAATGTGAGCTAAGCTAAGAATAGATGGTGATTTACAGTACCAATTAGCAAGCTAGATGGTTAGTCCAAACTACTAATGCATGACCACTCTTATGGGTTTGGACGTGCTTCGTTTTCGTCATTAGGCAGTAGGCAATAATACATTTCACTTTGCTTTACTGTTTTATCAAGTGAAGCAACGGGATGGAGCTTGTATTTAATGCTTGTTTGAAAGGCATGCTTCAGTGAACATTGCAAGATCCAGTGTTGAGCTAACAGCCACTGATCAGCATAGTCAACTCTCTGATATGTAGCATGATCCTGGACCACACTTGTTGGGTGTAACCATAGGTTTTGTTTATCGGGATTGAGAAAATCAGCGATTGGGGTAGAAGTAATTTGACTACATGGGATTTGTTAATTGTTACCCATGTGCAGATGTTGTCACAAAACGGTATAAATCGGCAGCATTAGCATTGCTAATATATCTCTACTATATTTTGCCTTCTTGGTGAAGAAATGAAGGATAAACTATTCAGGTTTTCAACACTATGATTCAGTACATGGCAAGTCACTGAAACTGGTTGGAGGAAATGAAATCCAGAAAGCCGTTTTTAACTCAACATGAGGCTCTGTCAATCAGAGGATCATTACAGCAAGGTCATGCAGTTATATAAATAATCTTCCAATGACTAGGCTTAACAATGTTTAATAAACAACCTTGTGTCATATATCCATTTTTCTGGTCTGCAGCTTATTCCATAGTTAATTGCACGCAGGTACTATTGAACGGTCTGATTTCTATCGTCAACTCTTCTCATGTGTTTTTTATTTATATGTTTATGCATTCTTTTATTCCCTATCACAACGTATTACACGTCCGAAATCACGCTCCTTCGTTTCTAAACATTCATTCCTTTTAAAAAAAAAACTCAACTAACGACTAGCTATCTGCAATTTGCAAGCAGTTTTTTAAACAAGGCAATATGCAAGCATTATCAAGTGGTAGTAACAATAAAATATCATAATCCAGATCACTTCCTCCCTACTCCTTGACCTGTAGCAATATATCAAATCGGAATCCAAGCTAGGCATCTCATACTTTACCACCTCATCATTACAACCAAACAAGCTACTCCTATATTAGAGGTTTCACAGCTCACTCTTAACCAAATGCAAAACTGCACAAAGATCATGTCCAGGTCACTTCACCTGTGCACACACTTGCTAGTGATGTGTAGCAGCAAGAACAGACCCAACTGCCATGGAATTGGGGCATCAGAGAAGAATTCGGTGCATAGGTACATAGGAAAACGAAAGTAAATGGGGCCTTTTTCCTCTCACCCAACGCCATTATAAAGAGGTTAAGGTCTACATTAGGTGCTGGCTGATCAGCAAAACAAGTCAAAAGTCTTGCTGAGCTACATTTGTTTCTCCCATTAGATTGGCAGTGCAACCAACTCTGATGGATGTTGTCCTAACAAAAATGATCAGCAGCATATGCTGAGGCCTAAGGCCAACTTTAGTAATTCAATAGAATGTCGTAGAAATTTCACATAAATAGTTCAACTCCCACATTATTATGGAAAAAGTTCCTCCTCTAAATCAGATCGTAATGAAACACACATAAACACTCAAAGACTCATTTGGAATGCATGTATGTTACAGGATTTTCATATGAATTACTTCAATTCCCATAAAAGTCCTCCATCCAAAAGAGTCCTTATCTTTTTTTTTTATTTCCTCTTTCCAAAAGAACCTTGTTATCATTGACAGACAAAGCTAAACTTAAACACAAATAGAACATCGACGAGGACAACCAACCGGGATTAGGAATAAATTAATAGTATCAGTCCGGCTGTAGCAGCAGGAGAATCTGATGATTCCGACGAGGCATGACCCAGCAAGCTGGTGTCCAGACTCCAGAGCCAAAAGGCAGAGCTGGTCGCTTTCAGGCTGTAAGCCAGGCCGCATGCTGCAATGGCCGCCGGCCGACAGTTCATGGAACAGTGTAGTATAGCACACATTGTACAGCCAATATGTTCTTCACTTCTTGCTGGCTGATGCTGCTCAGGTTGGCTTGGCTAGTTACTACTTTTACAGGTTACAGGTGCAGTACAAAACTACCAAAATTACCAATGCTGATCTGAGATGAGGAGTGAAACATTTACAAACGGTTCGGTTCGTACTTGTAGTGGGCCACTGGGGACTATTGGTTAATGGCGTACTACATGCGTCTTTAATTCCTCATTAGATGTTATTAATTGGCAGCTACAATGAACGAATTGAAGCCAGCAACTAGTGTGCCAGCTGGTTTGACATTAGACAGCCCGCTAGCCCAGTTTCATCAGCTGGCCAATCCGTGTACGGAGTAATATACTGCTTCACGGGTACAGGAAATCGAAGACAGGCAATCTGAGCCGTCCATTATCAGTTTCTTTTTCTGAAGGTGCTCATTATCAATTTGACAAATTGTCAGCGTTGAAACTCGGAATGTAACAGGCTAACGACGCATGCGTTAGGTCTATATATTATCATGGGGGCATTAACAATAATAAATTAATTTCCCTGTCAACAAATTGTAGCAGCAACAGCATCCTATGGTAAGATGGACCAACGAATAAAATCCACATTTATCAGATGATTTAGACTGAGAGTTTGTGCTATTTAATGATATAAGAATTTTTTCCCGTATTACTATAAACTTACTCTATTCGCTGATGCTAACTTTCTTTCTCCAATATGATCAGATTCAGCCTATCCATGTAATCTCATAGCTCCTTTGAAACGCAGAATTTTTACAGAAATTAGTTTAATTTTCACAAAAAGTCCTCCGAAAAATACAATTCATTTCAGACGAGGGCTTATGTATAAGTGTATCGTCGGTGCCATTTTTAACGGGTATGATGAGGTACCGTGTGGTATAACTCTTCTAGGGTCCATTATTCACAGTACCAACTAAACAATGAAGAAAGATCAGCCTACTGCTGTATTCGTTCAGTCAGTCCCCACGTACTAATTTATTGTGCCACATTAGTGCTAACATTCGGCTCTACATTTTGAGTATCATTTGCATTTGCAAAAGCTAAACTAATCTTGCATCTGGTGGCACTGCGGGGCTGCTGCACCGTTGAGTGGAGGCTCAAAATTTAAAAACAAAAAAAACTTGTCACTGTCATGTAAACTGCGTACAAACACAGGATTGCATGAGCATGGGTCTCTTTCTGTCGTCGTGTTAACTTGGGCATCACTCCTAGATAAAGAACACACAATCTTTTTTCCAACCTACTAAACCAGCAAGCTAGCTAAACGCCATTTGCAAGCAGAGAGCTATCAGATGGCAATTTCGCCAACCAAAAGATGGTTAATTACTCTGTCGGAAGCAGCCACCCCAACAACCATTACCTCCCCCTAACAACCAGGATAAGAAGAGACGGGAAGCAAAGCATGGCAACGAAAGCCTAGCTACCTGCAGCTGAAATGAAATCATTTCGTATTTTAAATAGCAAACCATACAGCTGGTGATGGTATTCGTCATAGATACAACGCATTATCAAGTGTTCCTTTCCAAGAATCAAAGAGTACAGTGACATGTGCTATAGAATAGAATCAAAGCCCGTGAGAGAAAGGCCCAAAAAAAAGAAGGGAAAAAAAAGAAAGGAAGAAGAAAGAAAAAGTAATGAAAAAAACATGCACAAGTTGCTGATGAACCAAAAGTAGCCTGGGGGAGCAAGATCCATGCAAAGAACTAAGCAATTCTCCAACTTAATTTCCGTTCGCTGAGGCTGAGATCGATGTACGGTGATCCAGACGGCAATGTCGGCTGGTCGGTTATAGTGAAGGCTCCTCGCCCTCGCCGGCGCTGTCGGTGGCCGGACGGTCGCCGAGGCTGGAGCGGCGGATCTCGTCGATCCTCGCGGCCACCTCGGACATGGACGGCCGCCTGTCGGGGTGCTGCGCCGAGCAGTCGATGGCGAGCTGGAGGAGCTGCACCATCTCCTCCTCGACGTTCTGGTACCTGAGGAGCTCCTGGTCGAACACCTCGGCGGTCCACTCCTCCCGGACGACGGACTGCACCCAGCGCGGCAGGTCGAGTCCCTCCTCGTTGACGACGGCGTGCGTCGGCGCCTTGCCGGTGAGCAGCTCGAGGAGCAGCACGCCGAAGCTGTACACGTCGGCCTTCTGCGAGACCCGGCGAATGTCGGTCACCTCCGGGGCACGGTAGCCGGACACCCTCGTCGGCGAGAATGACGGGCCGACCAGCGTGGGGAGGCCGTGGTCCGACACCCGCGCCTCGTAGTTCTTGGTGAGCAGCACGTTGGACGACTTGATGTTGCCGTGCGACGCCGTCGGCCCCGTCGAGTGGATGTGCGCCACGCCGCGCGCCGCCGCCAGCGCGATCGCCGACCTCGTCTCCCAGTCCAGCGGCGTCCTGCCGGAAGCACGGTTCCCTGCAACCCCCATGAGATACACCAGAAAAAAACCGCGTCATCCACAGCGAATTCCCCATGAATTTTACTCCGTTTTCACGACGGCGGACAATTAAGAATGTTCACTGCACGGTGCACGCGACCACAGCGCGGTAGCTTCAGCTTCACGTCTCAAGTGTGTGTGCAACAGTGCGCGTGTACATCTATGATCTGTCTACGCTGTCCGGGAATGAATAATTCTTCAAATCTGTACGCGAGATAGAGGAGAGGAGAGGAGAGGAGAGGAGGAGGCTAAATTATTGGCGCGCAAAAGGGGAATCGCGAGGAACAGTGGCGCCAACCAAACGTCACATGGTCCATCAAACCACCCTACCCGGACTGCAACCCGGGGCACCGGCTCACATGCGCCACTTGCCCCCAAATTTACCACCAATCTACCACAACTCCCTCCTACACTAAACTCTGGCACTCTGCTTACTTTACTGGCACCAGTTCAGAGATTTCAAATGAACAGCCGCAAGTTGCTATACCTGTTTCAACTGCGAGTTCGAATGCCGAGACGTGCCGGGGGGCCAGTCATGGCTGTCACGTTGTGGGCTTAAACTAAGATTAGATCTCACGCTCACCCCTCTGGCAAACACTGAAGCAGTGTTTGTTTGCTGGTAAACTAACTAATCGCGGCTCACCCATAGGACGAAGTACACTTGGCTTTTGGCAGCGCCCCGTCGAACCAGCTCAGCTTGGCTCGGCGACACACGGCCACACCATGAGAAGAAAAACCGGAGGATCACTACTGGATCGGAGTAGGTGAGACCACCATTGATTGGTGCCGAGGCGGAGCAGCCACAGTCGCGAGCCGCGACCCCGACGAGACAGACGCCACGAAAACGAGATGCACACACGAGAGGGACGCGACACCTTACGCGAGAGCCCAACGAGGCGACGACTCTCGCGGTGCGCCACTGCGGCCACCGGTGGAAACTGGAGACCGGAGGAATATCGCCAGGGTGTAACGGCGAGATCGCTCAAAAAAACGCATGGTTTGATAGTGTGGATTCGGTTCGCCGACAGAAGCGTAAAAAAAGGATGGGGGAATTTTTTTTACCGTGGAGGAGGGCGGAGAGGCTGCCCATGGACATGTAGTCGTAGACGAGGAGCTTCTCGTCCTTGCTGAAGTAGTAGGCGCGGAGTGGGACGACAAGCTCGTGCTGCACGGCGCCGATGGCGGCGATGCGCTCCCGGAACTCCGGCTCCGGAAGGTCCACGTCCTTGAGGCGCTTCACGGCCACGGCGGAGCCGCTCTCCATCACCGCCTTGTACGCCGTCCCGAACGCGCCCTTGCCCAGCACCTCCGCCGACGCGCGGAGCAGGTCCTCCAGGTCGAACGGCGGGGCCGCCGCCATGGGGCCGAAGAAGATGAGCTTCTTGGACCCGCCCGTCGCGCCGCCGGTCTTCGCTGCTGCTGCCGCCGCCGCGACGGCGGCGGAGGTGGCGGCGGCTGGCGCTGCCGCGGCTGCTCCGACGTGGGCGCCGTTGCCGGCTGCTGAGCCGTTCTGTCCCTTTGGTTCCATGTCCATCGGAGCCATCTGGAGGTCACGACCCTTCTCCACCGCTGTCGCTGGCGTGGATGAGCTAGACTTCTTCCGGCAGAGGAGGAAGATCAGGGCCAGCAAGAGCAGCACGCCGAACACACACCCGATGGCAATGCCGGCGATGGCGCCACCGGAGAGCTTCTTCTTCGTGCCGCTGCTTGCGCCGCCGGCGTCTGCCGCGCCTCCACCAGCAGGTTGAACCTCCGGAGATCCGGCCGGCGTGAGCGCGGTCTCGCCGGGGCACAGGCCGAGCGGGCCACCGCACAGCCCAGTGCCCAAGAACGAGTCCTTGGGCATCTTCCGGAGCGACCTAGGGATGGACCCGTTGAGCTTGTTGTACGACACGTTGAACTGGCTCAATGTCGGCAGGTCCAGCTTGGGGATCTCGCCGGTGAAGCTGTTGCCGTCGAGGAACAGCGTGCCGAGGCGGTTCAGCTTGTTGAAGTCCGGCGAGATCTCGCCGGAGAACTTGTTCCCAGCGAGGTCCAGCCTCACGAGGTTCTTGAGGGTGAACACCGACGCCGGGACCTCGCCGGAGAAGCTGTTGTGCTGGAAGTAGATGGCCCGGAGCTCGGGCAGGCGGGAGAGGTCGTCGGGGATGGGGCCCGTGAGCGCGTTGTAGCGGAGGGAGAGCGTGCGGAGCGCGGAGAGGTTGCCGAGCACGTTCGACGGGAGGGTGCCCATGAGGCCGGCGCCGGGGAGGCGGAGCTCGGTGACGCGGCCGCTCTCGCACGTCACCCCCTGCCAATTGCACGTCGGCGTGCTGCTGTTCCACGACGGCAGCGCCGACTTCCCCACCGCCGACCGCAGCGCCTGCAACGCCTGCGCGTCGGTGTTGAGGTCGTCGGAGAAGTACCCCGGAACGGCGGAGAGGAGCACCAGAACCGCCAGAGCCACGGCCGGCGCCGGCATTGGCGCCATCGCCGGCGGCAGTGGCGCGCACACGAGTGGGGTGGGAAGAAGAGTGGGAGAGTAGGCGGTAGGTGTGTGAAGGAGAGAGCCTTTACTCTCTCGGCTCAGGGAGAGCGAGCACTGTCATGGAGGCACACACACTCCCTGTGAGAAGAGAGAAGAGTATTACTAGTAGTAGAGGAGAAATGGACTGGGCAGGTGATGGGAATCTTGAATTATAATGGAAGATTTGTTAGCTTAAGCAGCTGGATGTGGTGTTATTGAGGGTGTGAAATGGGATTAGGGAGAGGAGGAGGCTTGATTGCTTTAATGATGGATTACTAGGTGGCACTTACTGGAGCCTAGTTGGAGAATTCTCTCCTTTTGCTCCTTTTTTTTTATATCCAAAGCTCCTGCAGGTGCAAAAGGCAGCTTGGCAGCAGGTGCCTCTGTCTTTAAAGGTTAAGTAAGGCTGGATGTGGGACCATCAGGACAAAAGAAACTAGGAGGAGTCCATAATTTGATTTTTGAAAATCATGAGCAAAGTCTTTGTTTCACCACGGAATTCGATATTCTTAACCTCCAGTACTAGTACCTGAGCCTGTCCATTCATCAGTTCACCCAGAGTGAATTCCAGCTTAAGATTGTGTTTAGTTCCTAAAAAAAAGTTAAAAGTTTGAGGAAAGTTGATAGTTTGGAAAAAAAAGTTGGGAGTTTATGTGTGTAGAAAAATTTTAGATGTGATGAAAAGTTAGAAGTTGAGACTTAGACCCTGTTTAGATGGGACTAAAACTTTTAAGTCCCTATCACATCGGATGTTTGGAAATTAATTATAAATATTAAACGTAGACTATTAATAAAACCTATCCATAATCTTGGACTAATTCGCGATACGAATCTATTGAGCCTAATTAATACATGATTAGCCTATGTGATGCTACAGTAAACATTCTCTAATTATGGATTAATTAGGCTTAAAAAATTTGTCACGTGAATTAGCTTTCATTTATGTAATTAGTTTTATAAGTAGTCTATATTTAATACTCTAAATTAGTGTCTAAATAGAGGGACTAAAGTTAAGTCACTGTATCCAAACACCACCTTAACTAAACACGGAATTTGCTTGCATATCCACTAGTCGCCGGTCCACCACGGCATGTTATCCCCTTCGCGAGCATTTATCGGCCAGTTCCCCGATGAAGCTACACGAGTACGATTCTTTCCAGTGTACTCCTACATTACTTGAATCTTCATCTAAACGCTGGCGATACAGTAGTAGTAGAATACTACGGAGTAGTAGTACAATAAATCCTTCATTAACGGTTTCTAACGGTCTTGGACAGAGTACCGACGGTGTCACTGCCATGATTTGTAAGCAAGTTTTTCTTTGGGAGTTGAGCTTTAGAGCATCAGCAATGGGTGCCCTGGAGTATCCCTACTCACGGCGTCCACTTTTTCGGCTGGAGCTGTCTCCTAGCAGAGGGCCGCGACCCCTGTGCCTAGGGAGGAGCCCGTGGACATGGCTCTCTCCCCCTGTTTTTCCCCTTCTACCCTCGCCGCCCGCCGGAGAGAGAGATGCAGGAGAGAGAGAGAGACCGCCGGTTGCCGTCCTCCCCGGTGACGACGGATCCACGCGCCTTCCTCCCGGCGGCAACGATGGCACCGGATCTGCTGCTTCCGGCCGGCGACGGTGCGAGGCGGAGGAGGTCGTGACGACGACGACGTGAGGCGGGGAGATCGGCGACGGTGCGAGGCGGGGAGGACGGCAACGGCACGGGGGGCGGCAGCGACGATGGATCCACGTGGAATCCTCCCCGGTGACGACGGATCCACGCGCCTTCCTCCCCGGCAACGATGGATCCACGCACCATCCTCCCCGGCGACGACGGATCCGGGCGCCGTCCTCCCCGGGGACGACGGATCCACGCGCCTTCCTCCCGGGCGACGACGGATCCACGCGCCATCCTCCCCGACGACGACGGATCCGTGCACCACTCGCCGACGCGACGGCGACGAACAGATCCGCCGACAAAGCTCCGGCAGTGGCGGCGGCCCTCCTCATCGCCTTCGCAGCCGCCGCCGACGGGAGAGAGGGAGGGAGGGAGAGTGAGGCTCACAGCGATGGCAGGAGAGAGAGAGAGAGAGGGAGAGGGAGAGTCAGGCGAGCGATGGGAGAGTGGAGGACGGCGACGGCGAAGACGCGAAGAAAATGAGAGGCGACGAAGAAAAAAGAGGGGGGAGAGAAAGAGAGGGGAGGGGGAGAAGAGGGGTAGTATAGGAAAACATCCGGTGTGGATTTTTAGATTGGGACACCCACTGTGAGCTTGAGTACCTTCATCCAATTGTTTCAGATTTTGAAGAACCTACCTAGGTGTAGCCTTCATTGTGAGATGGGTGTCTCTAAGAGTGTTTTCTGCTAGTGAGGACACCCTATGGGTATCTTTGATTGTTGATGCCCTTATACCCTTTGTGTTTGTGTGTGACCATTTCCGAGCTGTACTGTTTCCCGTAGATGCATTGCATGAGCCAACGAGTTTGTTTTGGTCGTAAAAAAGAAAGAGATAGGATGGGCCCAATCTGTGCAGCAGGCCGTAGATGCTACCAAGAATATGGGCCTTCATGTAATCATGTCGATGCTTTAGACTGGGCCTGATTTCCAATTCTTCAGTGGACCTGGAGGGTGGTCCGCGTGACAGAGGCTGCTGCCACTACACGGGAGACCGAAACGAACCAGTCATCGTCTTCCTCGAGAATTCCTTTTTCCCTGCTTCTCCTCCTTCCTCCCAAATGTAATCCCCCTCTCTAACTTTCCCTGCTTCCATTTTCCCAGTCTAATTTCTGTACTCCCTATTTCAAAATATTTCAACTCACTTTTATCTCTTGTGTTCATATGTATATGTCATTTCTGTACTCCCTAACTCAAACTTTTTTCAACTCACCTTTATATCTGGTGTTCTATGTATATGTGCTTGTTGAATCCAAAATAAATCGGCTTGAGAGGTCGCAGTGTCAGCTTTATCACTCGTGGCAACTCCCCAGCTGCTCCTTAACTCCCATCCTCTCAAAGCCCCAAGTCCGCAAGCTGCTCCTCAACTCCCATCCTCTCGAAGCCCCAACTCCCCAGCTGCTCCTCCGCAGACCGCAGGCCAACGTCGCTGGCCAACGTCTTCCACCCCTCCAACATTGCTGACCAGTGCATGGGCGGGCATGGTTGTGTGCGGAATGCCCGTGCCTCGTTGCAGGGGTGGGTGATGGACTGATGGTTTTGTGCCTCTCGGCCATCACTCCAGTATGGAGTTCGCACGTGTTTACCTTGTTTGCTTATTGATTTACTTTATTTCTTCATCATGTTGGATGTTTATAATGTTGAAAGAAACACGAGATTAAGCAATATTTTAAGCATAGTAAATTCAAATTTATTCACATATAAGTCGAATCAATTTGCTACAATGATAGTACAAGTACTTCTATTGCACAAACTAAAGTTTTGCACTACCCATATCATACACAATGCAACTAACTGTTGCAGCAATAAATATGTGAAAACATAATCAACAACTTAGCTCAAATTATGTCGATTTTAACATGCTCTCAGATGATGGGCTGCCAATTTAATGACCTTCTCACCCCCAAGAGGCAAGCCCTAATCCATGATTATGTGTGCCAGTACCAAGTAACAAAAACTAAAATAGCTAGACAAAACAGGGAACAATAAAAGTAAATCAAAAGTTGATCACATTTTAATCTTATGCAAGCATAAGGACTAGGTTATAATTCATTTTAATCCTGTGAGTATATCGTGGATCCAAGAAGAAATACCAGGGGAGGCTAAACAAACTGGACAAAGCTCCATACCCCCTTCCCATGTATGTATATATGTATGGCAGAAAATATTAAGGGGGGCCCCCATAGTCTCAGCGCCGGTAGTGGGGGCTCGAGCCCCCACTGCCCCCATGGCAAATCCACCTAGAGTATATGCTTTCATAAGGTTAATATGTGATCAACATTTGATGTACTGCCGTTATTCTTTTCATTGTACAATTATCCTGTTTTGTCTAGCAGTATTGTTCGTTCATCGTTCTTGTTGTTTAGTAATGGTTGATTGTTAATCATAATAACTGATCAGTATAATGCAGTAGTTTAGTCTTTGAGACCATATCTAATATGTCCTAAGGCTTGATTGAAATGGATATGTTTGGAACCTAGTCTAGACCTTATATTTGCCACACATAATTACGGTTTAGAACTTTACCTCTTGTGGCGAGCAGGCCATTAAGTTGACAGCCCATAATCTGAGAGCACATTAAAATCAACATAATTTGAGCTAAGTTGCTGATTATATTTTTGTATCAATATTGCAGCGATGGTTAGTTGTGCTGATATGAGTAGTGCAAAACTTTAGTATATGCAATAGAAGACCTTGCAACATTGTTGCAAACTGATTTGTCTCATATGTGAAAAAAATCTGAATTTATTATGCTCAAAATATTGCTTAAGCTCGCCTTATTATTAGTCCAGTTGAATAGCGAAGATATATGTTGGATTCAACGAGACAATGACTAACAGAATTCATACATGTATGCTTGTTTGACTAGTGGAACAGAAAGACACACCGTAGGTTCAGATGTATTATAATTCATGGGGCTCGGAGAACACTCTTCCTACTTCCTTGCACTTCATGAATAGCTGAAGGAACCCTTGACACCATCCAAGCTTTCACCAAGGGAAGACCTGGACAAGTTGTACGAAAGACATCACGGTTAAGGAGAAAAACAGCAGAATAACTTGATGGGTAGAGGTCTAACAGTAATCATGCAATGGTGATACAAATTCCAATTTAGATGTATAATTTTCTAAGTGCAATTCAAAATTGGAGCGTGTATATACATAACAGAAATGCATGAAATCTAATGTCAATGTCTTTTGCAAAACATCCTCATATTAGAGAATTATTCTTGTAATAACACCAACAGCTTGATTTTCCTTTAGTTAAGTATTCTGTATTTTTATTTACCTGAAGATAACACTTCAGCTAGTCGTAAGTAAATTTCATAAAACAGGATTGCAGATTCACAGTGATCAAAATGTGGCACAATAGCAGTATCTAAATTTGAGTCAATTACTCTTGGAACGTTAACTGCAATAATATCTGGAGTAGCAGATTTATTTTCTCAGGACATTTGCTGATAATTCAATGTTTTATGATCTTTCAAGTAGAAATATCTGAATCAGAAAAGGAAAACAACAAAATGCTCTTCCTAGTCAGGCTATTTTGGTTATGTTTAGCAAGCTAATCAATCATGGGAGGACTGAAGCATATCATTCGTTTTACACGTGCAAACTAAAGTGAAATTCTCCCTCTTCAGTAACAAGGTGGAACTGATAAATGACAGTATATGATAACAAAAAAAAAAGTTCCAATGGACTGAAAATATAATGGTGGATGATCAGTCAGACTATCGAACATTTGGATGTGCCAAAATTGGTGGTTGGCCCTCAATATCTAGACTGCATAATCCAAGCGATAACTGGGTGGAGAACATAACCTTTGCTCTATTGGAGTTTGTGGAGGTTGAGGAATATGTCGGGGAACACTTGGGTAGAACAAACATAATCATTTTGTTTGTTAGAAGTAGTATTGTTAGAATGTTGCTGTGATTGCTATATTCAGTTATTCAGTAACTATTGACCCCTTCTCCTATAGCTCACAGAAAGCATGTTGTAACAAGGTTGAGCAGATGGGTGTGTTCGTTCAATCATATTCAGGCCTAGTTTAGTTCCCATTTTTTTTCCCAAAAACATCACATCGAATCTTTGGACACATGCATGGAGCATTAAATATAGATTAAAAAAACTAGTTGCACAGTTAGGGGGGAAATAGCGAGACGAATCTTTTGAGTCTAATTAGTCCATGATTAGCTATAAGTGCTACAGTAACCCACATGTGCTAACTCGGCAAACCCATGGAAGTTGGACTCAGGGTAGACCCAATTCAACATCCAAAAACCTAAACTTAACAACAGATTGCAAATATATCTCTGTTTCTTACTTGTGCATGCAGTACTTGTACTCGTGGCCACGGATGTAGTCCAGCTCCCCTTCCTCAAGCTGCCACAACACAAAACACCCAAAATAAAATTCAAAGGAATCCTGATTTTTTTTTTAGAAAAAAAACTCCTCTGAAACATCACATCTCACTCTCACGCCGCCACTCACCGGGTCGCCGCCGTATATGAGATCGTAGCACTCCGGCGAGAGGCACCGCAGCACGCAGTTCTCCTTCTCCGTCGCCGAGGACTTGCACGCCCATCCCCACAATCCACTGTCCCACCGAGAGAGAGAGAGAGAGAGAGAGAGAAACAATTAGAAACTTCCCCATCAAAACCACCCCCACCGAACACAGACGGGGGGAAGCGTAATTCCGGCGCACGTACTTCTCGACGTCGGTGTAGCAGGCGCTCTTCTTCTCCCGGATCTCGTTGTCCTGGACCACGGGATTCGCAGCACAAGAACGGTGAGACGGACAGGGGCCGCCAAGGAAAGGCAGGGATTAGGTAGGGAGACGTACGGTGATGGGGCGGCGGGATGACTTGGCGGCGGCGGAGGGGAGGAGAACGAGAGCGAGGAGGAGTAGGAAGAGGCAGCAGGCGGCGGGGACTCGCCGGTGGCTCCGGTGAGGCGGACGCGGCGGTGGCAGGGGAGCCATGGCTGGCGGGGAGGATGGATTCGGTCGGGTCGGTTGCAGAATTGCTGGTGCGGCCGGTGGGGCGGACCCTGAGATGTGCCGTCGCGGACGCGCGTTCGGATGGATTTGATTCCGGCGGAAGTTGGAACAGGGGGCTTGAGCCTTGACGAGAAGTTTTATTTTGTTTTACCCTTTTTAGTTTTTAATTAAAAAAATAAACTCTCACAAAAAAATATTTTCAAATCTGAATCTTTTTAATTTTAAAAATAAACTCTCTCAAAAAATTATTTTCAAATCTGAATCTTTTTAGCCATTTGAAACCAACTTTAAAAAAAGTCTATTTTTGAAATTTAAAATATTGACCATACTTAATAGTAATTATAGTTAAAAAAATTTAAAAAGGAAGAAAGAGATTTTAAAAAGGAGCTAACAAACATGAATCGGCGAGCTCTCATCGACGCTTCAAATACGTGAACATGTTTGTGTCACCGGAACTGTTTAGAACTTCTTTTTTTGGCCGCGCAAACTGTTCAGAGTCCAGAAGTTGTTGTGGTAAGATAGTGGAGTAGTAGTACTACGTAGCATTCCCCGACTGCTATACAACGGAAACCCGTTGGAACGGGATGATACCGGTTAGGTATTAGATCCTGATACCTCTGACATATCATGTCTTAATACTTACTCGGTATCATGTGATACTTATAAGGTATCATGCGATTCCTATCATGTATCATGTGATACTTGCGAAGTATTAGATGATACCTGTCAGGTATCATACGATTCTTACCACTAGAATGTGATACTTGCGAGGTATCAAATGATACTTATGAGGTATCATGCGATACCTATCAAATATCAGGTGATTTCTACTAGGTATCAGAAACCGGACACCTACCCGACGCCAACGACCACTACCACCTCCCTCCCCTAGCTCCGGCCACTGCCTCCGCTCCCTTTCTCGGCTTCGGCTACCACCGCCGCTGCCCCTCCCTCCCCTAGCTCCGGCCACCGCCGTCCCTCCCTCTCCTGGCTTCGGCCACCGCCGCCCCTCCTCTTTTCATTGATGTCTCCTTGCCACCAGCTCAGCCATGACGCACTGCTGCGTCGACGTCGCGGGATCTCACTGTGTTGGGGCTCGTCGCCAGTGGCTGCATCCTCCTCTCGCCGAGCGGGTCCTCTTCCCCGGCCCTCGCCGGAGGTCTCACCAGCAGCCGCCTCCTCCTCACGGCTCAGGCACTTAGCTCTCGCTCCTCTTTGGATAGGCAAGAGGGACGAAAGGGATCCCATCCTGTCCCGACGGGATCCTGGTACGTAGCATTCCCAGAAATAAAACGTTGCACCTTACCCAAACCACAGGCAGCCTGTGCGGCTGAACACACTTTTACATCATTCGGATTTGCCTGCATCAATGTTTCATGGATTTCGGATTTCTTCACAATTTTGGGCATCGTGTCTTGCGCATGTAAAATGGTGATAACTAGCTTCAAAATTTGGTTACTCATAGTACTACAGTATGCAGTAGTAGCATGGTCAACTGATGAATACAAGTCCTTTTTTCTGACTGCCTGCTAAAAATTGTGTTAGTTCTATGTCACTTCTGTTACTATTAGGCTCCACTGTACCCGATGTTGGCTGCATTTTCCCCTACAATAACAAACCAAGCCGGAGCGCTTCTTCCCCGCTCAGACTGCTAGGCACATAAACTCCATAGGAATATTATGGGAAAAAGAAGAGAAAAAATCTGTGTGCAATAACGTCCAAATAACATCACCATAATAAATTTTAAGTCTCTCCATCGGCTTCTTTAGCTTCAGTAGGACGATCATACCGCTTTGGAGTCGACCTGATTATACGAGTTCTGCTTATCACGAATAAGAGCACTGTGATCATCAGGAATCCTTCTAGCAACAGAACAGCTGGATGAGATCCTCGTCGCGGAGTCCATAATGGAGTAACAGATTGTGCGCTGATTGAAGCAAATCTCGTATCCCCATCGTCGCCCCTAGAATGGTAGAAATGAAACTGTTACACAGTATGAATAAAGGCGCACCCAACTTTTATAGAATGAGCCCCACAAAAAGAAGTTATATTGATGATATCAATATGATGGGCGTATAGTTGCATTTAATGCTCATGGTAAGAGAAGCTACAAAAGAATGGTGGTATACCTGAACAAATTCCTGATAGATCGCCAGAGGGATCTTCTCTTCCCTGTGGATGAATGGGAGTTTCTCTCTCCCAAATTTTCTCTGTTTTTAGTCTCTGAAATAGCCAAAGATTACATAAGAAAGTCATGTACCAATGGAACAATGCCTCAGAAAGGAAAATAGGTACCTTCACCTGGAACAGAAATACACCCAGTTTCCTTCAGTGCTGCAATTTCTTGTACTAATGTTCGTTCTTGGTTGCTGATGAATATAAGCATTGATAAGGCAAAGCACCAAAAGCTAAGAGTAATATAACATAATTTGATGCGCCTTGTAACAGTATAATCTGTAACCAAGGATGTTTACCGCATAAAAACTACAAAGCAATACTACGGCTAGCATTAACCCATCACAAAGTACAACAATACTCGCAACTCAAACCTGATACTCTTCGGGATCTTCACATTTATCACAAAATTATGATCTCCTCTAATGGTAGGATTCTTAATGTCTGGAGCTCCCAGTTGAGCAAATTTCAGCCGCTCCCCAGGCTGAGTGCCAGGAGGAATATAAAGATCCTTGAATCCCTCTATTGTTTCAACCTGAAATAAGAAACACTCTTTCTAGGTAAAGCTGGAGCCAGAGTTCTGCTGCTACCTGCTAGCATTACATAAATATATGTCATTGCTATGTAATGCATAATATGAACGGAGCCACATTTAACAGCTCACCTTCACTGTGGTTCCTAAAATTGCATCAGTATAATCTATTGTGACATCTGAGAACAGATCGAGGCCTTCTCTGTGGATGCCTTCTTTTTTATTAACATGAACAAATATGTATAGGTCACCAGTTGCGCGCCTGCACAATAAGATGAAATGGATAACATCAAATAATATATTTTAATACATCATAAATATATAAGTTCCTGAGAGGAATGTTTATAAGAGATTTAGTGTTCTATGATGAATTAACTGACTGGGATGGAAGTACCTTCTACACATGCAGTTTTACTCATTTTTATTCTGAGCACTCCGACAATAAACAAAAAGAAAAATGTAGGATAGTTTTGAATGCTGTATGATTAAATCAAACATACAAAATTCAACAAAGATTGCATGAATTACATGGTTATGTATTATTTTCCCAGTGCTTGCCTTTGATTATCAACGCTACCTCCTCTGGTAATTCGAATGGCAGAACCATCATGAATACCTCCAGGTATGTCTACCCTGATATTGCGTTCAACTTGGATTTTGCCTGACCCACAGCAGCTAGTGCAATTTTCAGTAATTACCTTCCCTTTGCCATCACAATTTAAGCAAGTAGATATCTGCAGAATATATCAACACAGATATTACCTAAAGCGTGTTTATGTTGTGGTTCATGAAACAAAGAGTAGGAGACCCTGAGCAAATAGTAAACATTGAAGAACAGATTACTTTATGAGGTATATGCAGCTAATGATGACATTGAAATTCCACTGAATATACTACAGCTGAACTTTTGCACGTCAAGGGTGAGAACATTTAGAATATATATATACTTTACTCTCCTGAAAGAAGACAATGGTGTTGGCAGTGAATCCGATACCCAACCTACTCCTTTTTTTACCTACTACTTCTTGGTGTACTTTCACATTACAAAATAGTCCTGGTACATATTGTATCTATGTTGGCCTTGTTCCGCATAGCTGTACAGCGCAGCCGCTGCAGCGGTCATGCTTTCTCTTGTGTGGTGGTGCTGTTGCTGCAGCATAAATCTCAGCCGAACAAGCCTGTTATTTCATCTCTAAATTACAAGTTTATTATGCAAAGACATCTACATGGATGAGTTGTTCTAAAAACCTCACAATTAATTCATATTTATGCGTATAACTCATATTTATCCATAGCAAAACATGAGTATTTAGCTAGTAATATTTCATATACAATGGCTTCCTGCATAATGAATCTTCATCCCCTGTCCCAATGAATATGAAAACTCCACAAGCCGTCTTATACTCTATTTACTCAGCAGAAGAAGAAAATTATAATTGCACAACATCATTCATCAGCAAATTTTTCTTTTACTTAATCTACTAACTGGTTTGTAGTAGATCCAGGGAAGAAGAAAGAAACCACAAGATATTATCAGATTATTTGTAGTGGTGAACAAATACTGAGAATGAATACATACGGTACAATAAATAGTTCACCTGAGATACTATACCAAAAGGTGTCCTCTGTGTTTTCATTAACCTGCCTTGACCTCTGCATTGAGTACATTCTGTTATGTCATTGCTAGATTTAGCACCAGTTCCATGGCAAGTGCCACAGGTTTCATAACGAAAAATGCTGACTTCTCGTTTGCCTCCAATTATTGATTCTTCAAAAGAAAGGAGAAGATCATATCTGTTATATACAAAAGAGAGATTAAAATAGTAAACAAACATCCAAGTATCAGTTCCTTGCTTCAGTGTCAGGTTAAAATTGTTTACCGAATATCAAGTCCCCTGTTGTCTGTGACTTTTGTACCATAATGGAATCTCCCAGCACCCATGCTGTCTCTAAAAAGCTTATCAGGGCCACCAAAGAATGCATTGAAGAGTTCATATGGATCAATCTGTTGAAGAACAAATTTAAATAACTTTATCAGATTAAATTTTCTCTCTGGATTCTAATATTTGGCAATTGGCATACCAATATAATGCAGCATGTTTTCTAGTTATCTGCAGGTTTCTCAGAACTCAATGGAAATCACAGGCTTAGTCAGGAGTTGGGAAAATGAGATGAACCCATTTGCTGAGGGTGAAATGGGAAACAAGAAAAATTGGTAAACACGATATGAAATTTAGACACCAATTGTCAAAGGTTGGATAATATAATTAACTAGAAAAATATCAGGTAGACAAGAAATTTCAGTTCCTAAATTTGGACAGATCAGAAGCAAAAAAATGTAACTTAGGTATTGAACAGAATGACTACCCCATTGGAGCCAATATCTCCACCTCCATAATCTCCAGTGAGCCCTGCTTCTCCAAAGCGGTCATACAGAGATCTTTTTTCTTCATCTGATAGAATCTATGAGAAATTACATTGTAAACATTGTAAAACATCAAATGTAGCATATTCCCTATTTTCATGGAATTTCAACTATTGCAGATAAAGGTACATAAAGCAGAACCAGAACTTAGGTCAACCGCACGTTATACAAGGAAGATGCGTCGAAAATCAACCAGTCTATATCAGTAAATACCTCGTATGCGGCACTTATCTCCTTAAACTTTTCTTCTGCCCCAGGGTCCTTGTTCATATCAGGATGGTACTGAATTGAAAGAAAACCAATGAAGTATGTTCAAGATTTGTAGCTCCATCTTGAAGCAAACATCGGTGGAATTTAAGAAGCATATTAACAAAGTAATACAGCACATGATAAAGTATAAGTTGGATATCACTGAACATCCAAAACTGATACATTTGTGGTTTACTCCATAAACAGAAGGGTCCCGTGTAATCATGTATTGCTTATTTGAAGAATAATCTTCCAACGCGCAGAGGCCCAAATACGCAAACTCAGTGATGGAGCTAAAAATCATTATCTATCTTCAGCCTTTTCTTTATTTTTTAAAAAATGGAGGAATTAAAATATGGTACAACAGCAAAAAAATAAATGGGGAAGCAGAACATATCGTGGATTCATGGAGCTTTGCTGTGGAATACAGTCCAGGTAGTCGCCAAAACTTCTTCATCTTTTTTGCATACAGTAAACACGTAGTATAGCCAAGTCAGACAGAGTACACAATTTGTAGATCATCTCAGTGAAAATGCTCAAAATTGCAATGATACCGTGCGATTTCCATGATCCACATTACCAAGAATTACATAGTCATTTTACTCATTTTAACATATACTGTAACCAGGATTGTGCAGGGGATGCAGAAGACGATAATTACCCAGGTTGGAACAAGCAGATAATGCAAGTGGCCCAACTCAATCGCAACTATATCACGCTACCGGTTCAATTCCAGATAAATTGAACTGCGCATACACTAAAACTAGCAGTATCACACAATCTAACACTTCGAGGGGACATGACATCGGAGAGTGAAGGGGGGGGAGTGCAGGTGCAGCACCTTGCGCGCTAGGGTACGGTAGGCCGTCTTGACCTCCTGCAGGGTGGCGTCGCGGCGGAGGTTCAGCGTAGCGTAGTAGTCCTTCCCGCCGCGCTCGGCCGCCGCCGCGGGTGATCCCCTCCCAAACGCGGCAGTGAGATGGGTTCGAGCGCGGTCGCGGCGGGGGAAGCGGAGCACACTGGAGGCGGCACGCGATGGGGGACGGAGGGAGGAGGTGGGGTTTGGAGTAGGGTTTGGGTTTGCGGGGACGATGAGCGCGGCGGCCATGAACTCGCCGGCGACTTCCACGCCGCCGGCAGTTGGTTTTCACGACGGAGAGGTGTTCCAGTGAGGGGAGCTAAACCAGACGAACCGAACACGCTTGACCGTTCAGTTGAAGCTCGCAACGGCTCGGATGATCGGCAACTTTTGTTATCACTTTCGACTTTACCGAATTTTAATATTATCAAAATTAGATAATAAACTAAACTTACTTTAGCCATTACTACCTAGTACTTTCTCCGTCTCACGTTACAAGTTGTTTTGATTTTTTTTCTAAGTCAAACTTATTTAGATTTACTAAGTTTAAAGACAAATTTATCAATATTTATCACATAAATGCTATTTTGGGTTGAAAATTACCGTATTTTTTAAAACTTAATTAAATTTAACATAGTTTGACTGGGAGTATCAAATTTTAGAATTTCTTTAATCAAAAGGGCGACGCCCCTCCATTTTTCATTAATATAGAGATGTCACGTGACTAGAATTCTGGAAAGCTCCGATACACCAAAACAAAAACTAAAAAAATAACTGTTCATTTAACGACAACACACAGCATGCCCTCCATAATCGAATTTAGGTATTTTCAGAAGCTCTCTCTTAAAATTTACCAAATTTAATAATGCTAAAATGTGTCATTTAGCATTACCAAAATTTGGTATACTTTATTTGGGCAACAAATTGAACAAGTCCTTCGATGGATTTTCCTTCTTAATAAAAAAATATTATACAGCAAAAGAAATCTCAAATATGAGTTGCCGGATAACACATTTTGGACGCATCAAATTCGAACTCAATTTAGCAAAATCTATATAGTTGAGACTTGGGATGGGAGGAGTGCTTATGTGCATTACAATACATAATTTGGAGTTTACTATTTTGAAACAATTGTGCATGCCTCCCATCATCATCTATAGTCTCCTTATTGATTTATTAACTACAACCAAAATTTAAATTTAAATTTTAGTTATACAGCTTGTTTTATAATTATTTTATTGTAGTTTATTTTTTAACATTGGCTTTTAAACCTCTAATAACACTAAAAATTTTAAAATTATTTTGGAGTTATTTTAAATTTAACCTATAAATTATTTTTTATGGTCCCTTCTCAGTTTATCAGATATAGCTCAATTTTTTGGGGGGAGAATTATATGTTTAAACTTCCGGAACAAATACGTTAATATGACGCTTAAATAAGCGCAACACGAATCAACAAGCGTAACTTCACCTTGATTTTAAAAATAAATGAGGGTAAATTTGGAACATGCACATACAAAAAGAAAGAACAAGACTATATCATGAGGTGGTGATCATTGCAAACATCATAAATACTGTCATGGGGTAATTAACATTTTTCATTTGAATTACACAAAGCAAAGACCCTTTTTTTTTCTAATCTTATTAGATTCTTTACTGTCAACGCTTTCTTCGAGCAGCACAGCTCATTGCTATATTCAAGCAGATTTCTTGCTGTCCTGAAGTCGCTCAAACAGGCTGCCATCGAAGGCGCCTCTAACAGTTTCTCGTTGCAACAGCCCTTCTTTATCCTTGGCCACGCTGTACAGTAGCATCCATTCACCAGCGCTAGTAATCCTGTGATGGTTTGCAGGAAGAACCAATTAGCAAAGTTGTAACTGAAAAAAAAAAATGATGGCGAACGGTACTGCTAATTCAACCATCCGCTTACCAGCCAATGAAATCATACATATTGCGGTTTGCTTTAATCATCGAGTTCAGCTCATCTTTTGTCAAAGCATTTGGATGAGTTCTGCCATACTTGCTGAATATAGCATCAAATTTCGATGGATCAAACCTAGTAAAAGCATATAAATTAGTGAGAAATTTGAAACGAGATAGAAATTGTAATCGTTTCTAGGCAAAGAGAGGAACTTAACAATTATGTATACAAAGTTACATACCTCCCTTCAGTATCATATGCTTCAGAGTCACTCCCATGCTTACCCTTGTGAATGTTCTTTATATGGATGGAAAACAGAGGAGAAGGCATCCACCCCTGCATTTGAAAGAAAGTAAACATAAGTTCATCTGTACATGTTGGCCCCTCCATAAAAAAACACATCAAATCCAAAGCCTGAAGTGAAGATAGATATGTCTTCCCACTTACAAAAGTCACTACAATTCAATTTTCACTAGCCTAGTGACACCTCTTCACATTTACAAAAGAAGGTGGTGTAACATTCAGACCAACATATAAAATTCAGAACGCCCTAAAAAACATTATACAATTTCTTTACATCATAATCGAGAAGATTAGTCCAGATTTTTTTTTTGACGTAAGATTAGTCCAGATATGATCACACAGTTTGGCAATACAGCAAAAGGCACGGCATATATGTTGGTAAAAAGTATTGAAAATAAGGAGCACGTGGAGTACAGAGGGCAAACTTTACCGGTTGAGTAGGATAGCTGAGGACGAGGTTGATGAGTATGGCACCAGCAATCGACACGGGATACCCGCAACCTATCGCTCTCAGCCCTGTGAAAAACAAAAAACAAAACATACCATATACTCAAAGTCTCATACTACATCTGCACTGCACAAGCAATCGTTGATTTGGAAGCATAATTCTGACTTAACACGCGACCCTAAAATCTCTTAATCTCTTCTGTTGCGTCAAGCTTAATTACAACCTTAGAAGGCAAACTGTTTGCCTGTCCGAAACGGGACACAGATATAGCAGCAGCAGAGAGAGATGGACTGATCGCGACGTGGAGAGTTCATCCACAGCAAGACACACGGGCGGATCACTCACTCGCTCGCTCACTCACTCACCTTGGAAGGTCTCCCAGGGGTAGATGATGCCGTCGCCGTTGCGGTCGAAGAACGCGGCGTGCTGCTGGAGCACGCTCATGCCGCGGGCGTCGCGCCCACGGGTCCCCTGCGGGTGGCTCGGGTCCACCGCCGCGAGAGCCCTCGCGAGATCTGCGCGCACGCGAACCCAGAAAGAAAAAAAAACAGCAGCAGTTAGCTGGCTACGGTTACGACATCAGGTTTAGGATCAGTTACTGGAGCGGTAGTAATTTTTCTGCACTGTAACAGATGATGCAGTACCAGTAAAGCACTAGCGGTGCTACTGCTCTCATGTATACTTTCTGAGAAATTTCAGAAATTTTACGTTACTTGACAAAGTACATTGAGATATCAAGATTTTATAATACTTAAAAATTTTAGTACATCGAAATACGTAGTATCTAGAGAAATTAAATGGTAAAATTACACATTCTTTCTGTTGGTACTTAAACCATATGATCTCTCAAGTCTCAACTGATGTACGTCGAGCTGCCGTCACGCACAACCGCGTGCTTTGCAGCCAACTCCGGCCTCTCACTCTCTTATCAGGTTATCAGTGTTCAGTGACCACTGACCAAAGACATCAAAGACGATCGAGAAAGAAAAAGAAAGATAGAAAGAAAGAACAGTTTTTTTTTCGATCCCTGCATGGTAGAAATAGAATCGCTTACATGGCTTGGGAAGCTGCTCCTGCAGGTTGGGGTTGAGCTTCCGCTCCCCCGTAACAGCCGCGTGCGGCGCTACCGTCTCCAAGGACGGGTCAGACGACGGCGGCGACGACGACGAAGACGACGCCATGGTTATTCGGGGGGCGAGTTTGTAGGATCTGCAGATCGAAAGAACGAACGAACAGAAGAAAAACGAAAACAAAACGCTCTTAGTTGGGGATCGAACTAGAACTCTCAGGGCAATGCGAACAGAAGGAATCCAAGACTGCTTTGCAACACAAGGCACAAGCAAAAAAGATGCAGGATTCGATGGATGGATTACCTTTGGCGCAAAGAGAGATGGGGGCGCCGGGTGGGGAGGCAAGCAATAAGTAGTAGGGTCGCCATTAGGAGGAACGCCCCCACACCGTATTTAAAATGCTCGCGAACGGCAGCATCACCAAGCTAGCCGAAATCCTCCGCCTTCGCCTTCGCATCTGGAGTTCTGGACAGAGTCCGAAATATAGGTTAACACGTGGAAGGCAACGGATTGCTCGCTGAGTCATGCTACTCCTAGAAACGGAACGAACAAAATCGGCGCGGCTGTAAAACTGTGTGCTGCAAGGGTCTGAAAAGCTACTTTCAGTGCTGCAGTTGGTAGGAACAACAACAACAGAGTACTGCACGTATCTTATGACCATGGAAATGAGTGGGATTAATGACCGTGATTAGAGTGTGATCCCTGAAGCCAGCGAGAGAGTGCTAGCTATCTCCTGGTGGTTAGGTTTTGAGTTTTGACAATTTGCAACATGCCACGGGCCACACAGCAACGTGACCTCGCGTGACATCGTGATCGGAGAGTGCTAGACGCGATCTTCTCTTGTACTAGGACTGCTTATTTTTTGCACTACTGGCGTGTGCACGATGGATTGAATGCTCACATTGCCCTGCTAACGGATCTGGCGCGTGCGACGCATGAAGAGCTGGATTTTTCACAATTTAGTCCTTTTAAAAAATCTTATTTCATAAATAAACCCATGAAAAAACTTATCCGAAAAATAATCCTTTTTAAGACGCCAGAATACGACGGCGCCAGTCCTCCTGCCACCGTGGCGGGGCAGCGCTGAGGTGGGGGGAGCGCGCCAATGTGGTTGGCGCCCCTCCCTCCCCCCATTTTTTCCTCTCTCTAGTGTAGAGGAGAGATATGTACAACTTATTATTATTATTATTTTCACACTTAGAAGCACACAATAACCAACCATACAAAAATTAAACTCAAATAGATGAAATATGTGACTTATAAAATTTTCTAAAGCTATACCGAAAAGACCCCCCCTCCCCCGCGTTCTCCCTGCTTTTCGTTGTTTTGGTTTTTCCTGTAGTCCCCAAAGAAAGTAGATTAAATTTCGAACACTCTTAGACTTTTTTACATTTTTCACATCCTATAAACAATAAAAAAAGTTAGGGTTCGTGTTTCTTTTTGTTACATTCGGGTGTCATTTCTTGAAACAGTCGTAACTTTCTCATACGGACTTGGAATCAGGCAAATAATATATCCACGGATATCTTAAAAAAAAAGTTACATCCGATTCTCCCCCGCTTTGCTGGGTTCGAGGAAATTAAAACCTCCAAATTCCACTTGCAAGATTATGTTTTCGAGGCGAGAAGCTTTTCGGTAGAGCTTTGAAAAATTCTATAGGTCACATACTTCGTCTATTTGAGTTTATTTTTTTTATGGTTGGTTCTTATGTGCTCCTAAGTGTGAAAAAAATATATAATAAATAAAAAAGGGGGGCGCCAGCTACATTGGCGCGCTCCCCCTGCCACCTCAGCGCCGCCCCGCCACGGTGGTAGGAGGACTGCGCCAGCTACTTTGACGCCCCAAAATGACCATTTTCGGGATAAGTTTTTTCAAGGGTCTATTTGCGAAATAAGTTTTTCAAAAAGTTCAAATTGTGGAAAATCCAGCATGAAGAGGGTGTTTGGTTGCTTACCAAAGTTTGCCTCAATTTACCACAAGTATGATAAGGATGTTTTACTGAGTTTAGTGCAGTGTTTGGTTCTAACTACGAGTTAGTCATATCAAACTTTCCTTGAACTTGATCCCACATTTGGATCATAGACATAATAATATATGGTAAAAAGGTTAAGGTGTGGCTTCTTGATCACAGCTTTAACAACTTAACCACAAATATTTGGCTGGCTTAGGTAGTGTTGGACAACCAACCAAACAGTCCCCAAATCCTCCCAAGCCGGTGCGAATCAGAGAAACTTCTCCCCGGCTCCCATTACTCGTTTAGCACTCTTCGCACACAATTTCAACCGTAAATCCAGAATACGCGATCCGAACAAGCAGAGCGACTGCCTGTATTTTTACAAGCTTTCTCGAGAGGGTGAGTGTGCACTGTGTCTGCGTACATGTCAACGTCTCTTGCAGGATACTGGCATGGGAGATAGAGCAAGCCAGCCGCCAGCATGGCACGCGTCTTGCGTCTTGCGTCTTGGCGTGCTTTGCAATGGTACACACGTGCTGGCCAGTGGAAAGGCTAGGCGCGCGTGACGCTCGCACCTGTAATTCGATCTAAACAAATCGAAAATATTTTAATACCATCATATGGATTCTGAAGCCACCGAAATGTGGAGATTTTGAGATCCACGTAGTACTCCGCCTCAGCTGATACTCCGTTTCTTTCGCCCGTTTTTCCACGTACCACTCGCACGCACCAACATCATGGCTCTGTTGAAGAGAGTATCCACGATATATGGAAGAGCGGGTGCTCTGAAGTCGGAAAGCTACGCGGAATGGCAGATGGTCAGATACAGATAGGCATTGATCGCAATGGCCAGGAAGCAAACGACGACGCAAATCATGCAGCGCGTCAAGTGAAGATCCAATCGCCCTTGGCTGTTTCTGCCCCCGCATGCAGCGATGCAAACGGAGTGTGCCATGCTGCAGTACACGGGATTACAGGAAACATTTTTTTTGCTCCTTTGGTTCAGAAAAAAAGGGAAGAATAAGAACATTTACCCCAACTGTCCAGTGGTGCCCACGGGTGGCTGGTAGCGATGGGTCGCAGCCCGGCCGGCCTTACCGAAAAGGAGAAAAGACCGTACGACAATGGGCTTTGTGGTCCAGCTCGTTGGGCTCGGCACGGATGGCCCATCGTTGCTTGGAGCAAGTGCCAGTAAGCCTCTAAGCAAAGGTTCAAGTTTGCCGGCCTATTTTTAAAATTGGTTTTTGACACCTTACTAAAATTTTGATAAGTTTTCTCAAAGGGTCAAATTATTAAAATTAAGGAACAAACCGAACATTCTATTGTTATTGACACCTTACTAAAATTTGGTATTTCCATAAACGTTCTCTCATACTAGCATTACTAAATTTTGATAAGGCTACAAACTAAACGCTTCTAACGCTATCAACATTTGGTACTATAAAAATGCGCCAACTTTTGACAATACCAAATTTTGGTAAGGTTAATTTTGACATCAAATTAAACAATTGCTCTGAGTTAAAAACTTCTAAATGTAATTATGGTGTATTTGTATCTATTATATTATTAAAACAGCTTTGAAAGGAGGCACCACGTTCGATGTGGGGGCTAGAAATTCCCACATTAATCAGAGAAAAAGAAAAAAAGAAAAGAAGAGTCCAAGTAGAAATACAATCTAAAAATAGCTGAAATTCAGAATTAAAAATAAGCAATATTGAAGGAAGTTTCCATATAAGAACCCAATACGAGATTAATTAATATTCGAAATAAAAATAAAATAAAATCCAAAATTAGAAAAAAAAAGAGAGTCCAAGTAGAAATACAATTTAAAAATAGCTGAAATTCGGAATTAAAAATAAGGAATATTGAAAAAAGTTTTCATATAAGAACCCAATACGAGATTAATCAAAATTCGAAATAAAAATAAAATAAAATCCAAAATTAGAAAAAAAAAAGGATAGTCCAAGTAGGAATACAATTTTAAAATAGTTGAAATTCAGAATTAAAAATAAGGAATATTAAAAGAAGAGTCCGTATAAGAACCTAATACGAGATTAACTAAAATTGGGAATAAAAATAAAAATAAAATCCGAAATTAGCAAAAAAAATAATAAAAGAAGAGCTCAAGTAGGAATACAATTTAAAATTAGCTGAAATTCAGAATTAAAAATAAGCAATATTGAAAGAAGAATCCATATAAGAACCCGATACGAGATTAATTAAAATTCAGAATAAAAATAAAATAATATCCAAAATTAGATAAAGTAAAAGAGATTTCAAGTAGGAATACAATTTTGAAACAACTGAAATTGAAAATAAAAAATAAAAATATTAAAAGAACACAATTCGATATTAATTAATTTTTTTTAAAAAAATCTGAAATTAGAAAAAAGAAAAATAAGGTTCCAATTAGGAATACAATTTATAAATAACTAAAATTTGTGATAAAAATAAAGACTATTGATAGAAAAGACCATCTAAAACACATGACGAGATAAATTAAGTAACAGGCATATAAAGGAGTAGTGGTGGTGGTTGATACGACATAAAAAAAATTGTTAATGAAACACCAAATAGAATCCTAATGACGATTAAAAGGAGGGGCGATAGGGAGGCCGTAAAGCAAACGATCAAGGCGATTGCCGGGACTTCTAGAAAGTAAAAAAAATAAACCCCATTGATAATCATATTCGATTTTTAAAATCTCAATGACAATAAAAAGGAGAAGCAGCGAGCGGGGTGTATAGGAGTATAGTTGCAGAGCTGCCGATGGTTGACGGGACTTCTAGAAAATAAAAAATGAATTCCAACGATAGTTATGTTCGATTTTTAGAATCCCAATGACAATAAAGAGTAGGCGGCGGACGGGCCGTAGAGGAGCATAGTAGCATCGTTTGACAAGACTTCTAAAAATTATAAAAAAACGAAACCCAACAAGACAATAAACTCTAAAAACTACAAGGTTCAATTTTTGAAGGTTCGGAACTTCTAAAAAGTAAAAAAAAACAATGATAGTCATATTCGATTTTAAAATCTCAATGACAATAAAGAAGGGAGGCAGCGGGCGAGCCATAGAGAAGTACAATGGCAAAGTCAATGACGGTTTAGCGGGACTTCTAGAAAGTAAAAATGAACCCAAACGATAATTATGTTCGATTTCTAAAATCTCAATGACAATAAAGAGAAGAGACAGTAAACGGGTCATAGAGGAGTATAATGGCAACGTTTGACGGGACATCTAGAAATTATAAAAACGAAACTCAACGTGAAAATAAACTCTAAAACCTATAAGATCCAATGTTTAAAGGTTCTAAGGAGAATGAATAGAAATAGTGGTAGATCGAGCAAGCAAATAAAGAAGGAGATGACATAAGGGGTAGTATCTGGTGTGACTTTTAAAAAACTATATAATTAGAAACATGGGGATGATAAGGTTTGGTCTTTCAAACTCTTAAGACAATGAGATAGCTATTTAATAATTTTTTTAGTAAAATCATAAAAAATATATAATTTTGTTTGGGTGCTAGCCGCACAATTGCGCGGGCCACCCAGCTAGTTTGAACTACACGTAACACTATAACCGGTATGTAAAATTGTATATATAAGAAAATGAAATGAGGTGATAGCTCGCGCACATGTGTATTGCAAGTTGAAGATTTGATTCTTCCTGCGCACGCTGCTATTTCTTTCCACTTACGGTGCCGCCACCCGGCCTCCTCACTATCCTCTTTCCCTCGCTTTACCCCCGTTACCAATACTGGCCCACCGTCCCATGGCTTCGCTGTCGCCTCTCGTCCACCCTTGTTCGCCACCCATGTAACGCTCCGCTTTTTGTGAGGCGTTAAAAACTAATTCGGCAAAAATCCTATATGCGAAAATTCCATTCTCTGTGTGAGAGTCTAAGTCGTGCCGTGGATCTTAATTCAAATCCGTCCTTGATCCCTCTCGTCGCCGTCAAAAAAATCGCCTCCTCAGAATTCCTCTTCCAAATTTAAGTTCCCAAAATCAAACTCAAACATCCAATCTATTCCCCTGAACCCTCGCCAAAAACTTTACCGATTCCAAGAAAATATTGAACCCTCACCTTGAATCCCTCCCTATCCATTGATCGATCTATCCACTTATCTAACCTATCTATCCATCTATCCCTCTACCTATCGATCTACGTATCCAACTGTCTATTTATCTATTGATCTATCTAACTACCTTTGAATCCTTGCCAAATATTTGCCCCGACTCCAAAAATAACCAAATCCCCATTTGAAATTCAAACCCCAAGCTCCAAACCCTCCAAATCAGTTCTCTCGGTAAAAGTCTATTTTGCCTCCCTCTTGGTCAACTGGGCCGTTTTTCTCTTTCCGGTCCATCTCTCCCTCTCGGTCCGTCTCTCTCTCGCACGTGTGTCGCGCGTGTTCAGGAGCAGGAGAGAGCGTCGCCGTCTCCTTCCTCTCTCGCTCGATTCTCTCTCTCTCTCTCTCTCTCTCTCTCTCTCTCTCTCTCTCCCCGGGGCCGCTTTGCCGCCGCCGCCGTTCGAAATCCGGCCGCGCCCTCGCGTTCGCACGCGCGCGCTCGCGCGTGGCCGACCGCCCGGTCGCCGCCGCGTCAACCCTGGCCGCCTGCGCCGCGCAGCCGCCCATGCCGCCCTGCCGCTCGCCCCACCTCCGTGCGCTCGCGTCCAAGACGCGGAGGCAGCGCCTCTCTCTCCCTCACGCGCGTTTTCCTCCTCCCTCTGCTCGCTCAAATCGGGAAGGAACCGCGCTCCCTTTTCCCCCTCCTTTTTCCACTTTGCCCGACACCGCCCGTGACCGCCAGCTCCTCTCCTTGACCGCCTAGGTCGGTTTCCTCCCCAAACCGACATCACCACCGCCTATAAAACCCAACTCGAGCCCCTCCCTTTCCTCCTCGTTTCCTTGCCCAACCTCCACCGCGCCATTGCCGCCGGACCATCTCTGCCGCTCGCCGACCTCGCCTCCCTCCGCCGTCGCACGTGCTGGTGAAGCTGGTGTGTGCGACGACACGTGACGCGGGACTACGGGCACCCTCTCCTTCCCCTTCCCCGGCCCGAGTCCGGAGAGCTCGCCCCGCGCCGTCGGTCGCCCATCACAGCGCCCGTCTCGACTCGGTAGTGTCTCTCTCCGTTCTCCCTTCTCGCTCGCCCTCTCCCTCTTTTGGCTCGCGCGGTAGCTCGGTAGCCCTCCCGAACGCGCGTAGACGAAGCCCCAAGCCCCGCCGCCGCCCGGCATGGTCTCGTCGCGATTGCCGCCCGTTCCGGGGAGCCGCCGCTCGTCGCCGGCCTCACTCGGGACTCCTCCGTCCCATCCGACCCCAGGAATGAGCTCCCCGAGCCCCGGAGATGCTCCCGCCGCCTCTAATCGAACCCTCGTTGACCACCGGCGATTCCCCTCTTTTTCCGCCGCCGACGGTCGCCGCCGCAATCCGCCGCCGTCGGACCTCCTCCGTCGCATCCGAGCCGTTGAATCGCTTCCTCTCGTCCCATCCCTCCTCCCGGTGTGCTTCCTTTTTCCGTTGAGGTCGCGCCTTGCTCCGGTGAATGCCGCCGCCGTCCATCTCGGGCACAGCCTTCGTCTTCCTCCCGCTTGCCAACGTGGCAGCCACGTCGGCTTGACCCGGTCACGCCGATCCGGTCGGCCCCTCCCTCCGTTTTCCCTTCCGTGCTCGCGGTCCACGACAAGGCGTGCGGCAGCACGTGGGCCCACCTCCTCTCCGTCCACCCGGTGCACCAACCCCAAACCAACCCCACCGAACCCTAGCGCCGCTACCCGCATGCGCCTCCCCCACCGTGAGCCAAGCCGCCGACATGTGGGCCCCATCCCGGGACCCCGCGTGGTGGACCGCGGTCCACCCGGTCGGTCTCCTCCCCCTCCCGCGCCCCATTGGGCCGCCCTCCTCGCGGCCGTGCCGGCCCATTAGGCTCGGCCGAGCTGCGCAAGCCCCTCGGGCCGCGCCGCGAGCCGCCCAAGGAAGTCTGATTATCATCCCTCCTTCCTTTTCTTTTCCAAAGGGATTATTAAATCCTTTTCCCTCGTTCCATAAATCAATTCTTTATTCCATGAATCATTTCCTTTGGTCCCACATATCAATGACTACCAATAATATTATTGAGAATATTATTTCTATAAAATCCATAAACCATTTCTCCTATTCCAGATATTCCAATTAAACTTCCAAAATTCATATCTCTCGATCCGTAACTCCGATTGACTCCGTTCCACTTCCAATAATTCCGTAAAATTGAGATCTATCTAATGGCACTATTAATTAGTCTAAATAGGGTGTTTCTTTTGGTCTTTTGTTTAGGTTTTCGATTGTTTACGTATAGTCGCGGTTACCGGATTTTCGTCGATCACGGGTTTTCTCGAAGAATCGTGAAGCTTCATCTTCACCTTGAGCAAGGCAAGTCACCCTTTGACCAATTGCTCCTATAATTGGAAAATCATTATTATTTTGTGTGCAACCTGCAGCATTAGAATCACACACTTAACTTGCTTGGCCTCGGTTTGCGTGCCAAACCGACGGACCTACCCATTAGTCACACTAATTCCTGTAGGTTGTACTACCCTTATTCCTTGTCGCTCCACCCTTGTGGTACTTCGGTATCCGTGCTCTCTGAGCACGTATACCAACTACTCCACAGACACCATCGATTGTCGATAATTTGGGAAATGAGTTTGAGAAGCCTTGAAAACCCGACATGTGGTGTCGGTGTGTTTGAAAATAAAATGAATTGTGAAAACTCGCGATGCGGGGGTTGTGCCTACGTGGCGCTGTCCCGTATTCGCATATAAGGACCGATTCCTGTGGGAAACTTATCGAGCATAATCAAAGTGCAACCACAAGGTGGAATGGGACACCCTGGCTAAGTAACTAGTCGGTTCAGGGAAACCTCGCATGCCAATAGTTGGGAACAGGGTCGGTTGGAGCCAAACCAGGTTCCTGGTAAGCAAGGAAGAGAAGCTTGCTGAATTACCGATCGAGGTGGTTGGAATTTGATTTGTGAAAACTAAAATGGCCTATACTTATGTGAGGATTTGATCCTTCTATGTGGCATGAGGTATCCATGGGTCGGCTTGGGAAAGGCTTTGTTGCGAACCTCCGATACCGACGGGTGTTCGGAATAAGTTCGTATCTTGTGGGTAAAATGTACCCCTCTGTAGAGGTTAACTAACTGGTCGAACAGCCGCGCCCACGGTCATGGGCGGATGTGAGGTGGTTCCCGTTGCGTAGATTTGTTTGCCTGTGCTTTGTGAAAAGTTGTTGTGGTGTGGGAATCGTAACCAGAATCAGCCTATGTGGCAGATGGATGACCTGAGTGGTCAGAAACGAATATGTGTGATTCGGGATGTCTGCGGACATCATAGACTAGGCTTCCCGAGTGGAAGCGGATTGTTGTGCTGCTGGGCAACTAGACTCTGGGAGTCCGAGAAAATGAAAAAGGCTATGGGAGCCGGTTAATCAAGTGAAATGGCTCCGGGAGTTGAGAAGTAATGATCTGACCCGGGAGGTCGGTACATTACCATTTGAGTTGTTGAAAAGCATCTCTTAAGTCGAATCGAGACGCAAGTCTCCTTTCGACCCAAAGTTAAAAAGAAATAAAGCACTTAGTGATTTCAAAAATGATTTCAAACAAAGGAATTGTAAAACAACCTCGCCTCTCTTCCAAGCTTGCATTAAACACCTAAATTCCCGTGACTTGCTGAGTACGAAAGTACTCACCCTTGCTCTATATAAATAAATATATATAGTTCCTCCGCCCTGAAGAGAAGATGAAGTGAAGTGAAGATTAGGGTTTCGTCCTGGCTCCCAGCCGTCGCCTGTGGAGATGGGTGTTAGTCCGTTGGTTCCGCTGCTGCTGCTGTTGTTGGTGTTTCCTCGTCCGTGTCGTCGGTTGCATTCTCGGGCTTTTCTGAGCTGCAACCTAAGTTAAGGTAAATAAATCCTCTATTTATTTTAAGGATTTGCAATGATTCATATTTGTCACCATGGGTACCAGCACTATGTCCTGGGACTAGTACTGAGATTGCGGTTTCGTAGGAAGCGGTTCGCGCCGTTATTCCTACGATACGCTCCTGTCAGTTGCCGTTGTACGGCGGTGCCAGATTGGGGTGTGACAACCCACCACCAGTGCACCACCTCTCAGGCGATCCCTTTAAATCCGATCCCCTACTTTACCCTCCCCCAGCACCACCTCCCCCCTCCCCCTCCCCATCCCCGAAAACCTAACCCTACCCCAGCTCTCGTCACTACATGGTTGGAAAACTGATCGCGAGATGTCTAGTTCACGCACATTCGTGAACTAGTGTTTTCGGCACCCATCTTCTATTGGCTCCTCTTGTGGGTAACAAGCAACGAGCTTCATTCTAGCTAAGGTTTGCTAGACCGACGGATGCGAGGGTTTTGGGAAAAGACAGGATAATGAGGCGGGCAGGGCGACGGCGTGACCCTCAGATTGTTGATGCGAGAAATGGCGAAATGCGAGGGAGGAGAGTTTCATGGGCCAATCCACCAAACAAAACCTAGTACCTAGTACTTCGCATTGGAAGACCCATTTATTTCCGTGGACTGCTATCTCACATGAAATGCATACTCCACACTTCCACTTAAAAAAAGGAATTTCCTGAATATCAACTAGATAATTAAGTAGGGAGAATTTGAAATCTCAGCTAATAGCCAAGCAGTGAACTTTTTTTGTTTACTGGGTATTTTGCGGTCATATGGTGTGTTTTATTTCATTCTTTGTTGGATACTCTCGTTTCATATTGTACAAGTCATTTTAGTTTTATGCTAAATCAAACTTTTTTTAACTTTAACCAAATTCCTAGAAAAAAATGAACCAACATCTATAGCACTAAAGAAATACACCGTGAAGACATAAGGAATATTTGTGTCGACGGTGGGTACCCGTAGACCGGATATAGAGGGTATTGGGGTACGCTGGTACGAGGATCTACGTAATACGACATTAAGGAAACAAGAGACAAAGATTATACTGGTTCAGACCTCTTAGCAGGTAATAGCCCTAATCCAGTTGATATGGGATTATATGGAAAGAACCATATATTACAAAGGGAAAAGTAGAACTCGGTAGTACCGACGAGATCGTAGTCGAGTTGATTCGACTAGATCACTCGGCGACTTGGCTCCTGTAGTCTCCGGCTTCGTAGGCTGTGGTCGTTGTGTCGGCTATGAGATTCGATGCCTTAGGTCTCCCGGGGGGTCCCTTTTATATCGCAGGTCAGGCGGTCCCCAAGTAGGACTCGGAGACATTGGAGCCTGCACGATATAGTAACGACCCAGTCCTATACGGGTAGGAACCTTTCCATTGGTAGACTTCGTGATGGATTTCCTTAGCGTGTTCAGAGAACGTCCGTATATGCACCGATATACCGTATTGCCGTATAGCATACATCTAAGGGTAGAGGGTATACCTTATCCGTAACCCTGACAATTTGAAAACTCAAATTTTATTTAATATTTTGAATGTCCTAAATATTCATTTTGGATTCAAACTTAAACAATCAAAATCAGAAGAATGACCCTAGCTAGCTTTGATTTTTCTTTCCTTTTCCAATATTCACAGCCCTCACTGTTCTTGGACTGGGAGAATTGGCTTCAGCGTCCACCGCTCGTGCGTCCTCTGTTGCATATCGCGTCCAAGTATATTCAAATCTCTTGTAATGCCAACGACTGAGGTGACTTAGTGGAGCAATTTTCAGCAGTCGGTGATAATAAGGATAGTCGTCGTCAGAATCTAGCAAAAAGTCTCCCGAACAGTTATCAGCTACCTCCTTTTCAGGGGTACTTATAGTCATGCTCTTGATTGAACTCGAGCTTCCGAACAACAATCTCACGAGGTCCATTTCCTCATCTGTTCCTGTGAAGCTAGTTAATCTTACCTCTTCCAGAAATTCCAACGATATATTACGATTGTCCGTCCGTGTATCTTGGTCCTTGGATGATCGATCTCTGTAGATGGAGAGTAAATACAAGTAAAGAAAACGTCAGAACAGATCGACGCCTTACCGGTGTGTTTGAGGGGTGCAGTTTGCATATATAGAGCTGTTATATTGTGCTAATTAAATAAATTACTAGAAGTGAAATGAGCTCACCCCCACCCTCTCAAACAGATGCGAAGTGATATTAGATCAGGGCACATCAGTAGCAACGACCACACACTTGTGACCAAATATTGATCCAATCCACATGCGTCGATGACCATGCTCCTAGCTTTGTAAAGTCGAGGTGCTCCATTGTCCGTCAGATCATCGACCTCATGAGTGGCGAGCATCTCGTATCGAAGTCTCAACCGTAGTCGGTGTTGCAGCAGTTATGCCCATGCATCGCTAGAGTGAGGTTTTTGAGACGGCGAACGCTTGCCAGGCCATGTATCCGCAGGTCCAGGTTGTCCTCGATCTCCAGGGTGGAGTTGTTTATGGCGATTTCCTCCAGTCTCGGTGCCGTGATTCTGACCACCAAGTCGATGCTTTCCCCATAGCTCGTCACTGATGTCATGCTGTTGAAGTAGTGGAGTTCGAAGATGCGCAGGTTGGGCGCCGTCACGTCCATCGTCTGCGTATCTCGCGTGGATGCAACGATAAGCTCCTCGAGCGCCTCGGCACGAAGCACCAGCTGGGGCAACCGCATCGGATCGATGATCTCCAGCTTACGCAGGCGAGGGCAGCAGGACGAGATGAAGTCGCCGAGGGTGCGGCGGCCGGCGACGGCCTCGTCCTCGCCGAACCACGCCGAGCTGAGGCTCAGATCTGTCAGCGCTTCGTACCTTGCCGCTGGGGACGCCGGGAGTTTGAGCCGGAAGGGGTAGGACGACAGGTTGAGGTTGATGGACGCCGTCCTCCCATAGCTGGGCAACTCGACGGTTGGCAGCTGGTGGCCATGGTCACGCGGTGGCGGTGCCCACCACGCACCGATCGGCGTCGAATCGCAGGCATTGAACCAGAAAGTTTTGACGACGCGCCGCACGGCGTAGCGGAGCCACTCGTTGACCTGCTCCGGCCTCGCGCTGTCGAGGCGGGACATGAAGATGATGACGGATTGTATGTCGGCATCGCCGCGTTGTGCGAACGCCCAGTCCACGAAACCACCGAAGTTGGCTAACCTCCTCCATCTCGATTGCCGATCGTCGTCGAAGCAGAGTTTCTGGGCATGAATCCAGACGCGCCGCCATCGCCGCGAGAGTTATAAAATCATCCCTCAACCCACAAAACCAACATCTCTCAGCTTACAAAACCGTTTATTTTACATTTTAGGTGGTTTTAACACTGGTTTTATCCGACGTGGTTATTTAGTCAGCGTGGAACTCATATGGCCCCGCATGTCAGGGTGTCCACGTCAGCACCCCTCTTCTCTCCCTTCCTTCTCTCTCTCACCACTCTGCGCAAGCTGGTCAGCGGGTGGGGAGGACGCCGGCGGGAGAGGAGGGCGTCGGCGGCCGGCGACGGGCGACGCGGCGGCGGTGATGGCGGCGCTGCCTCCGCCTGCGCCGGGACATGACGTAGGAGGTCGATGGAGACGACCCGAGGAGGCGGATGAGCACGCGGCGGCCGACGGAGGGGAGGGGAGCGGCAGCGAGCGAGTGCGCGGCGGGCTGAGCAGAGCGGCAGTGGCGGGCGAGCGAGCGGAGCGGCAGCGGCGGGCTAGCGAGCAGAGCGGCAGCGGCCGCGAGCGCGCAGCGGACGAGCTCTGCAGCGAGCGGGCGGGCGGCGGCGGCAGGCGTGCGAGCGGCCGTCCTACAGGGAGCTGCTCCGGTCGCTGCACCGCCTGGCACGCGACCTGTCCGCCGTCGACACACCCGCGCCATTCCTGCGCGCCTCGTTCGCGTCCATCTCGAGGCGGTCTAAGCTACTGGCGGCCGCGTTGGATGACCTGCGGGGCGCCGCGGTTTATCTTTTCTTTCTGGTCTGTGTTTTCATGTTGCCTTCTACATGTTCAATTTGATTTTTTTTTTCATGGATCGATGGTATATGGTTTTTTTCCTGTGTGTTTTGAATCGTCCTCTCTTGCTCCTGTTAAGGTTGGGGAACCAATATCTCTGTGGTGTCACCATCTTTGCAAGAAGGGGATAGATCGACGCGTCAAGAAATCATTTCTGTTGCCATGGCTCCAGTAGGCAATACGATTGTTGCTTGCGTACAATTTTTTCTTGATGCAGACTAGTTTCTTTTCTTGTACCCTGTTTTAGAAAAATCTCACTCTTCTCTGTTTATATCTGTTCTGTTCATGCACAGTGCTAACCCCGGGCTTGTCGGACTGGAATCCTTTGAAGAATGAATCCCCAATGACTGTGCTAGATCCACCATGCCATTCAGTGTTGCAGGTCATGATGCTTCGAGCTCGTGATTGGTCTGTGTCAGCGTAATGGATACATTCAGTTATCATATTTCCTCTAAAATATTCGTGTTTTCGTTCATTAGATTTACTTTGTTAGATTTGGCGGTTTGGCAATGATGAAACAAACTTTCAGCTTACCATGCCAGTTCTGCTTCTGAGAATTCATGACAGATAAAGCTGATATAGATCTGAACTGAATGTTTTCATTTGCATTATGAGTGTGTGGCGCCGCCGGGGAGCTGATATAGATATCGAGGCTGTGCGGCGCCGCCGGGGAGTTGCCGCGGTTGGCGTCGCTGTGCCTGCGGGAGGTGCTCCTGGTTCAAGGCGATCGTCGCCGATTGCTCGGTGCGAAGCCGGATGCGGCTGCTGCTGGAGTCAGACGAGATGGAGGCGGAGCTACGGGAGCTCAACCACGACCTGGCCACGCTGCTCGACCTCTTGCCGGTCGTCGAGCTGGGCGCCTGGGCCTCGCCGACGACGTGCTCGACGTCCTCGCCCTCGCGTCGCGCCAGTGCCGGCGGTGCTCGCCGGCACCGGAGGCGGAGCAGGCGCTGAAGGCGAGCGTGCTGTCGCTGATACAAGAAATCGAGCCCCGGCACCGCCGTCGGACTTCCGGTGCCCAATCTCTCTCGATCTAATGCGCGACCCCGTTGTCGTGGCAAACGGCCAGACGTACGATCGCGAGTCGAGCGGCCGGTAGAGTGGAGCGGAGCGGCGGCGGCATCCAGCGACGCCCAGGGGAAAAATGAGAGGAAGGGAGAGAAGAGGGGAAAGAGAGAGTGTGGGCCGATATGGCATCCTTATATGTAGGGCTCACATGGATCACACGCTGATTCAGCCGTCACCTAGAATAAACCGGGGTCAAAACCACCGAAGGACCTATTGTGACCGGTTTTCATTAGTTAAGAGATGTCATATATCTGTTTTTATGGTTGGGGACGATTTTATAACTCGATGACAAGTTGAGGGACCTTCCATGTACTTTTTCCTCCTCCTTTACCCGTTGTGGTCCGGCCCATGTTTCCAGGCCCAGCGACCGAAGACGCTGCTGGATCAGCTAGGACCAGCCTAGCCGGTAAGATGGTAATTTCGCAATAACACCCAACCCAGCGATCTCCCCCGCCTCTCCCGTACGGTACGTCGCTTTCCCCTTCTCTCTCCCACCGACGGTGAACAGATGCCGCCGGTTGCCGGCTTCCATCTCCTCCGTTCGCGTTCGAGCATGGACGCCGATGTCGTCGGCTGCCGTCTCCTCCGCTCCTCCTCATCCTATGGAGCCCTCCTCCTCCCCTTCCCTAGCGCCTCCACTCCTGTCACCTCGTTACCAGATCCGGCCGCCCCCGTGGTCGAGGGTGTCAGATATGGCCAAGGGCACGATCTTTGCGTCTGTTTAAAACGGTATTGTTCCACACATCTGATTTTATGGGCAAACTGGCAAAGTTAAAGCACCTTCGAATGCGAAGCCAAGAATGTGAAGCTGAAGGAAAAACGACATCTCGGCTCATTATCTCTAGAATGGTCAGAGGATGATGGCACCAACAGCAGAGAAGATTGTTCAATCATTCTTGGTAACCTTGAGCCAAATTCTAATATGAAGAACCTAAAGATTTCAGGTTATGCTGGTGCTAAAATCCCATACTGGATTGCAAAAGCCTATGTGAAAAATCTTATTAGCTTAGATTTGGGAATTGGGAAGTTGTATAAATTGGAAGAAACTTCCATCTCTTGCAGAATTCCTACTGCTCAAGCATCTTCGATTGGACAACCTTCATCTTCCTTCAGAATTCCTACTGCTCAAGCATCTTCACGCGACGGCGGGCTCGATGCACGACAGCAACCTCATATTCGCGCGACGGCAGCAGGCGGCGGTGGGCTCGATGCGACGGCGGCGCGGCGCAGACAGCCGGCACGGACAACCTGATACGAGCAGATGGAAGAGAGGAGACCTTATTTTTGTTAGGCCGATCATATCCATGCTAAACCAATGGTTAGATTAGATTGGTATCTCAGGGTACCTCGTACCTCATAATACCTCGTGGTACCTAGGAAAGATGCTCTTGACAGTTCTTTATTAGCCATAAGACGTGGTCAGTGTTGCAGCAGTATTGTCCATGAATCAATGGAGTTTGGTCGCGGAGATGGCGAACGCTTGTCAGGCCATGTATAAACCCCGGTGATTAAAAGAGTTTTCCTGGGCAGCACGGATAAAGCGCACACGGCCGAGCGAGTGATCAACACAACACCACCACGCCAGTTTAAGGTTTTTATTCAGTTTTGCTACAGAAAATTTCAAGATTCAAAGATCAGAATATGAGAAGATTTGTACATAATCTTTAAGCCAAAAAGAATATCGATCTATACTAGAAATCGAACGCAATGGTGCCCCAACAGCATAGTACAAATGTTGGATTCGACTTCGCAACACAACCGAATAGCTAGCTAGCCTTTGAGAGCAGATACAATAGCAGACTATTAGCTAACTATAAACATATTTTAATGAGATAAAAGATAAGATAGAAGAGCAGCGGGCTACATATTTGTAGCCAACTACAGCACGGACTTCAAGACGTGGTGTGTGTATGATAAGTGGGACCATATATGAATAGTATAGCAAGCAATTATTGTATGAATTTGCTATTAGATTGACTATAGATAAATTAGAGTTAACAGTGGGCTATAGCTCTGATGTTTAATTCTCTCTATCTGAGACAGAGAGTTGGTTAAATTTCAGCAGGCACCACTTGTCACTGAGTCACTCAGTGCGTCCTCTGTTGTGTATCGCTTCCAGCTATATACATCTCCTTGAAAACGCCAACAGCCGTGATCAGTAAATGGAATTTCCAGTAGTTGCTGATGAGTTGTTGTATCATCGTCGTTGTCATCATCTTCTGCCATAATATTTTTCAACGAGACTTTCTCTGTATCCTCCTTTTCAGTGGCATGTATGGTGACGCTCATGATTGAACTTGAGCTCCCAAACAGCAAACTCACGAGGTCTATCTCTTCATCCGTCCTTGTGAAGCCAGTTATAGTTACCTCCTGAAGCAATTCCAACGTTAACTTCGGATGATTCGCCAATGTATCTCGGTCCTTAAATAGTGATATCTGTTCATAAAGAAAAGTAGGAAAAACGTAAAAACACGTAGGCAGTTTAAGAGAGAGAATTTTGTGCACAGCTAGTACTACGTATAGAGAATGAGATTTGCTACTGTCCAGCACTTGGTACCCAAGGTACCAGTACCACTAGGTACTGAAACAAATCTGGCTATCCAATGTTTAGGGGTAGGATTGGGAATGAGTAAAAATCTCTCCCAATATTGAGTCAATTAATCTCGTTCCTGAGTTCTTCGTCAAAAAAGAAAAATTCTCATTCTTGGACCCCGCTGCATGCTTGCGTCCATTATTTCCTCCCTCATATGCGCGTCTTTGCAGTTCTTCCTTGCCGCCAGTGCCGCCGCCTGGTCCGACGACTCGCCGCTGCTGGCGTGATGCTTAATCCGACAACTCCACGACCAATTCGCTGCCTCGGCCGCCAACACCCCCGCCGCTGCCGTGGCACCTAGTCTGACCTCTCCACGGCCACCTCGCTGTCGCGGCCGGCAGCGCCCCTACCGCCACCGCAGCCGCCCGCCATGGCCATCGACGCCGAGACTGGATCTCGCAGAGTCGCAGGCCACACATGCCGCACACGGCCGCGGATCTCGCAGCCCTGCCATCGACGCCGGGATCGGATCTCGCAGCACGTCGTCGCCGATGCTAGCCTTGTGACACACCCTGATGCTCGCCACCGCCGTCGAAGCTGGGGCTGGATCTCGCAGGCTGCACGCCACCTTGAACCCTTGAACCCCGCAGCTCGCCGCCGCCGCCATCAACGCTGGCCCCAGACCTCGCCGTCCATCGATGCTGGCCCCGCAGCGCACCTCGCTACCTACCGCCGCAATCGACATCGGGTCTGGAACCCACAGTCTGGTGCCGCCATCAACACCCCACCACGCACCCTGGAGGCCGGCGTCTCGCCCTTACATGCGAAAAGTCTATACTACCCTTCCACTTCTCTTAAAGAAACGGTACCACTATAAGAGCTAATGGTACCGCACGGTACCGAGCAATCTCAACCGTTTGATCTGTCCCAACGGACGGCTAGGATTTGGTACCGCCTCCCTCTGCTGGACGGTAGCAAATCTCATAGAGAATAGTAGTACGGTGCTAAATATTTTCTGGAAAATTAACTCACCTGTCCCCTTTCAGTAATGTTGATGCAGAGTGATCTTAGGCCAGGGCACATCAGAAGAAACGACCGTACACTTGCCGTAAAATGGTGGTGCGGCAACTTAGATGTTTTCAAGACCATGCTCCTAACTTTGTGAAGCCGGGGTGCGCTCTCGTCCGTCAGATCAGCAAGCTCCTCGTCCGTGGTGAACACGCTGGATTTAAGAAGAAGGTCTACGTGTTTGACATTAGGGCAGTTCTTGAGGAGCCATAAACCGTAGCCACGGTTGCTGCAGTATTGTCCATGCACCGTTAGGTTAAGGTCACAAAGACGGCGAACGCTTTTCAAGCCATGTATATGTAAATCCGGAGTGTTCATGAACACTTGGTTGTCCATGGCGATCTCCTCCAGCCTCGGTGCCACGATTTTGATCACCGACCGCGCGTTGATGTCATCGAGAGTTAAACCGTACCAGCAGAATGTGTGGGTGAAGACGCGCAGGTTGGGCGCCGTCACGTCCAGCGATTGTAGATCGTTTGCGTAGGAAATGCGAAGCTCTTCGAGTGACTCGGTGCGCAGAACTAGCCGAGACAACAGCTTCAGGCTCGACATCTCCAGCTTACGCAAGCGAGGGCAGCATGTCGACAAGAAGTCGCCGAGGGTGCGGCCGCCGGCGCTGGCGCCCTCTTCCTCGTCGAACGACGCCCAGCGAAGGTTCAGCTCTGTCAGCGCTTCGTAACATGCCGCCGGGGACGCAGGGAGCCGGAGACGGGAAGAACCCAGAAATAGAACGATGGACGCCGTCCTCGCATGGCTGGGCAACTCGACGATTGGCAGCAGCTGCAGGTCCTGACCATCACGTGCGTTCGAAAAGTAATAAAACCTGAAAGCTTTGACGGCGCGTCGCATGGCGTAGCGGAGCCAGTCGTTGATCTGATCCTGCGTGGCGCTCTTGCGGTAGGACATGTGGATAGTGAGAGATTGTATGTCAGCGTCGCCGCGTTCAGCGAACGCCCAGTCCACGAAACTACCGAACTGGCCTGGCTTGATGGCCCGTCGTCGTTTGGGATTCATATCGGCAAAGTAGAGCGCCTGGGCATTGGTCCACACGCGCCGCCATCGTCGCGAGAGCACGGCCGTCCTCGTCACCGTAGTCGCGTTGTTCAGATTGGAGAGGATGATGTGTAGCAAGTCGTCGGGGAGGGCGCTGATCCGGTCGAGATCATCGGCTGGATCGTCGTGGTCATCCATGGTATCAGCACGTGCGAAAGTTGCCATGAGAGCGAAATTCCTGCACAGTTTACGTAATCAAGATTTGATCGATCGATTAACGAGTTTATACTGTAGAGAGACAACTGGGGAATCGGATGAGTTCCCAACTAGAGCATCCAATCGGGCATGCAGATCGGAATTGAACAGGACACAGCCGTCCGGTCTCCGCATCCCATCTCACCCCCTCACGCATCCACGGGCCACGGCGTAGTAAAAGCAGTCGGTATAGATAGCTATAAGACCCGAGTACCGACGGCCTAGCCCTAGGCTTGGCTTAGGCACGACACGGCACGACACGACTAGTGTCTGGCCTGGCCCAAAAGTTGGATCGTGTCCGGGTCTCTGCCTTGGAACAGTGGGCTAGCCTGGCATGGTCCAATGATCACGGAGTCAAAATTGATAAGGGAGACAAAATAGACTTATTTCAGCCATATAAGGTCTAGCCCAGAGAGAAGAGGGATGCAAATAGACTTATTCTAGTCATATAAGACACGGCCCAAAGAGATGAGGGAGAAACAATAGACTTATTGCAAGGAGAAGCACAATGGGTTTTCACGAGTTTTTGTGCCTTTAGGACGGCCCGGCCCAAATGTTTTGGGTCATGTCTGGGTCATTGGTGTAGCCCATGGGCGGACCCAACCTGACCCGACGTGTAGGTTAGGTCGTGCCAGCCTAATTGATCTCAGATTGGGCCGGGCTGGGTGGCTCATTTGGCCATTTATACTAGTCGAACAATGCGGCAGATAAATATCAGAGACTCTAGTGGACGAGTTTCATCACTAGAAACCTAACCAATAGAGACCTAACCAATTGAACTATGTGTATTTCGTTTGCTAAGAAAAAAAAAGTCAAAGGTCCGCTGAACTCCCAAGACAAGAGTATATTTACATATTTTTTATGTCGAAAACAAACTATACTAGAAACACAACACGAGGGCCGCTTGATGCATATGATACAAATGAAGCAAATACATGATGCAAACCACATATATAGTGCAAACATATAAACTACCGTAAACATTTGAGATTTATCCATATCTCCATGAGTTAAACTTTTACTCTTTGTAAAACTTTTACTCATCATTAAATTTGTGAATAAAAGTTTTAATCATAGTGATGTGGATAAATTTCAGACGTCTATTTCTTTATGATATGGTAGTTCATAGGTCTTCATGGACAACATTTGGATTTCCCCCAAATGTTTGATGCATCATCGCAAAACAAACGAGCCCTCGTGTCTACCAGTTCTCTCGGTTGGAGGGACAGGGATGGTTAAATCTCAATATGCACAACTCTTCCCTTGTGCACCTTCATATTGCGTTCGCTTCCACGTATATTTATCTCTTTGAAAATGCCAACAACCGTGCCCAGTAAATGGAATTTCTAGTAGTTGGCTACGGTTTGGATCGTCGTTGTCATCACATTCTGGCAGAATAGTCATGCACGTGATTGAAGTTGAGCACCCAAACAAGAAACTCACGAGGTGCATCTCTTGATCTGTTCCTGTGAAGCCAATTATACTTGCCTCATGTAGGAAATCCATGGTAATGTTGGGTTGGCTCGCCAATGTATTTGGGTCCTCAAATAGTGGTATCTGTGGATAAAGAAAACAGAAAAGCATTAATGTAAGCCGCCTGTATTTTGAGGATGCGATATTGCATATATATAGTAGCTAATTATATAGAGAACAACATAGTACTAGATATATATTTCAGGAAATCAACTCACCTTATCCCTACCACTAATCTTGACGCAAAACGATCTTAGGCCAGGACACATCAGGAGCAACGGCCGTACACATGTCACAAAACGATGTTCCGGCCACAAGTAAGATGTTTTCACTACCATGCTCCTAACTTTGTGAAGACGAGGTGCGCCCTTGTCCATCAGGTCAATGAGCCCATTCATGGAGAACATGTGTCGAAGATATATGTCTAAATGCTCGATGTTAGGACAGTTCTTGAGGAGCCATAAACCGTAGTCAGTATTGCACGAGTACTGTCCGCGCATGCGTAGGCCAAGGTTCCTGAGATGGCGAACGCTTGTTCGATCGTGTATATGCATATACAGGGAGTCGGAGCCGAAAAGAGGACAGTCTTAGCTCGATGGACGTCGTCCTCGCATTGCTGGGCAACTCGAGAATTGGCAGCGGGTGATCATCATCCGTCTCATAGCTTGAATGATAAGGCGAACAAAGTTTGAATGTCTTGATGGTGTGTTGCATGGCGTAGCGGAGCCAGTCATTGATCTGCTCTGGCGTGGCGCTGTCGCTGGTGGGCATGGAGATACTGAGAGATTGTATGTTAGCATCGCCGCGTTGGGCGAGTGCCCAGTCCACGAAACCACCGAACTGGCCTGGCTTGGCTCGTATTTTCGGATCCGTGTCGACAAAGGAGAGCTTCTGGGCATGGGTCCACACGCGTCGCCATCGCCGCGAGAGCACGGCCGTCCTCGTGACCATGGTCGCGTCGCCCAGGATGGAGAGGATGACGTGCAGCAAGTCGTCGGGGAGGGCACTGATCCGGTCGAGATCATCGGCTAACTCGTCGTCGACGTCCATGGGGTACGATCGTGTGAAAACAGCCATGGAAGCGAATTGCTTGATCGATTGAACGAGTGCAGAGAGTTTTCTAGTATTCAGAGCGTGAGTATAAAAATTTCGTATATAGGGTGGCACACTGGTTTCAATTAGAACTCGGTTCGAACTTAGGATATGATCGAGTTGGAATCCAGCATGACACCGGCATCACGAAAATTCACGCGCATCCGCCGTATGCGGCTAATAGGCAACTCCAAATCTGGTTGATATGCACGGATGCAGAGACCGATTCAACCGCTCGGCCGTTTCCCGCGGGGGCCACGACCCGGTTCATCGGATCCAACTGCCTAAATTCCCATCTCGGTAATCGGCATGCACCGTGTCCACGCCTGCATCCTGTACCTGGAACGCCCGGGCCCACTTCCCAGTGACTCGGTCCAGAGATTTGCATGGTGTGGCCATTCTTCCTCCTGCTTGCTCGGGAGGCTCGAACCGAACACATAAAAGCCATGGCCTCTGCTGCCCTCGCTCCTCACAGCTCTCTCTCAATCGCTCCCTGAGCTAGAGCTGTCCCTGCCAAAGGCAAATAATACCAGATGAACACGGCAGCCTCTCGATCTCGACAACTCGGGGCGGAATAATTCTGGTGTTCTTCTCATCACCGATCGTTTCTGTACATGTAACAAGTTGAGGATCGTGGCGCCTGCATGCATTTGGTGGACGCCACGTCAAGAATAACCGAGGTTACAGGTGTCTCCCCCTGCATGCAGCAGGGGGCATCTGCAGCTTGCGGAACTCGGATGGTTTGAGTTTGAACGAGTTGCAGCATGTCCCCCATGGAGTCCCGTCCTGATGATCTTGTTCCTCCCGCGATGCACAAGCCGGCGATCCAATGCGCCGCCGCCGAGGTAGATCCGTATTTGCGTTGATTTTGCCTCTGCGTTTTTTTTCTTTTAACTATCATGGCGAGGTGGTTAATTTGTCATCAGGACGCGAGCCTGCTGCGAAGCCCGACGGTGTCGTCGGAGGAGTTCATGCAGTTCAAGAGGAAAGCCACGACGATCTTGGAGGAGTACTTCTCCACGGACGACGTCGCGGCGACGGCGAACGAGCTGAGGGAGCTGCGCGTGCCGTGCTACCACTACTACTTCGTCAAGAAGCTGGTCTCGGTGGCCATGGACCGCCACGACAGGGAGAAGGAGATGGCGGCCGTGCTGCTGTCCTCGCTGTACGGCGACGTCATCGACCGGCCGCAGGTGTACAAGGGGTTCGGCAAGCTCGCCGAGTCCTGCGACGACCTGTCCGTCGACACGCCCGACGCCGTCGACATCCTCGCCGTGTTCGTCGCCCGCGCCATCATCGACGACATACTCCCGCCGGCGTTCCTGGCCAAGCAGCTGACGTGCCTGCCGGAGGGATGCAAGGGCGCCGAGGTTCTTCACAGGGCGGAGAAAAGCTACCTGTCCGTGCCGCACCACGGCGAGATCATCCTGCAGAGGTGGGGCGGGAGCAAGAGCATCACGGTGGAGGAGGCCAAGGCCAAGATCGCTGACATCCTCGAGGAGTACCTCGCCGCCGGCGACATCGGAGAGGCTTGCCGGTGCATCAGGGGCCTCAAGATCTCTTTCTTCCACCACGACATCGTCAAGCGCGCCCTCACCCTCGCCATGGAGCGCGGCGGCGGCGCCGAGGGGCACATCCTGGATCTCCTCAAGTCGGCGTCCGACGAAGGCATCATCAACGAGAGCCAGATCACCAAAGGGTTCAACCGCCTCATCGATTCCGTCGACGATCTGACGCTCGACGTGCCAAACGCGAGGCGCCTCCTGAAATCGATGATCCTGAAGGCCTCGTCGGAGGGATGGCTCTGCGCGTCGTCGCTGAAGCCGCTGGGCCCCGAGCCGAAGAAGGCCGTCGTCGAGGACGACGCTGCGGTGCGGCAGTTCAAGGCGAAGACATTGTCGATCATAAAGGAGTACTTCTTGACAGGGGACATCATCGAGGTGATGAGCAGCCTGGAGGCCGAGAACTACGCGTGTTCCTCCTCCTACAACGCCATCTTCGTCAAGAAGCTGATCACCTCCGCGATGGACCGGAAGAGCCGCGAGAAGGAGATGGCGTCCGTGCTGCTGTCCTCGCTCGGAATGCCGCCGGAGGACGTCGTGTCGGGGTTCCACCTCCTGATCGAGTCCGCCGAGGACGCCGCGCTGGACAACCCCGCCATCGTCGAGGACCTGACCATGTTCTTCGCCAGGTCAGTGGTCGACGAGGTGATCGCGCCATCGAACCTAGAGAAAATGGAGGAGGAGGCCGGCCGCGGCAAGCCAGGGGGATCCTCCACCGGCTTATTGGCGCTCCGGAACGCCCGTGCCCTGCTCGGCGCGAAGCTCTCTGCGGAGCGGATACTGCGTTGCTGGGGCGGCGGCGCCACCGGCAAGGCCGGGTGGGAGCTGGACGACGTGAAGGACAAGATCGGCAGGCTGCTGCAGGAGTACGACTGCGGCGGCGACATCCGGGAGGCGTGCCAGTGCATCAAGGAGCTCGGGATGCCATTCTTCCACCACGAGGTGGTGAAGAAGGCGCTGGTGGCGATCATGGAGAAGCGTGGCAAGGACGAGCGGCTGTGGGGCCTCCTCGCCGAGTGCTACGGCCGCGGCCTCATCACGCCGAACCAGATGACCAAGGGCTTCGAGCGGGTGGCCGGCTGCGTCGACGACCTCGCGCTCGACGTGCCGGACGCCGGCAAGCAGTTATGCTGCTACGTCGAGCGCGCCAAGAAGGGTGGATGGCTGGACGCGTCCTTCCCCAACGGTGTGCGCTCGTGAAGAACACCCGGTTAATTTATATACATGCAGATGCAGCACTGGCATTCCAGGGGATTTCATTTGCAACTTTACACAGCTATATACTACTTTGCATTCCGTTCCATGTATGTATCAGCAAAGGGAATATGACTAGCACAAGAAAGAAAATTGTTGTCATAGGATTAGGAAGCTTTGATCTTCCATTTTAGCAGTTGCGCGGCGTTTAGCCCGGAGGATTTGTGCATTGAAGAGTTTGTGTTGTTTTTAATATGATGTGAGAGTTTCTGTTGTTTTTGTTTTGTGAATTGGCTGCTGAGAGAATTACCATGCTACACCTTGTTATCTTATCACATCCTATATATCTATAAAGTTTATCTCCACTAAATGTAGTTAATGCTAATTCTCTCTTCTCTCATGAAGCCACATCATCTCAATTGTTTTTAGCCTTTGGATGATTCATCAGGGGTGTAAATTCCATCTCTTCCCTCCAAAAGAAACACCATACAACCATCCTTAGGATAATTGATAAAGGTACAAAAAATATATAAACACATGAAAATAAATCGTATAATAGGTAAGAAAGAAAATTTTAGAACTCATATCTCTATATTATCACGTAATTCTCCCGCAGCAATACGCGGGATACCTATCTAGTTTTTATGTTTCGCATCAACTTGTATCAAACCACCACCTCTTTATAGTAAGGCACCGAACAGTTTTTGGGGCGAATTTCGGTTGATAATGCATCTGTTTGATAAACTTTCACTGTCATTTTTTGTGAGGGACACTTTGCCATGTTTAATTCAGTTCGTATAGCCAAGATTTGTCGAATCCATGATCTGACATATACTTAGTTACTTCTACGAACTTTGTTTGTAACTTAACGCTCTATGGACCCTAAGGCTCTCTCTCTCTCCCTGAACGGCAGATGGCAGAACCTGCACGGCTGCACCGCATAAAAGATGGACTTCCAGTCCAACAAATTGCAAAATAGAAAAAAAAAGATGGCTCTCTCTATCATCTCAGTATGATTATCGTCCTTCAACCACAAAACATGACATAGAAGCTCCATCAATTATTAAAACCGACCCGTCTTGGTCTCACAAGGGGTTGAGACTATGATTTCATCCTACAAGTGCATGCGTGGCACGTGACCTAATCTTCATCTAACGTTACGTTTACGTGGTATTATAATTAATCATAAAAAAAGGAAAAAGTACGAATTACCCCCTCCCCCCGCGGAACTATCGCGGTCGACCAAAATACCCCCCTTAATCACAAAACCGGACATTCTTCACCCCCAACTTTGCAAACCGGACAAATAACCCCTCTGGCTTAATCCACGGTGGTTTTGATCCTACGTGGCAGTCCAGTCAACAATTCATTTATAAAAATATAGGTGGGCCCCACCTGTCAGTCTCTCTCTCTCCCAATCTCTCTCTCTCTCTCTTCTCCATCAGCGTTCCATCAGAGGCCACGCCTGTCACGGCCGACACCGCCGCTAACGTCCAGACCAGCCGCTGCGCCATGCTCGGCCTCGTCGCCACTGGGATCACCGGCGGCGCCCTCGCGCAGGCAGCGCTCACCAAGGCCGCCAAGCCCATCAAGCTTGGCCTCCTACCACTGCCCTCCAGTGAAGGAGAGGTTCTACCTGCAGCCGTTGCCGCCAGCGGAGGCGGCGGCGAGGGCAAAGGAGGCGAGGCGGTAGCGGGCGCGGGCTGCTGGCGGCACGCGATGAGCCGAGGTCGGCGCCGGGGATGGGTGCGGAGGCGGGCTCGGGCGGCGGGCGAGGAGCCGAGGCCAGCAGCAGGCAGGCGCGGAGGCGGCTGCAGGCGGCGGGTGAGGGACCAACGACGGCAGCCGGGTGGGGCGGAGACGGGTGAGGGCGGCGGACGAGGAGCCGAGGACGGCAACGGGGATGGCTGCGAGCGGTGGGCGGGCGAGGAGCGGACGCCGACGGGCGGTGGGCGAGGCAAGCGGCTCTTCCGCGGTTGCGTCGCCGTGAGGCACCTGCTAATCCCAGATGCCGGTGACGAGCACATCGGACTCCGTCGACGACGACGACAAGAAGCTCTGCCCGGGGGAGTGGTGCTCGTTGCGGTTGTACCTCTACTTGACACTGGCGGCGGTGCCCACGGCGAGCGTGAGCTCCTGCTCCGCCGCCGCCTCCTCGTCGTCGTCGGTCTCCTCCGCGTCCTCCTCCTCGGGGCTCTGCGTGTAGTCGACTGCCGGCACGAGCCACGGGCCACGGGCAGACCGCGAGCCACAGGCCTCCACCTCCGGCGATGCCGCCTCGCCTCGCGCCTCCGTCCTGTCCGCCCCCGTGCACCGCCGCCCACCGCCCCTGGGCACCGCCGCCCTCTGCCGCCGCTTGCCGCCAGCTGCGTCCGCCGCTGCCGCTCGCGCCGCCGCCCACATCCTCCCCTGCACCGCCCCGTGATCGAGAGAGAGAGTGAAGAGAGAGGAAGAAGGGAACGACATGTGGGTCCTACATTTTTTAAAAATAGAAAATGCTGACTGGGTTGCCACGGGTACGCCACATAGGACAAAACCGCTCTGAATTAGATCGAGGGGGGTAATTCGTCCGGTATTGAAAGTTCAGGGTGAACAATATCTGGTTTTCGTGTTAAGGGGTGTAATTCGGTCGACCGTGATAGTTCAGAGGGGTAATTCATACTTTTCTCAAAAAAAATAGGTGTAGCCGTAGGGAGGTCTCTTATCAAAAATAAAAAAAAATGGGATGCACACGAAATAAAATCCTCTCTCTCCTCTGCTCTTCTCCCCCTTTTCTCTCTCCCTCAGAAAGGTAAGCTACCGTAGGGTTAGGACCTTCTCAAGAAGTTGATATTGTCGCAGAGCTCAAACTCCATCGTGGGGCACTGCCACCTTCAATGGTGCCACCGTCGCTGATGACATATGAGCATGAGCTTCTTCATTTGGGCACAGTTGTTGGCGAGCTCAAGCTCCACCCGTGCGATCCGTAAGCCCTGTTGTTCCCATGTCACCGATGATGAACACGAGCTTATCCTCTCGGAGCTCCGCACCCACCCTCGGCATGCCTTCCTCGAGTTTGGGGGTGGGGAGGAGGGAGAGTGAGGGAATGACATGACATGTAAGCCCGTTGCTTTTCTTTTTTCTTTTTTTCTTTACTTACACTCGCATTGGTGCTTATGTGGACAATACGTTAACATTGGTTAACCGATCAACATATCACATGGGATAAACCCAGGAAACAAAACACTGAAAGAGGTAAATTGAACCGGTTTTAATTCTTAATATGGGTGCTGTAATGCTGTACCTTGTTTTGGGGTTGAGAAAAAAATTAGACTAGGCTTGTATGTGAAGGACGTCTTGTAGACTTTCTCCCGTTACAACATGACGCTCAAACTCTTCGGCCATCTTCGCCAAAGCCCATATCCCTAAGGTCCTGAGAATTTTCAGCCTTGGCAAACAAGGCCTTCAGGATACGTTTCCTCCCCAGTGCTACTGCAGTACTGCTACACAGGATCAGCCCGATACTATTATTCATGCTTTTCGTTTGTAGAACTAACATTCGTGTGAACATGCCAAAAAATACAGCTAGTTTCTCCTAGGATACCGTGGATGCAGCCACACCTTGATTTGAATCTGGCAAGGCAGGGAATAAACAAATTTGACTTCATTATTAGTTCATTGTAGCGTCTAGCGTGGCATGCTAAACGGCGCATGCGGTCGACATGTGGCTCATTAAATTCTGGAAGGGGACATGTGGGCAACGCGAGAGCGAGTAAGGATTGAATCGTGATCCTGCAAGATAGAGTCGCTGATAATAGCACTGCCCACACTGCCAAAATATGCCATATGTTATCCTAGTGAAATTACGAGGAAACATACCATGTTCTACGAGAAGGAATACAGCAATAACACTCAGGCAGGTGGTCATCCAGCCGCCGAAGAAACAATAGCTCATCGGATCTAATTCTGATCATATCTGATCTAAAGTACAAGAAAAAAAGTAATATAATTCTCGGACGAGAACAACTCTGATCTGGTGAACCAACATGCGCGCGTAGGAGCCTGAAACAACGCTGAACTGATGAAGCATCACCTGACGCGATCACGAGAAGACGGGGCGCGGTCCGGGGAAAGCGATCCCCCGCCTCACGCGGCAGCTAAGACCAGGACAAACGCTTCTGTAGGTAACACCAAAAGAGGCCTTCTCCTGGAGTGGACACGCCAAGCCAGCGAGGGCGGCACATCTCACAACGCAAAGCTTTAGCGCCGGAAACTGCCGCACACAGCGCACGGGAGCACAGACCAGTGCCACAACCCGTCGCTCCGGCAGTCCGTCCGGCTCGAACCGACCCAAAGTTTACACGGGAAACTCTCGCGATTCCGTCCGTTTTGGCCTCCACAAACCGGGAGCTTCTCCGAAGGAGATCACAGCACAGCGATCCGCGAGGTGCCAGCCGAAACTTGCCAGTTACCCACTGGCAACCGCGCGGCCTGGCTGCACGGCCGCACCCCGTCGCCTTCCGTTCCCTCCCCCACGAGCCCGCGTGTCCCCAATCATACTAGCGCGGCCGTGTCCGTTTCCTCCTCCGTCGCCACCACCACCACCACCACCTCTTCCCTCCCCGGCGTCCGCTCCGCCCCCATTCGCCGATGCGGCGGGTCCCCAAACCCTAGCCCGATCCCGACGGCGGCGATGGCGGCTGGCCGTGCGGGGGGCGCGCCGCCGGTCACCGGCGACCGCTACCTCGACTTGCTGGTCCGCTTCGTGGGCCGCAACGCCGGGGCGCTGCTCGACGGCTCCGTCACCCTGCGACTCCACCCCGTGGGGCTCCACTACGTCGCCTCCCGCCTCGAGGCGCTGCGGGAGCTGGAGGCGGTCGGCGCCGGCGCGCCCGTCGACTACCTCCGCGCCTACGTCGCCGACCTCGGCGACCACCGCGCGCTCGAGCAGCTCCGCCGGATCCTGCGCCTGCTCACGTCGCTCAAGGTCGTGGCCCCCGGGCCGGGGCGGGACCCGGCGCCGCTATCACTCGTGCCGTTCGCGCGCCTGCGCGTGCTCGAGCTGCGTGGGTGCGACCTCTCCACCTCCTCCGCCGCCAGGGGCCTGCTCGACCTCCGCCACACCCTCGAGAAGCTCATCTGTTACAATTCCACGGTGCGATTACGACATGTTCCCCAGTAATTCTGATCCTGCAGCTACTTAATTCGTTGTTTCCGGCAATTCACATGGTGAGCAGAGGCGCTAGTTTTGATCTCATACTAAACTATGAACTATATTAAGTGTGAATTGTGCTTATTGTTTGCAGTCTGGTTCTTCTACATCCAACGAACTGGTTTTAAGTGTTATCCCACCTATGCCCCACAGACCACAAAGCCACAATCAATACTATGTTCCTAGGATCTGACCCATCCTGGTGGCTGGCACATATATTACAAGTATTGTACTATAGTTACTCAGCATGTTACTGGCTTTTCTATGGGTGAATTTGCCCATTTTCCGAGTTCTAAGATACTAGTATGACATATGACATGACGCCACAAGCATTTGATGGTTACTAATGTTTCCATTGTAACCCATGGGATTTAACGGGATGCTGCTAGGTCTTTAGGTTATCATCAAGCACCCCTCTGGTGAATATGAATTTGATAGCAATCTAATCCACATGCTGTTTCTCTGGACTAGAGAATTGTGAGCATCTTTGCAATACTAAGTTCTGATCACATTCAGGCTTGTGTTGTGGGTTTGTGGCACATGGTGCACTCCACAGTATTGCAATTGTAGCGTCTGTCCCTTTTGTGCTCGCTGCAATTACCCTCCTGACGTGCTTAGTTAATCTCTGAATGCAGAAGTTGTGTGGCACTGTAGCCATTTAATATCTTTGTACGTTTGTCTTGTGTATGCTTTCATGCAGCTGAAAATAGGGTTATGCTTCTTGACATACTCCTTTGCAAATTTACTGAGGAAAACTTAGGCAATTTGTCATTTATCTGAGTTAGAGGTTTCAGTGGAGTCCGCAGTGGTCATTTAAGGTAATAATGCTGTAATAAGTCATCTTGTCTAGGTAATTATCACAGGGTACCCATTATAAACAACTAAAACACTGTTGATTGGAAACAAACAAAGTGTTTGTGTGTGTGGATGGACCGTGTAATTACTAGTAGAGACATATAATTGACTGTTTAGAGCATATAGCCTGAGAACCTCAATATTTGGTTGTGGCTTTAGAGGCTGCAATTTACTGGGCAGTGCCATTGCTTGGATCTTTTATTGGTACACAAACAAAAGCTCAGTAGCAGCAAAAAAGTTAATAGAGGAAGAAGTTGCACAGTTAGTTGCATTGGTCAAACAATTCTTCTGATTAGGCTTCCTTTTTGTTCATTTCCACACAATGCAACAATACTGTCCATGGCCATGTAACAGTTCAGTTTTGCACTACTTCAGGATGCTCTTAGGCATATCTTCACGAGCAGGATCATGGATATCAAGGACTCACCCGTATGGGGTCGGCTGTTGTATGTATCATGTGCTTCAAATGGTCTGGTGCTCATGGATGAGTCATTGCAGTTGTTACCTGCAGTTGAAACCCTTGATCTTAGTCGGAACCAGTTTGCAAAGGTGGATAATCTGCGGAAATGCACAAAGCTACGAAATCTAGATCTTGGATTTAATCATTTGCGCTCTATATCATCCTTGAGTGAGGTAAAATGTCTTTTCTTTTGAATACCTTTGGAATATTGCTAAACCGGCGAGCTTGTTTCCCGTACTGTTGTTTTTGTTTGATGGCATGTTACTTCCGTGCAGGCTTGCGGTCGAATTGTGCAACTTGTACTGAGAAATAATGCTTTAACTACACTACATGGGATCAAAAATCTAAAGTCGCTTATGGACCTTGATCTGTCTTACAACATCATCTCAAATTTCTCGGAGCTGGAAATACTTGGTAGCCTTTTTTTGCTACAGAACCTATGGTTGGAAGGCAACCCAATCTGCTGTGCTCGTTGGTATCGAGCACGTGTTTTCAGTTTTCTCCACAACTCAGAAAGTGTGAGTAGTCATCAAATTGCATTATTTTCTCATGTTTTTTTCTTTATGTTCTCCATCATAATAGTCTCTTCCACAGTATTAGAGTGATATGACAGCTCTGTTCTGTACCTTTTTCTGCCTCAGTTGAAGTTAGATGATAAAGGTATGAACACACAGGAGTACTGGGAAAAACAAGTACTGTTTTCAAGCAGGCAAAAGCAACCTGCTGGCTATGGATTTTATTTTCCTGCAAAAGATGACCATGAGGATGAAGACACATCAAATTCAAAGATGGTAAGTTAACATCTGCCACAAAATTCATCTATTGTATGCGACAGAAAATATTCAAGAACTGTTAGTTAGAGCGGTTTATCTCATTACCAATAGAAATATTGCATAGTGATCTCTTCTCATGCTTACGATTTGTTTATTTCACATGCAGAAGCTGGTTTCTTATAGCCTCAGTTTTTTTTGGGGGGGGGGGCATATCTATATATCCTATATAGTTGGAACCAAAAGCTTGACATGCATTGGGCCACATCATTTAGAAAATAGTAGCCTATGGATCTCTTGCATGTTTTGATCTCAATCATGTGTCATGTACATTTACAACCCACTTATTGTAGTTATTGATATAAAACTCAATGTGCATTGAACCATGTCACTTAGAAAAGTAATAGCCATTGGATCCTCTCATGCTTGATAAATCCATGTGTCATGTACAATTGCAATTCTAAATCAATTACTATGAGCTCAAAATATTGTTTTTCAGGCATTACAAGTATATAATTTACAAATTATTTTCCTTGTGTTTTCTTTAAAGTATTTTTAAATTTCCCGCTACAACACCCGGGGTATTCACTAGTTTTAACAGAGATTTCCCATTGACATATTATGGTAATCTTGTTTCGAGAAATGCAAGATATAACACCATCTATTAAACGCTACTAAATTGAAACAACTCTGCAAAAGTAGGGCATCCTGCATTTGTACTCTGCAAAATTTGCTGATATCTCTTTAACGATAGTCTGTTTGCCCTTCTATTTGCTGTAGAAAAAGATTTCTCGACTTGCCTTAATTGTGGAGGAAGAGAGAAGTCTTTGTGATGAAGGTGTGGACCAGCAGACCACCCCCCACGAAAGTGACAGTTCTAAGAAGGATGAAGTTGCAGGTGCTGATAATGACATAAAAATTACTTCGTTGATCAATACAGCTGAATTATTGAAGAAAGAGAAATCAACTGATTGGCTGCGTGAATTTAAGGAGTGGATGGATGAAAACATGGAGAATACAGAACCTGACAACCTTTACATAGAGTTCAACAGTAGCAATGGAAGGTATGAGGAACAAAAGAAAATGCAGAAAGCTCAAAAGAACTCAAAGGACATCTCAGACTTGGTACAGACGTCAGAAGGTGGGAGCAGCTCAAACATTTTGGAATCTGACTTATCTTTCACTGATGGTGCATGTTACAGTGCTAATGGTGTTACCACAGAATCCTCACATGAAGGGAATATATACCAGGCTCCTTTAAAGTTGCACTTGAATTCTTCCCAGCAACTTCCTCCACTAAATTTTGTAGCCATTTCGCATGCTGATTCTTTTTGTGAGATGGAAGATGGCACTGGAAACTTACATACAAATGGAGTTTCATCAAATTTGATGAACAAGCTGGTAGAACCGAGTCTATCCTTCACAAATTCTAGTCCGCAGTCACCCCCACAATACAAGGAGGACATTCTGCATCGAAGACTTTGTATGGAGGAAGAGGTTTTGCAGACTTCGGGAGACTTTAATTGTGCTGGTTCGCTTGGTAGTGGTAGCAGTTGCAGTGATGACTCTTCAGGTGATTTATGTTCATGCAATTCCGAAGATGATTGTGTTGCAATTCGAACAAAAATGGAGTTGTCCCCCAATGGTCAAATAGCTAGGTTTTCTTCTGTAGGTGATTATGAGGAAAAGGATGGAATGGAATATTTTTCTGGGAAGAAAGGTTTGCCTGATTATTCAGCAGAGGATGTCCCAAATTTTACAGATTCCGTTGAGTTTGGTATTAAGCAGTTACATGATAGGTACAAGAGCAATGGGCATTTAGGAGAAGGTTCAGATCATTTGGTCAGACAACAGAGTAACCAGAAGTTTAAGATGAGGATACCTCCTCTTTTTAAGAATCATAATGGCACTAAACTTGTATTTCCGAAGGTCAATGGAGATGAAATGGATAATGGGGTTTCAGTTGCAGGGAACGGCCATCTGGGATGCAACCTGAACAACTGTACTCTTTGCAGGGAACACAGCTTAGAAAACCATAATTCAAGTATCTTGCACAAGGATAACTTATGTGCCAGTGCCAATACAGTTTCTTGTAACACTGAAAAGTACAAGCTTATTGAGGATTTCTTCAATTTAGAAATTGCAAGCGACGCATCTGAAATTTGTGAAAAGACAGCCTTTTGTGGATACATATTTCAAAATGGCACTGGAAGTGATTTGGTTCAAAGGTGAGAGTTGTGTTCCCCATGTTGTCAACCCTGATTAAGTATTACGCAATTACATGTGTATTGGCTGATTGATGAATAGCAATTAAGGACCTGAATGTCTTTAAATTATTTGCCTGCTGCCGTTATTTATTTTTTGAGGGGTGGGGATGGGGGGCTTCATCTGCGCACCACTTCAAAAAAATTTATTGCGTCCTGTAAATTGCCAGAATCAATATGATTCCAACTGTTGTTTAGAGTGAAAACTGGTCTTCATCTTTGCATTAGTGCATGTTGTCATATTCAAAAGTTTCAAACTCATAACTCTGTATAATATGTTTTTGTATGTTCACATTCTTGCAAATGAGAATTGAAGAACTTAGTTGTACTGTCCAGGTGAATAATGGCAGGATTTAGGCAAAGTATCTAAACAATCTGTGACATAACACATGCCAGGGGTTGTAGGCCATGTCTTTGATCGTCATAATATTCATTTCTTTAGTCAAGCAGCAAAATGGCATTTCAGACAGTCGTGGGAGGAACTTTAGGAGATCATGAATTTAACGCAGCGAAGTTTCTACATAAAGAAATTGTCTGTACTCTGAAAAATGAACAGCAGGGGATGTCTGGTGACCAAAGTATTTCTTCTTAAAAAAAAGTGAACAGAAAAATCAGGCATTATTCATGAACAAAAAAATCTTTTGGCTCATCGTCTTGCATATTTACCTAGAAATTCACATGCATCTGTTTCCAGTAACATTTTCCATGATTCAAGTTACTTCCATGTCTTCAATGTGTTATGTGCAGTTATCAATAATATATCCTTAAATGTGTTAAATGGCTCCGTTTTACAATTCCACTTGTTTCCTTGAGCATTTAATTCTATACGATATTCAGTAACTATCACTTTTAGGTTCTCTTGATCTGAAACCGAAATTTGCATAGATGTGAGGTTATATACAGATCAAGCTTTAGCTATTTAAAATCTGTCTGCATGTTCCATGTCATTTTATGTCGTACACCAGACAACTGTTTTATCTCCTTTTTTTAAGTGTACTGTTTTATCTCTTTGTGTAGAGAGGTAGCCTTGCTGCGATGTTCTCAAAATAAACTACATGTTGTGCTAGTTGATATGGCTCAAGATGGACAAGGTTTGCTTTCTACAAACCATTGAATCATCTAAAAAGCTTATTGTCCTAATATCTTTGTTAGACTGTTGCAACTGGAATTTACCTAGATGGTTGTTTTACGTGAGTTCTTACTGTTATTCTATTGTAATATTGTGACAGCTATTCTTATGTATTGATTAATTTGTAGACACTATGCTAAGAGTTTTGGGCAGCTATTGGATGGAAGATCTGGAGAATATTTTGATCGGACTGGGTCTACAAGCATTGAGGTATATTAGCATATTGATATTTAGCAACTTTCATTTGAATTATATGAGGCTTACTTTTGTTTTGCAATATCATAGGGTACACATGGCAGATAATACAACTCACCTATTCTTGACAAGGACTTCCAAGGAAGCAGAAGATATACTTTGGCTCTTAACCGCGTCTAATTTTCCACAATTAACTAGTAGTATATCTTTGCAAAGGTTTGGTTTGTTTAGCCTTTTACTTTCCCTGTGAGCAAAACACTGTTCTTTTTTGCTTAAAAGGAAACTTTTTTTTATTGCGACTTTCGGTTTATGTTGTTGATTATACTTAGTTCTGTATTTAAATGGCAGCTGGGAGAAGGTCCAACTTAAATTGCTTGAGAATTGTATCCATCCAAGTTTGGAAATGGGAATATTTCTCTACTCGTTGTTGATGTTTTGGAAGAATGATACTGAAGGTAAGCATTATTTGGTTGATGAAACAGCACACTATTCTGTGGCTGGACTAAGAACAGATCGGTCCCTGCGTTATCTTATGTTTGATGGTTCTAAATTATGTTTGGGTGTGTCTGAGATTTTCCTTGAAGCCTTATAGAGTGGGATTCTTTGGAAAAAGGTGGGTAAAGGAGGTAGGAGTATGCATGACTATTGTATAAGCTAAGTAGGGAGGGAGGTCATTATGAAAACTATAATAGTTTACCACAGATTTTTTATCTGCATTTTTACCACTGACGTCATATTCCAATTTTGGCATATGAAAACTATGAGGATTGTTCCAGTTACCTTAATTCATTATTTGTCTGCTGTCAACTGGAACTTGCTGAAATAGTGTCCATTCTATTTTGCAGAAGGATCCTTTGTTATTAGATCCCTCGCTGTTACTGAAGGGTCATTATTTGTGTGTATCGAGAACATACATCAGTTTGGTTCCCTCCCTGATGATCCGGATACTCCATATTTTTCTCTGGATGCTTGTTGTTTTATCAACGATATTCAAGAAGTGGTAAGCCATGGTTTACTTTTGACATTTCCCTTGCTAGTTATTTGTCATGATTTGCTCCAACAGCTCCAAAAGATAATTCCTTCCCACCTTGATGTTAAGTAGGTCACTAACACTCACCCTTAGTACTCTGTTTCTTCCTTGGCTGTAAATATTTGTGATGTAAATGAAAAACAGAAAAACAGAAAAACAGGGAGCAGTAAGCATACGTACCCATTTTAGATTTTGGTTGCATTTTAAGATGTTAGGTAATGCCATGTCTGAAAGGAATAGCATACATACAGAGCTTAGAGCAATAGCCCCTTGCTTGACCATCCATTTTTCCCCTATTCCTGTATCTTAACTCAATCCGTATCCTACCCCTCCTATTCCACAATCCAAACAAAGCGCTGCTTGCCTATTGTTGAACACGAACAGCCATCTTTAATTTAATATCAATCGATCAAGTATATGAATCATGATTGCATCTGACTTTATTCCTTTAGCTAGTGAAGTTGTGTCCTACCAAAATAAGCTGTGATATCATTGTAAGTAAGCTTAGCTGTTCTGTCAGATTGAAAGTTGATATCACTCATTCAATATTCTCTCTTCATGTATTCAGGTTGTGGATCACTGTGACAAGAGATGTTTGACATTAGTTTTGGACAACCATGCACATGAAGGAAGATTTTGCAGTAACGGTAGCATTACAAATTCACAGAGCAAGCAACCAGATGAAATTTACACAGTGCATACATGGAAACTCAAGTGGTTCTCTGAAGAAACAGTTGTGAAGTTCATTTCTTTACTTAAAGCTCTTTACTCTGTATCATCATCTTCATCTTTACCTGTAAAGTGTACATCTTGATATGTTGGTTCTTGTAGTTACATAGTGATATTCGTTCATTCTTTGGGGTTGTATTTAGTTCTTAATCTGTATAGGTTGTTACTAGTTGCCCGTGTAGATATATGCTTCTTATGCCCTTTGTAGTTATCAGAAAATTTTCCCATCTAAAAATTGTACATAACAGAATTATAGTGAGTGTGGAGGAGTGGATCTGCAATTTTGTCAACAAGTTGTTTTCAACAATTAGTTAAGGACTTCTGGGTAGCACTAATGGATTTCTTCAATAAAGGTGCAGCTGTCAGCAAGGATGGACCAGAATTAGATGGGAACAAAACGAGAGAAGGTACTTGTCTGATCCTGTTTCCGGAATTTAAGGAATTTACAGAACAGTTGCAGTACAGTACTGGCTATACATCCACACGGGAAATATCAACTATGCTGACATTACAACTACATTTTCATATCTGACGCTGCATCTTCACTTCAGCTGTAGGGTGCTCCCAGATTCTTTTCAGTTCTACATTTCTTCTATTGCTTCTGTTTCTGGTTTACTACCGCTCTTTGAGCAGCGCTCATCCTCTGGAACACCTCTGACCCATTCGTTCTCAATCGCCAGGATATGAAGCCGAGAAGGGATCGGCGGCAACATTACGTTGGCGATGCCTTCGAGCTGCTGCACGACGAGCCCCATGGTCGGCCGGTCGCCTTCCTCGTCTTGAATGCACCAGCCCGCGACCTTGCAGAGTCTCTCAACCTCCTTCGGGTCGGCATCCTTGGCCACCCTCTCGTCGACCAGCCCGGCCACGTCGCCTTCGTTTAGCTTGACCACGGCATGAACCGGGAAGTAAATCCCAGGGCCGCCCTCCGACGACGACGACGGCGCGGTGCTGTTCCGCCGGCCCGAGACGAGCTCGAAGAGCAGGAGCCCGAAGCTGTACACGTCGGCTTTTGCGGTGACCGGCGTGCCGGCTAGCCACTCCGGCGCGAGGTATCCCACCGTGCCCCGCATGGTGGTCAGGACGCTGCTGAAGTCGCGGCCGACGAGCTTGGCCATGCCGAAGTCCGCGAGCCTCGCCGCCATCTCCTGATCGAGGAGGATGTTCTCCGGCTTGACGTCGCAGTGTATGATGCACTCCCTGCACTTCTCGTGCAGGTAAGCCAAGCCCCGTGCCACACCAACCGCGACGTTGTACCGTTGGCTCCAAGTCAGGGTCACCTGCTTGGAGTCGGGGCCGGAGCTGGAGCCGCTCATGACGAACAGGTGCGAGTCCAGCGAGCCATTGGCCATGTAGTCGTACACGAGCGCCCTCTTGTTTCCCTCGCAGCAGAAGCCACGGAGTCGGACGAGGTTGACGTGCTGGATCATGCCGAGCGTCACCACCTCCGTTCTGAATTGCTTCTCGCCTTGCCGGAGACCGTCGAGCTTCTTGACGGCCACGGGCGTCCCGTCCGGCAGCGCGCCTTTGAACACCGTGCCGAAGCTCCCGCTCCCGAGCTTCTCCGAGAAGTCCCTCGTCGCGGTCTTCACGGCATGGTAGTCGAGCAGCAGCAGCGACCCCTGCACCGCCGTCACCTTGCCCCTCCTACGCCGCATCCGCAACACCGCCGCCACCGCCACCACGGTGACGAGGCTCGCCAAGAGCAGCACCACCGCCGCAACGACGCTTCCAAGGATTACCATCGATTTCTTCCACGAGTGCTCCGTCGACGACGCCGGAACCTCCGAGTGGGCGACACGGAGGTGAAGCACCGCTCCGGCGAGGCCAGGATCGCCTTGGCCATTCTCATTAGCCGCGTAGGCTTTCATGTTGACGAGCTCGCCGTTCCACACGAGGCACTTCGCTCCGTCGTGAACGTAGGCCGTGCAGGAGCAGTCGACCAGGCAGGTGTGCGCGCACGCCTTGTCGTTCCCAGCTCCGGCCGGCGCCTCCACGGAGCCATTCGGGAGCCGCACGGTGTACGGCAGCGCCAGGAACCCGTCTCCGTGACACTCGAGAGGGTGCCGCCTCACGCAGCCTCCGGCGGCGTTCTCCAGCCTCCACTCCTCCGACGACCGCGGCTCGAAGCCGGCGGGGCACCGGCACTCCGGGTTGGTGGCGTTGCTGCAGACTCCAAAGGGCCCGCACGAGCCGTACACGTCGCACGCGTCGTGGGGCAACGAGCAGAAGAGGATCCACTTCCCCGCCGTCTCGCTCCACTGCCGCCGCCGCATCTGCCCGTTCACGTCCAGCATGAAGTTGCCGACGGCGCCCGGCAGCCGGTCGCGGTAGCTGAAGAAGTTGACGCTGGCGTTCGGCGCGTAGGGGACGCCGGTGAAGTAGCCGGACCGCATCTCCGGCACGTTCGCGAAGATCTCGCCGTCCCAGAGGCCGGTCGTCCAGTACCGGTGCTCGCCGCCGGCGAGGAGGTCGAACTTGGCCAGCCCGCGCGCGTCGATCACCATGGAGAACGCGCCGGGCGCCGGGTTCTCGGAGTCCGTCCACGACGTGAGGAAGCTGTGGACGCCGCGGCCCCTGTCGTAGCCGAGCCTGGCTCCGGGGAGCCATGTGTCGGTCGGGTGATCAAAGCTCTGCCACGCCACGTGCGTCGTCGTAGTCGACGACGGCGATCGCGACCGCGACCGCGTCGCGTTGCTGTTCACCACGAGGTTGCCGTCGTCCTGGAGCGTGGCGACGGTGGTGCGCGGGGGCGACGGCGAGGAAGACGCGGACGCGTTCGACGACCACAGCAAGGTGTTCGACGGCGCCGTCGAGAACAGCCGCAGATCGCCGTGGACGCTCAGCTCGAGGTGGCAGCTCGACGGCTCAAGAATCGGGCGCTCACGGTTGGCAACCCAAACAACCGTCTTCTTGGAGATCTTCTTGTACCAGATGCCAAGGTAGTGCTTGTTGGACTTTCCCGGCGAGAAGAGGCCGAGCTCGAAGTTGCCGCCATTGGAGACCAGCGTCTGGTTCCACAGCAGAGACTGGCCTAGCGTGAGGGTGTCAATGGCGGCCGTGGGGAGATGTAGGTTGAAGAAGAGCAGCAGGAGGACGCCGACGAGGAGCATGGTGGCGAGTGCCGAGTGGCAACCACAATTCTTACTTACTTAGCGAAGAGTGATTAACTTGTTTGTTGGCCTCCTATATAGTACTCATAGGTATCTGTCATGGCATTGATTGAAGGGCCAAGCTTTGTTTGGCCATCATGAATCCACAAGTTATGTATTAGCCGTCAGCCGGTCATGGCATGATGCAGCATTGGCTTCTTCAACGATGTTTACGTGCCAATGGACTACTTTTTTACAGTTTATTTGGATTTTAGACGATATACAAACCGCGACTTGTATCCAATCAGTGTGACAATAAGTTTTTGGTGGCAGTAAGTTTCAGCGTGACAATAATGTCTGTTTCAAGTTTTTCGGAAGTGCTAGTCAACAAGATTTCTCAGATTTTAAAGAAGACGAACTTTTATCTCTATATAAAGACCTGATGCTCATTTCCATCCTTTCTCTCTCGCGTGTTGATGTGAATCAGGTCTGAAATTTTCTTTGATCTGCCTGCTTCAGCAGGAAGCCATCCGTCTTTATCATCGCTTTAGCTTTAGGTCTATCACTAGTTGGTCTCATGTCGCTGTGAAGCCCGTTCAGTAGCGATGCAGCACCCCCGATATATAGGCATATGCATAGCCCGCATTTATGAAAGTTAGTAATTTCTTGGTTACGCATCGAGGCTTTATCCCTTAGAAATGGATGGATATGCCCCCACGTTAATTAACCAACGAGAGCAGCAATCAAACTGCAAGAGCGATGTTGTATTGCACCGCACCATGGGTCCGGGTCAAAATCGAACATTTTTTTAATTGCTCGCACGGTTCAGAATGGAATCAAAAGATTATATCATAAATTTCTAAATTTAAATCTAAGTTTTAAATGTTTTAAATAAATTTATATCTTTACGGGCAATAACTAGCTAAGGTCCCATCTCCGACCGGTAGCCGCTAGTTCTTGGACCATGATCGTTATTGCAATTTCGCTGGTATTGGAGGTTTATGGGACCATAATTAGTAGGGCAGTTTGCCAGATTTTGGATGCTGTGAACTACTGAAGTGTCATCGCATAGATTGTCCAGTACTCCAGTTACTCTGCTGCTCGGCCCTAGTGTCCTCGGATGAAAGCAACCGGCGGCCTGAACAGAACTCGTCGCTGGAGTACGTAGGAAAGCAGAGGGAGTGGCCACCCCCTAGTTAATGAAGGTTTGTTGGCAGCTGCGCGTCGTTGGCACTTGACAATGGTGAGCGCTGTCAATTTGTTTGTCCTGTCATTCGCTTTGGTTTTACTTTGAGCAAGTCGTTGATTTCTTTTGTATCTCACCGGGATATTTCTGCGGTGATGCGCACAGCGCATTGCACCAGTTGACGACTGGGAGCAACGCTGATCCTAGCAAAAATCATTTAGTCAGAAATCCTACCAGAAATCATTTCGTCAGAAATGGTCGCAGGATTCGTTGATCACTTGATTGATACTGGGATAATGATATTTATCTATTTATCTGCTATACTATCTACTGCAAAAGACCACTTCTTAACTCGTTCAACTAGCAGTAGCATCCGTTGAAAAAAATGACGACGAAGGTGTTCATACCCTTCCTGTCCGGTCCCTGTGCGTGTAACTGGATAATTTTAGTTGTAGCAAGTCAGGTTTGGTAAGACGGATGACGTAAATGCTTATCAAGTCAACAACTTCTAATTTGCTGTTGTCGTAATCAGATTGCAATGACAATGCCGACAAACGTCTCATTTGCTGTTCTATTCAGATTTCTGCAGTTTTCGTTTGGAAAACATATTGCGGCTGCTGTTGCATCTGCTATGTTGTCGTACAAATTATTTTCATCCTAATTATATACGAATTCTAGCTCGGTAAAGTCCTCGAGCAGTTTCAAAACTGGAAAAAGAATCACCAAAGACTTGTGAATAAACTGATGATTGTTAGGCTCTCAGTAAAGGCCAAAGTTTTTCCACATGTGAAGAGCCATCGAAAGAGGCATTGGCGTCCATACTACCATGCTCACCAATCTCGCCGAATCCATCCATCTCAATCTCTCATCAAAGAAGAAAAAATCAGTCTAATTCTTCGACACGAGGAGATTTCACGAGGAATCGACGAGACAGAAGAGCACAACGTAGCGGTGGGGGCAAAGCACGCTTCGTCAAGCCTTCGTATTCGGTGTGGTTAAAGCAAGAGTAGTCATCATCGAGCCATAAACCGGTTGACCAGATCGCAAACAGATGAAACAAAACAGAAACGAACAAACAAAAAAATCCAAAGAGGATGATTTTGTTTCATGGAGATCACACAACCAATTTATATATAGGACTAGCAAATATGCCCGTGCGTTGTAACGGGTGAATATCAAACAAATATGGATTGCTAATATTGCATGTGTACTTGTATGATACATGTGTACAAAATTTCAAATTTGTACATGTCTTCCAAATCTTGAAATTTTATATCGCTTTTGCAGATTAGGAAACTGATGTCAGGGCCTGTTCAGATTGTAGCTTAAATAAAGCTTATCAAATTTTAGTAAAGTTACCAAATATGTGCATCCATTTAGTTTTTTTATCAAACTCTAATAAATACATAAAAAATCCTGCCAAAATTTGATAAGGTTTATTTTGACTACAATCTAAACAAACCCTCGTTATAAAAAAACAAATTATTGCCGAAATATACGAAGGTGATTCCGCGTGTGATGGACGATGAAAAAAAAACTTTACCCGAAGACTTACTTTTTTTTTTGTTCTTCACGTGGGTTCTATTTAGTTAGAAATAAATTAAAACGCACATGTAAAATTTACAGCAATTTTATATCTTAAAATGATGGTTCAAAGTGATTAATTTTTTTATGTAAACATTTAATGATTTTTGGGCGAAAAAATAAGGGCCAAAACAACGTGCGCCGGCCCGACCCGTTAGGCAAGGAGGTCCTATAGACACATTACACGAGGGAGCGAAAGTAGACTTATTACAGGAGAGGCCGGAGTGAAGATTTTCCACATTAACCAAGCAAGCAAATTACCACTTGTGTTATGTGATTACATGGAAGATACATATACTATATCAACTGCGGTTTTGCAATACAATGAAAACCGACCGACCCGACTCGGATTAAAACAGATTTTAGTGGCGCGTGGGATGACGGACGAAGAAATATCGGAATCCTTACGTATTTTTTTATTAGGTATAGATATAGATTTCATTGAAAAAAAAATATGTTGGACCTACGAGAAAATGCGGGAATCTATTACCAGAAGCTGCATGTCCATAGATCCTCGAGTATGATTTGGCAGCCCTTCAGAAACGCAAGCTTCGAATCAGCAGCGATCGAGTTGTAAACGAGAAGAGTGCTTCGAAAAAAAGAGCAAATCACATCGAAACGCAATCAGAAGACGAGAAAACAGATCTGTTCTTCGAAGCGCAAACGAGAAAAGAAACAGATTCAGATTGGATCTTTGATGGAAGGGAAGGAACAGGGAGGGAGCCAAGGCTGCGGGATCCGGCGGCGCGCGAGGATATGGAGGAGACGCAGAGGCGCTGGGTTTTATAGGCCTCGATTACCACGATTAGGGTGGAGGCCGGTATCTATGGGCCGCACATAGCTGTGGCATTACACCGTTCCGGCCCAAACTATATGGGCCTCTTGTAAGTGGCTATCCCTTTCGGCCCAACCAATGCAAGTCCGCGCGTTCGTCGCGATCGAAGGAAGCGGAAAGCCGCAAAAATCCATGAATCGATCAACGATTCAGAACAAAGGAAACGAGTGAAGCAGTTGGCTCAGAAGAAGATTTTGATTGTGGTCAGCGCACAAACACTGACACCTTCTGCAAATACAACCTAGTACCAATTTCCTTTTCCAGGCAACGTACCACCCAATACCAAGTTCCCAGACAACATCTTAGAGCAACAGATGAACACAGGCACATCATCTTGTTCGTTCTCAATGATCACCACCCACCCATAACACCGAGGCCAATCCCACTCGACACCAAAAAAAGAATCCCCCCATGAATTCCTACGGACTCTGCTGCCTTGCCTACTAAACTAACCACTCTCGTCTCACTGCCTACAACAGGAGGACGACGCTCAACAGCAGCGCCGCGACGACGGCGCGGACGAACGACGAGACGTCCCCGATCGCCCGGTGCGCGCCGGAGTCCCCCGCCGTGGAGTTCGACGACGGCGCCAGCGATGTGCCGTTCAGCAACGACGTCCCGTTCTTCCCACCACTGCACGTCCAAAAATAAATGACAGATTTGAGCGAAACGCACTTGAATTCTGTTTCAAACATCGCGAGAATGTAAAGACGTTATGGGGAGGGGAAAAAAAGAGCGTACCTTCCAGCGTAAACGCAAGACCCGTGGCCTGAAGAAAACAGAGAGAACGAAATAAGCTCAAATCCAAATGTTTGGAAAGCAGGAATCTCTTATGGTTTTGTGAACTTACTGGGATCGGTGGTGGTGATCACGGCGACACCGCTGAAGTAGCACGTCCCGGAGCCCATGCCCATGCCATGGTAGTAGGCGTTGAAGGCGTAGGTGGCGTGCGCCTCGACGTTGTCCGGGTCGTAGCACGGCTGCCCCTGCATCAGCGCGGAGCAGTCCACCTTGCCCGGGCCGCAAGCCCAGTCGAGCGCCGCCTGCAGCATCTTCTCGTCAGCGCCCTCCCGCGCCACGCAGTAGGTCTGGTTCGTCGTGTCGTTGGCGAGCAGCACGCCGGAGCCTGTCAGGTGCAGGGTGTACGCCGGGATGCCGTTCATGTCGAACAGGCCCCAGTACTTCTCCGACGTCGAGCCGGGGCGGGTGTCCTCGTCGTAGAGCTCGTAGATGTACGTCGGCACGGCGACGCCGGGGTGCTTCGGCGTGCCGGTGGTGTTCATCACGTGCCGGATGAGGTTACTGTTGTAGGTGTCGGCGTTGTCGGAGGTGGCGTCGGGCTCGTTGGACGGGTCGCCCTTGTGCGGCCACCCGGTCTCCGTCACCATCACCGGCACGTTGGTGACGTTGAGGTACGCCATGGCGAAGTAGGCAGCGTCCACGACCGCGTCGAACACGTTGGTGTAGTGCAGCAGGGTGTTGGCGTCCACCGCCTCCTTGTTCGGCGGCAGCGGCCGGAACAGCGCGTAGTCCAGCGGGATGACGCCGTTGGAGCGCATGTAGTCGTAGTACGGGTACACGTTGAGCATCAGCGGCGAGCCCGTGGACTGCAAGAACTTGAGCAGCGGCACCAGCACCGGGTCCAGGGAGCGGTTGAAGAAGGCCTGCGACGGCGGGAACGAGTCGAGGATGATGGACGAGGAGTGCGGCGTCGAGATCTTGATGTACCGGTCGAGCGCCGCGGCCACCAGCGCGTTCTGGAGGTAGCGGATGGCCGGCATGAGGAGCGGCGCCGCGTTGGGCAGCGTGGAGAGCACCTCGGAGCCGACCGCGATGGCCGTGATGTTCACGGAAGGGTAGTGCGCGGCCACGTTGCGCGCCACCCAGTTGGCCGCCGTGGCGTTGGAGTTGCCGATGGCGAGGAGCTGCTCGTTCGGCACGGAGACGATGACGCGGATGCCGGTGTTGGCGAGCGCCGCGAGCATCGCCGGGTCGGCGTCGTACAGCCGCACGTGGCGGATGTTCTGCGAGCGGAGCAGCGTCGTGATCTGTGTCGGCGCCGGTACCGACGTCATGGCCGTGCCAATGTTGACGCCGATGTACGCCCCTGCACGCCAAAAATGTAAGATAAACAACGTTAACGTAGCTCATGTCAAGTTTATTTTTCATTTACTCCGTACCGAACATGACGAATAAAGAGAAATACGGCACAGTTCAAAACTCCGACAAATCATTGAGGACAAACAAGGATCACATGCAAATGTAAATGGAGGATTAGTAACTGATCACTAAGGGGGTGTTTGGGAGAGAGGGGTTACCTCTCTCAAAAACAGTCCCTCCCCGAGAGACTTATTCCTCCGAAAAAAACCACTCCTGAATTTGAATCTGGACACAGGGTTTTTTTTTAAGAACGGAGGAATTTTTGGAACGGAGGAAGTAAGTTGTTGAGAGAGGGGCTAAAGTTTACCCTCTCTCTCCCAAACACCCCCTAACTCGTACAACTACTAGTAGCAACAAGAAAAAGAACAGTTGGACAAATACAGCAGCACATCGATTTCCCTACAGAAAAATGGGCATGGGGGATGTTGGGAGTACACCAAGCTAGCTGTAAAGCACAAGGCAACTTGGTACGGGGGAAATACGTTGGAAACAGGAGCCACCACCACCACGACGCAGCGCAAAATCCCGGGCTTTTCATGCGGATGGCCACAGCGAGCGAAGCACAGTTCAGTCCAGTCCTGCACGCTGCACCGCCCTCTGCTGCTGCCTCTGCGCAGGCAAGGCAAAACCTCCAATGCGACAACCAGCTGGGCCGCACAAGCTAGGAGACGTGACTCCATTAATACTAGCAGTGACACTGCCAGGTGGTCCCGGGAAAACAACCGTCACCAACCAGTCAAAGGAGAGACTGACCGGACTCTCTCGCACACTCGGCACAGGGTGCTGAGTGCTGACAAGGGCACAGGACAATCACCCAGTCATCCGTGACTATAATTACCGAGTTATTACCGTGGGGTTAGCCTCATGATTAACACCGAACCCCCACTGCAACGGTCAAAAGTTCATGACCTAAGCCATTGGCACCAACCAGTTGCTGATGCATACATGGAGTAGGGAGTGATCATAGTTTGAGGAGAAAAGAGGCAGACAAGGAGGCCCCACAAAGGCTGGTGCCAATGGCTAAAGATGTGTATAACCTGGGAGCGATCTCCTTTCGGCTTAAACTTATGCACAAAGCCATCATAAAGACCCATAAGCTAGCTGTTGTGTTGCGAACTTCTAGTACTGTGGAAAGCTGGGCGTGATGCTGCATTTTAGTGGATAGATTAGTGATGGCGACCGTCTGATGCTAGTATTCTACTACTACTAGTGGCTTGTAGTATTCGTTCCCCTCGCTACAAGTAAAATCTTATTCCAAACATATTAGTTTATGATTAGTATTATGATATGATAATGACACCAGATGTTCCTACAGAACGTGCTTAACTGATAAAGAAACTAGTGCACGTGAAGGGGGCAACTGAGGATGCAGCCATGCAGGCATGGGGAGAAGTTCAGAGAAGGGAATCCCAGGCAGACCAAGAAGACAAGCAGAGAATAAGGGTGAGCAGGATGAGTAGTCAAATCCAAACCCCAAAAGCTACTACTGACTGGGTAGCTACTACAAGTACTCCATTACAGACCACTCTAGCTAGGAGTAATAACTCATTAACTAAGATTAGCCATGTTTTGTGATTTGTGTTAATCTATTGTCAAGAGAAAGCTACTACCAACGGTGAACTTTAACCATCAAGGGGTACAGGACAACTCCAATAACACCAGAGACCACAATACGACAAGCAGAAATCCGGGTAGAAAGGGACATCGCTCACTCGACCAGTCCCAATCACAGTCGCTATCATTCAAGGTCTCCAGGATTGCAGCAAGAAAACTAGCCTAATAAACAAAGATATTATCGATGATGTAATAGCAAAGATGGCGAGATCGAGCCATGCAACCACATCCAAGAATGGGATAGCAGAGTCAGTGTCAAAAGGGTCAATATGAGATCAAGCAACACAAGAGAAAAAGAAAGAAGGGAAATCTCACCGTCCTCGCCGTGAACAACCGAGGCGGCCAGTATCAGCAGGAAGAGGAAGAAGAAGAGCTTCTTCATGTTGCCGCAAGAGAAGCCCAAGAAACCGAAAGAAACAATCTTGATGTGCCTTTTCTCCTCGGTATTTTCACTCTCCCAGCTGAGAAGAAGCAATAGAAACCTACCAACCTACCTCCTGAGCTCGGAGCTTAACTATGCGTAGGAGAAGGATACCAAGAAGAGCAGACCAAAGAAGTGGAGTGTGAAAGGGGAGGAGGAAGAAGAAGTGGAGAAGAGGTGGGAGGGAGGAAGCGAACTGGAATGAAGAGTTGCAAGTTGATGGGATATAAATATGAGAATACAGAAAAGGAGGGGCTTTTGTACAAAAGTAAGGGGCAAGGGCCCAATGGTAGGGAGGTGCCCATCACGGTGTCAAAACCGCATCAGCTACGCGCCCGAGTACTCCTCCCAAGCCCCCTACTCCCACTGCAGCTGGGCCCAACGCGTTGGTGCGACCCACATGTCGGTGTAAAAGCTCTCTTCGTACGCCGCGCTCTGGCCAGCCGATGGTTTAGTGGCACGCATCACGTGGCGCATGTCAGGCATCCAACGGCTGCGAGGCGATCTCGCGGAGCGGCGACGAGGCCGTGCTGTTTCGAGTAGTACTACGTGGATCGCTTCGTGGACCTCGGGGAAATCCGGGCCCGCATGTCAGCGTCTCTGGTGGGCCGCGGCTGGCAGTGGGCATAGGACAACGGGAAAGAAACGAACAAACTCCAATAAAGCGAGCCCTCCTCCCACCGACATGTGGGGCCGATATGGTGTGGACCCACCTGTCAGCTACAGCGTCGGGCGTGGGACCATGGGATGATGGGGACAGTGGCTCTCAGACTGGTGGACAGTGGGCACGCGAAACGAGGAGGGGGATGCGGGGCCCGGAGCGTGACGTGGCGCAGCAACGGTCAAATTTCGCGGGCACCACGACCAGAGGCGACCGGCGGAAGCAGCGGCGAGCAGGCGAGAGAATGGTTTGGTCGTGTTGTGGAGAGGAGAGTAGGGCGTGGCTCGGGGTGGATTGGGTGTGGTGCGCCGTGCGCGGGCGCGGCGCTCGTGGCAAAAACTGGGCACGCCGCCCGCACGCACGGCACGATGGCTTCGCGCGGCTTTCGGCATCAGCCCCAACGGTCGTCTTCGCAGGCCGGCCTCGGCGAGTACAAACGACTACTGGGATGGGATGCAGCGCTTTTTTTTGCTCTGCTTTCTGCCTGGGCGACAGCACTTGATTGGTACTCCAACGATGATATTTGATCGGCCTGGACTGGCTGGCTGCGCATGACTTCGTTTTACTGTCCAACGAAGCGACCAACGCTTTTTATTTACCAACACAACGGACTCGTTTGATTCACTGAATCACCGAGGTGGTGTTTGAATCTCCTGAAGATTAAGATGAATATAAAAATTAATTGAGTTTTAATTATTATAAACTTGAAAAATGGATTAATATGATATTTTAGAGCAACTTTCATATATAAAGTTTTCGCACGAAATACACCATTTAGTAGTTTGAAAAGCGTGCCACGAGTATCCAAAATTTCATCTCCGACTTGTTGGAGAAACGAACAAGACCTAAGGCCATGTTTAGAAGTTTTTGCATGTCACGATCGAATATACGGACATACATTTGAAGTATTAAACGTAATCTAATAATAAAACAAGTTACAGATTCCGTTTGTAAACTACTAGAGGAATTCATTAAGCCTAATTAATTCATCATTAGCAAACATTTACTGTAGCACCACATTGTCAAATCATGGCGCAATTAGGCTTAAAAGATTCGTCTCGCAATTTGCACGCAATCTGTTTAATTAGTTTTTTTTATTAATATTCCATGCATATGTCCAAACGTTCGATGTGACGGGGTGAAAAGTTTTTATTTGGGAACTAAATAGGGCCTAAGAGCGAGTACAATAGCAGGCTACAAGTCAGCTATAAGCACATGTAAAAGAGAGAGGAGAGAAGAGAGAAGAAAATCGGGCTATAAATTTATATCCAGCTGCAATACGAATTCCAAAATGTTATATGTGTATAAGAGGTGGACCATATGTTAATGATGTAGTATATGTTTATAAGTAATTATTGTATGAATGAGTTATTAGATTGACTATAAATGATTTGGAGCCAGTAGTTATTAAACTTGCTCTAACTGATCTAACCATACCAAACAAATAAGAGTAGATATCACGAAACCCCATATTTTAGAACACATCTATCACAGATCCATGTGATAAAAACATTTATCCCAAAACCCTGCTCTTTTGGAGCATGTTTGTATCATCTCACCCATGTTCACATTTCTCTCCTCCCATTTGACCTTTCAACTCATGTTTGGCGTTTTCAGAAGGACTTTCAACCGTTTCCACAATGATAACGGTATTCTCTCCGGTCCGGTGCGCTTCACCGTTGAACTGGCTTAGGTTGACATGAATGTTTGTGTTGTCGAGATAGGCCACTTGCCTCTACATTGAGGTGCAATGGCTTGTTTGTTGTCGACAGTAGATAGAGCGGAGGTGGGCCAAGTTCGCACCAATAATTCACGCTTAGCAAACAGGATCAAGGAATCGCATGAATATGGACGGAGACAATGAAGGGAAGGAGAGGAGCAAAATATGAATGATATGATACAACATACCACATAGAGTAGGGTTTTGTAATAAAAAATGCCTAGCTTGTGGCGAGGAGATGATACCTCATTTGGTTTATTGCTAAAATTTTGGTAACCGAAAACCAGCAACACACACATTTCAAGAGATTTGCCAACAAACCAAATGAGCAACTTTATTAATTTTCTCACAAATGACTAAACTTTGTCAGTGCCAAAATTTTGATATGGTTAAGTTTAGCAAACATCCGAACACAATCAACATCACTGCATATAGTGTTTCGCACGTCAACATGCATTTCTAAAATATGCACTTCTAAGTTGTTTAAAAAAGATTGATGGCTTGTTTGTATTGAGGTCAACTTGTCGGTACCAATTATTTGGTAACTTCAATTGTATAACATAGAACCCACCATTCTATAAGGAACTACTTCGTAGGTGTGAATTTGGATATAGTTATGTCTTAGTTCGTACTAGTCGGGAATTGTTTTTTTCTTGAGACGGTGCAAGTAAATATTTGCTTTGTTATTAGTAGAACAATAGTTCCTAGCCATAAATATTTATAGCATATGTTTTAATTTGTAGCAGAGACCAGACGACGTACCTCATGTTTGATCAAGACATAACCTCGAAATAACCTCGAACCTTGAACGAGCATATCCAAGGTAGAGACTGATGCATCTCGAGTTTCCAAACAGGTAATCCGAATGAGTTCCAAGCAAGTCTATAAACAAGATCCAATACTCCAGAGCAACCGTGGTGCTACAGCAACATCAGCAATCTTTTGCCACCGGATCAACAGCTTATATCGCCAGCAGATGCTGTTCAGGGGACTACTGTAGCGGATCCCGGTATGGGTACTGTAGCATACGAAGTGGGACAGTGCTGCAGACCTGCAGTGTCAATTTTGGCCATTGGCTCCATTGATCTGATGGTGATAATAGGTTGCAACTTCTGATGTTGTAGTCGCTATCTACAAAAATTATATATAGCTAGAACTAAGAGCTAAATATACATTAAGCCATACCACTCATACAAAGTAAGAGCCATTAGATAATTCACATACTTAATCGTAACCATCCAATACATATTAACTATATGTAGCTACTATCTATATTTAATTTCCAGATAACTCAACATTCATTATCCTATTGTAGTCATCAGTTTCCACAACAACGCGCGCAGTGTCATGTATTCGAACATGATCTGCCCAAGTGTGCAAAAAGGCCGTCAATTAACACGACTCGGACCTACTCGAGCATCCCAAGGCCCATAGAACTGTTGGGTAAAGGCCGAGATCCGCCATCGAAACCGAGCAGATTTTCAATGATACATGGGCCAGATCGCTACATTTTGGACGTTCGCGCTCTGGGCCAAAATTGCGAGCTCGCCCGAGAACCTGATCGGCATTAGCCTCACTTTCTCACCGTGAACCATCCCCAAACCCACGTTCTCACCGGCGATCAAATCCGCCGTCATCTCGCCTAAATCTCACCTTAATCCTCCGTACCCCCGCTTCCTCCCGCTCAAACCCTAATGCGGTGATGGCCAAGGACAAGGAGGTCGGCCCGCCTCCTCCCCCCTGCGTCGACTCCGACCACGAGGACCTCCCGCTCGCCGAGCGACGGCGGCGGCTGCTCCGCCCGCCGGCGGAGTCAAAGCCTCCCGCTCCGGAGAGGTGCCGCGCCTCCCTTTTCTCCTTGTTCTGTCCTGCAGATGTTTCTTTTTTGGAGTCCTCATCTTTGTGTTGTTCCGGCGCAGGCGGGAGGCTAGCGCCGCGGCGGCGGCGGCGGAGGATTCCGGCGGAGCGGCGCAGCAGGTGGGTTTCTTTTGATTTTTGCGTGTGGTTATTAGACGGTTAGACGGTGTAAAGTTGTAAATCTTTTCCTGCTCTTGTCGTCCGGCATTCGAATGAAAACCGCATTTCTTGTGTTACCGTTCTTTTGCTTTTGTGGACGTGCGGTTTTGGTCAGAGCTGAACATGACGGAATATACCTTTATGAGAAATAATTGAACAGCTATTGTAAATTTGTAATCAGTCATCACCGCTCCTCAATTTTTCTCACCCTCCACCATTGTTGAACATTACTTTTATCTACATCTAATAGCAGCTACAAAGGACATTTCTTTTTCCTTTGAAACGAGTAAAATTAATTCTTTAGGAGGGAGTCTTATGTGGATTGCCATCTTGCTGGTATCAACTGTTTCTGTTAATGTTTGTATGGAAACCTCTTCCATGTGTTTCTTTTAAAACTGCGCTCCTAAAAAATCTCCAAATGCGCCAAGAGCAATTCCAAGATCTTCCGTACAAATGCTTGCATCATGTTAAATTGCTTCTTTACTTAAATGTTGTGCTTATTGTATTGCTGCAGGGTTGGCCAGGTCTTCCCAGAGGTGTAGAGTTTAATCCTACCGATAGCGATCTACTCTGGCATCTGGCTGCAGAAGTTGGAAATGGTCAGGCTCGTCGTCATCCTTTTATCAACGAGTTTATTAAATCTGTTGATGAAACCATAGGATTTGGTTATACTCACCCTCAAGATATACCAGGTAGTTCACTATTATTCAATGTAAATATCTCTCATGTCTGTTCCTTTTATGATTTACTGTCACATGCTACATTTTGATTGATATTTTAGGTATTAGGCAGGATGGATGTGCATCATATTTCTTTCACAAAAACTTCAAGGAGTGCGCCAATGAGAACAGTAAATGTATCAGATGGCAAAAAAGTGGAAATCCTATATCAATAACTTTGGATGGGAATCTTCAAGGTTGCAAGGAAGTATTTGTATTGTATGCCTACGAGACAGATGGTAACAATCCTCAGATCACTGACTGGAGATTACATCAATATCATATCGAAAGCACAGAGAAAGATGAGGGAGAATTGGTGGTGTCAAAGATATTCTACGAGTTAGAAAAAAATCAATTTAAATGGGCTGAGAAATCTCACGCTCAGTCAGCACAGGTGTATTACTTATCCTTGTATTTTTCTTGTAGTTTAATATGGTATGAGATAACCCTGTCACCCTTGACTCTTTTTTTTTGTTTTAAAAATAATTCTGAAAGTAAGTTAACTGATCATTGTAAAAAAACACTGCAAGGCAAATATTTAAGCTACATTTGTTGGATTAGTATTAGCAATTTGTTATATTAAACGTGTTGGAACCAAATTGCGAGAGGCTCTGTCATGATTTTAAAAATTGACTTTTGTTTGATCCATTGGCCAATGAACACTGTTCAGTTCTTTTGCAGGATTTTCATACTAATTCACATTTAGTTTACTTGAACATGGATGCTATCCTACTAGTTAAGTAAAAACTGCTTTTGCAATTAATGTTACCTTGACTCTACTCAGAGTAGGTACTGTGATTCTGGTATGCTTGATCACAAGGATTCTTTTAGTTTTGCGTCATTTACCTGTTCTTTGGTATCAATCTGTTTCTTGTTTCCTTAGTTGAATATATTCGGCTGTAGCTGTTTTGCATTTCTTTATCTTATTTATTGCTTAATTTTTAAGTCTAGTCTTGTACTCATTGTAAAGTTTTCATTCATTGTAGTTGATTTCTGCTAACTTTCTGAAGTTAACAGGCACTCAATTTCCTGGGGCTTTATAACAATTAATTTTAAGTAACACATGCTAGATGTTTGTTTCTGAAATTCTATGCAGGGTGCTTCTGCAATCGATGATGATTCCAAAGAGGAATTACAGTTGGACAATCATTCTTTTAATATGATTACTGAAAATAGTTCTGTTCAAGGTTCGTGTCCTCATTCACATCCATTTATTTTAAATGCATTTTTTGTAACATAGACCATGACACTGAATTCTCTTCAGGCAATGAAAACAAGCAAAAGCAGACGCAAACAGGGACATGTCCTAATCTGGACAAACTAAGTTATTTCAATGTGGTAAGCAACATGCATATTGGGAACCAAATTAATGATCATGATGAAATCGAGGAGCTTGATCATATGTCTCTGCAAGAGCGCTACAGAATTCTTATGGCAGAAAATCATTCTTCCTCTGCTGTAGTATCTTCTGAACAATGTGCAATTGATGGTTTGGAGAATTCATGCAAGCCTGGAACTAATGGGATGATTCCTAAAAGGTGAGGGGGTGAGAAAATGTATACATTTAATGTAGGTAGCTATAATTTCTGAGAAAAAAAAATCCCTGTACACCCGTCCTTATGGTACATCCACTTTCCTGTGTACTAAGTTCTTAATAATCCTACCTAAATATGGAGATATAGAGAAGGATGCTCTATAGTAAAACTTTAAAGTCAAAGTTGATTGCATTCGCAAGAGAAAAAAAAAGTAACATATCTCCAATTATTTTGGGAATTGATGTGAACATTGACAAGTGTAATTCAAGAAAGATGCTCTATATAAGGTTTGTACTGATATGAAGTTCATATTGTAATTTTGCATGTAGAATTCATGAAGGGACTGCCTTCAGGGATGGTATGTATAGCATGTTGCAGGTACAAGCACACTTTCTCAACTGTTTTGGTTATGCATTAAATTTATGTTCTAATATCATGTTTGAAATGTCCTTTGTTATCCCTGATGCCTCATTAGGACTTATCACAACTTCCATTCTTGGTCAATAAGCATGCGCATAACAATAGCTTTTCTATCAAGAACATATAAATTTATTTTTCATTGTGCCAACTGAATTTAGTGATTCAAGGTTGCACATTGTCTGTGGGAGGGAGGGAAACGAGAAACGGGTCTGTTCAATTGTTTGCAATTATATGCAGGAAATTTCTTCTGCACCGGCCATTATAGGTAGTATCGACAATGATAACAACAGGAGGTTGCTAACTGAAGGTCTTTCAAACAACCAGCAAAGTCATGAGGCTGGATGTAAATCTCTTCTCCTTTTCTTTTTTAATTCGAGTCCTTACTTCCACATGTCAATGGTGAAGAAAGCATTGATTACTATACTCTGAAACAAGTGATGATAAACAACTTACTGCAGGTGAATCAGGTTTCTTGAGTACATCATCTTCTGCTGCTCCACCACAATGTCAAGTTGTGTGCTCTCATGATCTATTGGTAAACGGCAAGACTCTTATTTATAGTCGCGACCCTTCTTCAAGTTCAACACCAACTTTTGGGGATAAAAACATTCAGTTGGAAGGGACAGATGATAGGACCCTTTTGGTTGACATAAAATTGGAACCTGCATTGGAAGGTTATGATATTTACCATCTGAATTTTGTTTGAGCAAAATCTCACCACTATTCCTTAAACAACAGTGGTCTGGAAGATTGATTTAGCACCAGCATATGTTTGTCAAAACCCAAAAGACATCAATATTGATTTTGAACTCTTGCATGTCACAGGGGATTTCACAGAGAAAATTACATCTTCTGTACAGAGAACAGATCCAAATCATGGCACTGAGGGCTCTAATCTAGTTGGGTCTATAAACTCTGTTTCTTCAGCGATCTCCAAAAGAATATCAGAAGCAGCAAGATCTAACCCAGAGAATTCTCATGTTGAAGGCCTACTGCCATCATCACGAATAAAAAGCGAAGTTACCGGGAGTGAGTTACCTCTAGTTGTGTGTGGTCTCACTTCTATCAGTATCGCAGAGCTCACTGCCAAAAAAACCAATACTCTAAACCATGACGGGGTCCTTGCTTACTGTTCTCGAAAAAGGAAAAGGAGGAAGACTCTGAGGTATGCTGCACAGGCAACATTTTTAATGTTCACACTGATTCTCTTTTTGGCTAGATTATGCTTATAAAAATCATGTATGCAGGGATCCAAGTGAAAAGACGCTTGAAGAAGATTCCCTCAGAAATGATGAGGGTACTGCTTACTTTTCTCGTCAAAGGCGAAGGAGAAAAACAGCAACGTATGCTACATGAGTAACTTCTGTCAATGTTGACAACTATTTTTGAGAATCTGATAACAAACGTGATGTACGCAGGGATTCAATTGAAACGGCACTTGAAGAAGATGCCCCAGGACTACTGCAGGTACCCATTTGTCGTGTTCATAGTTCTATTTTAATTCAATAACGGTATTCAGTAAGCATTCATTCCAACTTCTGATTCTGTGTTTCCGTATCTTTCGTGCCTGCAGATTCTTCTGGACAAAGGAATACTGGTTAAAGAGATTAAACTCTACGGTGTTGAAGAAGAAGATGATATGGTCCCAGACTGCACAGAAAGTGACTTTCAAGATCTTGAAAATGTTATTACAAAAGTAAGATTTTAAAATGGTACTTAGTCTTATAAGAATGGGTATTTTTGTCTTTGAGAAAGAAAATACATTGTACAGTATATCATTGAAATATCTCAACAACCCCACCACTTGACATGTTGAAAATGGTTTGTTGAGAATCTGCATAACATCTGATATGCCTCACTTGCTTACCTTTTTCGGATGGTATCATACCACTCCCGCTATTTTTAGCGGGTAGAGGTTATTCTACTAGCCTGGGTCAAGCCTTTCCTCTGCAGGGCCCTTGTGATCCTTGTGCAGTAAACCCCTACGGGTGGTTCCCCATTGTCATGATGTAGCGAACACCACTGCAAAACTTTCACAAAGACACCTTAAGTGCTCCAGCTTCATATGTGACAAGCAACGCCGAAGAAAAGGAAAAGGATAATGTATCATCTTTTCAGAAGCATTCCACTGCCACTGGGACCATGTTGTATTAGTGGACTCGTTCTTGCTTCTCCTTGTTACTGTTCCTAACTCTCCGAGTAGTTAGAATGTTGAATTTTCCATACTCAGCAACAACAGAAGAGGAAACATTTGCATGTTTGTTAGTTACCTTGCGTTTTCCTTCCCCTTCCCAACTGAAAAATATAATCACCCTCCCCCCCAGCAATACAGCAGCTATGATTTGGTTTACATGATTTCATTTGTTGGTCATGTCACCAGGAAGTTCAGTGTGAATTGTGTTATGTCTGTAAATACAGATGACTTAGAGGTTATTGGCCTAATTTCCCCAAGGTTGAGGGACTACATCTGCATCTTTAGTATTATGGGCTAATTGTGAAGAGCAAATGGCATGGGGTGGTTATGTATGTTATAGTTTACTGACATGTTTTATTTGTTCAATACACAGTTGTTTCCGCAAAGAACATCCCTGTTGAAATCTGCACTTAGGCATGAGAAGGGGGAAAAGGCTATATACTGCTTGACCTGTTTAATTTCTCTCATCGAGCAGGTATTTATCCACATCTAGACAACATTTGCTATTTTTATTTTCTCACTTGTACGAGGCTTTCAATTTTAGTGTTTTATACACCTTTATCTCTTGTAGTCCCGCTATCTTCAGTTTCGTGATTGTCCTGTTGAATGGGGATGGTGTAGAGACCTGCAATCATTTATTTTTATTTTTAAAAGCCATAACAGGTAATCTTTCTTAGCCAATACTATTATTCAGGTACTGCCGGTTAAAATGGTTGATATGCTTCTTTCCTTTATGCCTTCCTTTTTTTGTTTCACAGGATTGTTCTTGAGCGACCGGAATATGGGTATGCGACATACTTCTTTGAGATTGTGAAATCACTGCCAATACAATGGCAGATCCAAAGGATGGTTACTGCAATGAAGCTTAGTGGTTGTGGCAGGACAGCTCTGATTGAAAATAGGCCATTATTGGTAAGATTTCTTGCTTTGGTATTTTTTTCCCCTGCATTTTCCCAGTGTTGTGCTGCACTTTTTGACTGTCAACGTACGTAGAAATGTGGTCAAAGTAAAAGGCCCTATTATCGACTTATGATCAGAGGAGGAAAAAAAATCAGCTCTATTGATGCTGGTTACTGGTATATCGTCTGTGACCAATAGATATGATAAAGCCAGTACAAGGGTAAAATTATACGAAGTTTGATGTGTTGTATGTAATCTTGAAGCTGGTGATTGTAAAAGGTTACATTTGAGGAAAAATATATTGTAAGATTTTTTTTTTAAAAGGTAAACTGGAATAGACTTGAAACATTACAGTAACTGGTCAGTTTACCTGTTACCAGCATAGCTTTTCATAATGTCTTCTATCCTTGCTTATGAACACAAGTACACAACTACCCATTAACCATTAATAAACTGTGTTATAGCCTTTCTTAGTTTCTTTTCCAGTTGACAATTGTTTCTAGGATCCTCTATCAGAATACGCAGTTACTAGTTTTGAAGCTGGATACAATCATACATTCATGCACTCGACTCTTTTTCTATATTTCTTTCTGATGTAACTAAGTTTGTGATATCGTTCATAATATACCTCCGAAGAATATATTTCTCGTTTTAGAAAATTTTAGCACCAGATATATGTTCACATAGGACATTAGCTTCAACGGTCCAATCTCATATGTACCTTCCGTAGTGAAAGGAGTTTATAATTTTGTGCTACCTCAGTACCTTTTACTCATGAGTTCTTTCATGAGTAAAAGGAGTTTGTAGGACATTGAACTAATCTATTTTTTACAGATTGGTGAAGATTTGACGGAAGGAGAGGCGCGGGTTTTGGAAGAATATGGTTGGGTACCAAATTCTGGGCTTGGCACAATGCTCAATTACCGTGACCGGGTAGTTCATGACAGGTGGAACGAGAGATCTGGCACAGATTGGAAGACAAAGATAGGAAAGCTCCTGATGAATGGGTATTCCGAGGGGCATTTGGTCCTATCTCACTTTCCAACTAAAGTTGGGAAAATAGAAGATGACACCGAAATCAAACAGGAGGATCCTCTCTGAGTTATCCCCTGTCTTGTATATGCGCTTGGTAATCCTGCAAAGTTATAACCTTTAGCAGTAAAATGGCTAATGCCACCCCCCTTCTTCATGTGGGCTTGTAGAGTTGTTGTAGTCATCATTATAATTCAGAAGGCTTACAAAGAATGAACACAGGGGTGCCATGTGTAGCCTATCTGCACCTGTACGTAGGAAATCATGGTGGGGTAACACTGTAATAAGTGTTGTGGATGGATAGACAGGTGAACTAGCATTTTTTTTTGCTAGCTGTTGATAAACATTAGATCATCTGGCAAATGGTGGGTATTCATATATGGATTCACCAGTTGAGTCATCCAAATGCTTGATTGTTGGCCGGATCACTGCAGATCTAACATCAGATAAAGCAGTCATTTTGAAGGTGTCATCAATTCAGGTTCTGTTCACTTGGAAAGTTGGCAAGTCAGAGCGCATCTACTAGCACTAGGCTGACTTGGTTCATGGTCCGCATTAGGTATTGAAATTGTTGGCATATTGTAGTTTCATACTACATGTCTTCTCTCTAGACTGTAGATGTTCTGGATTTTGGAATTAAGTATTGCCAATACAACAACTATTCACAAAAACAATAGGACACGCAACTTGTTCTTTTGCATTATCAGTGCAATTTGGATATATAGATAACTCATAAATTCGATACATGGCTGCTACTTTCCTTATATTACAAGGATAAAGAAGATAAATCACATCCCCAGGCCTCTGCAACACTCTCCATGCTAATGCTCGTATAAAATTCGATGGTTGCACATCAGCATTACAAATCGTTAGACGGTAATTTCCGCTGCAAAATTTAGCATAAACTAATACTGAATCGGTATAATTCTCGCTATTAATTAAAAGTTGCACTACCAAGTAGTCGGTCTCAAATCTGAGTTGCTGAATAGGACGTCTTGCCCTTGAGGACCTTGGAGACGGCCCGGATCGTCGACGGCGTCGTCCGGCAGCATCCGCCGACTAAGCTCGCGCCGGCCTCCTGCCACCTCTTCGCGAGCGCGTCGAAGCTCTTGTGCCCAAAGCACTGTGCCGGCTGTGCATGCGACGCATCAAAAAAACCAGTCAGTTTGATGATCAAGACGACCAAGAATTCGCACGGAAATGTGCTAATCTTTCTTGGCGTGCCAGTGATGAGAACAGATCTGTGCTAATCTTTCTTGGCGTGCCAGTGATGAGAACAGATTAAGTGTAACAGGTCGTGCTCACCAGCCATCTCTTCGCTCTGCCGTCCCAAATCTCGCCGCTGTTCGGGTACACCGCGATCGCCTTCTTGGTTTGCTGTCAGAAACACATTCAGAGTTTCAGACGATTGCAGAACCGGTGCAGAAAGAAAATGTTGGGGTGTGTGCAAGATGGAGTCGATGGTGCTGAAGGAAGTTGGTGCAAACCTTCTTGAGCTCGCGTATGATGCCCTCGATGAACTGAGGCGGCGTGCAGTTGACACCCACGATGGTCACCTTGTCGCTGGCGTTGAGGAATTGGAGGCACTCTGCAAAGCTCTCTCCTGAGCACAGGTTCTTGCCGTCCACTGAGCTGAAGCAGATCCAGGAGGGGACCTGGATGTTCTCTTCCTCCAGAAGCTCAACTAAAGCCTGCATGCATGATCACCAATTTCAGCAAGAAACATCAAAGGTGGCAGCATTTCAGTGCTATTGAATGTCTGGAACACATTGCACAATCTGTGTTTTTCTTTCAGAGATTCAGATTCACTAGCCTCACCTGTGCCTCCATTTTGTTCGGGATGGCCTCAAACGCGATCAAGTCAGGGCCAGCGCTCGCAAGAACCTGCAGCCGGCGCCTGTGGAAGTCCTTCAGTTTCTCTGCCGTGATGTCTTCTCCATACGATCCACTGTCAGATACAATGTTGCATCAATGACACAAGCAAAATATTATATACGAGGTTAAGGTTACAATGCGTGCCGATCCATGGCTAATCCATGGCTTTGCAGTGCTGAATCTTAGAAGTTACCTGTACTCTGAGCCATCGGCAAGGTAAGCTCCATAGCTCCCAATGGATGCGGCGACCAGAGCACGGTTGTAAACAGGCTTGGACTTCCTCAGCGTCGACTTCCAGAATTCATCTCGTGCTTCCAGTGCCAATTCAATGCTCCTTCGCAGTAACCCTTCTGCCTCCTCAAGAAGCATTCCTCTGGCTAAGAATCCTGGGATAGTTGCCTTCAGAGAGATACAAGAAAGGAAGGCATCAATTTCTCTGATGCTGAAACTGAAAGATTACTCTTTATGTCAGCTGGGGAATGAAGATCGCCAGACCGATGATACCTGGTATGATGAGGAAATGATGACATCGGCACCTGCTTCAAGATATTGCATGTGAACCTGCATAAAGAAGTTGAAACAATTGTGACATTTGATCTTTCGAAAAGAATCGTGATATTCACGTCCGAAGTAAATTTGACACAATTGAATGGTCCTGCCTATCAGAAGTTGGTGCAACAAACACAATTCAAGTGTACACAGTACACACTAGAATAGTCATCCTGACAATGGATTAAATTGAGTCAAACGATGGCATTACTTCAGGGAAAAGGATGGATGAAACTGAATGCTCTGAGAATGTTCGACATTCAGAGAATTCAGAGGTGCTTACCTACCTTTTCCTCTCGCACTCAACAGAGTAGGTAATCTTTTATTGTTTCTTTTTTTTTTCCAAAAAGCAATCTAGACACATCTGAAAAAAAACTTGGTTGGTCGGTAGTAGGTCCATAGGTGAGAAAGGGAAAAGGTACAGTGTTCTTGTCCAGGTCAAGACCAAGACAGCAAGACTTACAGTTTGTATCACATCTTAAGATTTGTTTACTTTTTTTTTTTGTGGAGGAAAAGGAAACGAGAGTTGACTGATAACACAGTTACCAACCGAACGTTGTATTCCAAGACCAAAGGGACGAAGAACACACATACACCTGTGGAATAATCGCATCGATCTCTAACGCAACACCAACACGGCAACAGCTAATATATAGCTTTTCACATGGTCAACCGAACAACAAACAGAGACGCAGCTCAGCTGGCACATACACATTCCATCGCGGCGGTGCAACAACGTGAGCAATCCATGGCGCCATGACAACGACGAGACAGCAAGATGCATCATGCAGCATGTGGCGCAAGCGTGGCATGAGCTGACGAGCACTACGCATGCAGGCACACGCGCGACGGCCCGGTCGGTGAACTACGGGGAGAGAAGAAAAGAAGATTAGTTACCTCCTTGATGAGGTGCGGCTTGGTGATGAGGCAGGCGGCGCTCCAGAGCGGGTCGTTGATGTCGGCGCCGAGCGCCTCCAGCTGCGTGGCGAATCCGCCGTCGATCACGGCGCACCCGCCGGCCCTCCTGACGATCTCCTCCACCGCCACGGCCATCGCTCGATCGATCAATCTATCAACCAACCAATCACTCCTCGCACCACCACCCCCAACACGCAGCAGCAGCAGCAGCTAGCCGCGCGCAAGTAGATCGGACTAAGAGATCGATCGATCGACGAGCTGAGGCCACGAGGGGTTAACGCGAGAGACGAGCGACGAGATGGAGCAGTATATATACCGGCGAGATCGATTGGAGCAAGGAGAAGGTAGGTAAAGGAAGACTTAAATTTGGCGGAGAAGCAATAACGCAGACATAGGTGGCATGCAGCGGGCGGGTGCGGACGTACGCGGACTTGTTCCTGGGGTAGGTGCGGTCGCAAACCGGGTTGGCGTCCAGGGAGGAGGACGGAACGAACCGTGAATTCGAATTCACTGTGTTCGTTTCCACGGTTGGACCAGCGCAACTGCGAGAAGACAACGGCATGAGTACGCATGGGTAAGCAGAGAGAGATATGAAAAAAAAAAGACGTTTGATTTATCCGTACGTGATGCAACAAATACTGTTGCAGGAGTATTTACAGCAGCGGCAGCTGGTTGGTTTGCCTTGGCTGGGCTGCCTGGGCAAATGGACAAATGACTCAATATGGACACTTCTGCTTGGCTTGATTCCTCAACTTTTAATATAGTAATTGGAGTACATTCAAAATTGTACTCCCTCCGTCCCATAATATAAGGGATTTTGAGTTTTTGCTTGTAATATTTGACCATTCGTCTTATTCAAAAATTTTTGAAATTATTAATTATTTTATTTGTGACTTATTTTATTATCTACAGTATTTTAAGCACAACTTTTTATTTTTTATATTTACAAAAAAAATTTGAATAAGACGAGTGGTCAAACGTTGCAAGCAAAAACTGAAAATCCCTTATATTGTGGGACGGAGGGAGTATAAACTATCCTAATTGTCACGATCCTCGTACTTTTTTTCCCTTCAAAAGCCCACTGTCCCAAGTCCCAACACAACATTGGGGAGCCGCCGCCAACGCGCACGATTTTTTCTCGACGGCGGCACAAGCGATGCAAGTGCAACAGTAGCATGGCCTCTCTCAAACATAGCACCAGCTTAACTCTATCGTGTACAACGAGGACGGCGGCTACATCACATGATACCAATGAGGCCGTCAACCACTGCCACCACGGTGGCGAGGAGCCATGAGCATAAGGCGGTTCGAGGTGGCCTCAGGAATCACGGCAGCGACATGCAAATGCAAACGGCTCCGCATCACGCCATCAGGCCATGGTTTAAGGAGAAGGGAAAGATGGTGGAACATTGTTCACTCCATGTGGCATCATACATTTTGACTCATTTTAGATTGTTCACTCCATTGGCTTGTGGCATCATACAAATCGAGATGGAGGGAGTATTTGCTAACTCGTGTTTATACTAAGTAATACCACCATGTTTAATTCCACCCACAAGATGGACACTTATCAATATAAGCATCTTTGCCAGCAATTTAAAAAATACAGCAAATCTGGACAATCAAATTTTGACCAAGGGAAAGACAAACGGACTAGCAACAGCTATTTTGACCGTCAATAATTCAATAAAGCATGCCCGGCGGAAATGTTCAACTGTTCATGTCAGCAACTACCAGTTCATCCAAAATAAGCTTACCTTAATTACCTAAGCAACAGCCTCTGAAACCTTCATCGAGTGCCCATATCAGCAGCAAATGGGTCAGCCAAAACAAAGTTTACATAAATTAACTTCGACCAACAGCCCTGAAACCACTAGCCCAGGCCACAGCCAGTGTAATAGCAGTACCCTGGTCTCCGTAGTACATATATAAACTACCTAGGAACTATCAGTAGTCTTGCGTACGAGGACTCCATCACTTTGTTGCTTTCTGATGAACCCTGAGTTCCTCTCGACACTCAAGGCTGTTGTTGGCTCGATCTTTCGGTGAGTTGTGATAACTACGATTTGGGAGAAACGTTGACGATCCGACTACAACTGTACGAGACGTTGTGTTGCGCCTTAGCGATCGATACACCTCTCCGTGGGTTGTTGATCTTGCCGGTGCAGATCAACCCTATTCCTGCAAGCAAATCGAAGAAACAAGTAAGAACAACATAAAAGCAATCTGATATTGCAAATAGGAATTTAATACAAATAATAAGTTGGGGTTCTGAAGAACAAGAAGACGGACGGTCTAGCCGACACGCGCGCTGCAAGTAAGTAGCAATGGCTAAACTTTAATCTATCAAAACCCGAGAAACCCTGAAAGGGTACCTAGCTACTTATAAGGGTGGGAGAACGACCAAGAGGGTCCTAGGGTTGTGCTCCACCTGGTTGGGGCGCACCTCACATGGGCCCCACTTGGGCCGGGGTCCCAAACGAAGTTACAAGCCCAAAGGCCCATGACAGGTGATGTTGCACCTTGTTTCTTCATCTGCGGTTGACTGGGATGGAATTTGGTGATGAGGTTGGATCCGTTGGAAAGAGGACTCCGAGAGCTTTCCATCAAGTACTCACGGGCCGAAAACGGAGCTTGTATGGAGATTTGGCGGCCGTTTGAAATCAGCAGTGTAGCAGGTGGCCGAATCGGATTCCAGCACTTGGATGCCTTGACCTTGATATCTTCTTGTTCATCCATGATGTGAGCAATGGTTGCATCCGTGGTAGCCATGGTCACATCACTTTCCTTCAAGATTGAAGATCTGCAAATTACAAACGGCTGAGAATGACAACAAGCAATCTAGATCAAGTGTCCTTTGGTAAACTAAGCAAGCACTGTTTTATAATTTCTTTATCAAATGATCATGTACAAGATTGATTCCTTTTTCCAGTTAAATGCAACAATCAACTAGCTAGATTGAGAAAGCCATAAGGAATATGTGGCTGAGAGTGAAATGTTGTACTCTCCTGCCTTTTCTACCCCACAAGATTAAAGATCATTCTGGCCAATAAGAGAAATTCCAGAAACAAAAAAGTCAAAATTTTTAGAAACATGGGAATGACAACTCAACTTAATACTTCCTAAAGGGATAGTCATCTTCACAAAATATATAAAATGTACTAATACATTATCAAATGAAGTTATTTGCACATCTTGCAATATTAGGGCCTAAATTCATCATCTAAATTAAAGACCTAAAAGTGCAACAAAAAAGAAGAATAGCAGATTATTGTATCAATCTTTGTTTCATAAATTAATATTTAGCAACTAAAGAGAAAACAAAGTTAAAAATACCTGTGCCCACATCATCAAACACCCAGGTACAATCTCTTGCAGAGAAAATGTATTTGCCTGGACAGCATAATGTCATTGTCAAGTTATGTCCCTCATATAGAAACGAACAGAGGGAAATACACATGTAAATATCCAGACATAAAAAAAATCATATAACAGTATCAGAACCAAGGCCCATATCCATATGCATTTACTATAATATAAAAGCTTTGTAGTAGTTGAAAGGATTTATGCATACCTCTTGCAAACACCTCTACATCATTTGATATATTTAATCTCAGACTTATAGTGCACGTGGAACCTTTGCACATGCGGAATATACCAACCTGTAAATTGAAACAATTCAAATGATAAAGATGGTGGTTAAAAGGGAGAAAAATATCGAACAAGAGAAGAAAGCCTAAAAAATTTATACGTGGTGAAAAGACTTGCTATAACCCAAAACCTACTCTGACCAAATTCAAATCAGCTCCTGCTAAGGTCAGAGTGGGAGACATATCTTGTTGATCATAACAATTCTGGTAGCCACAATTGTGAAAAAGTTCATTACAAATGCCCAGAAGAGTTATGCGCATCATCAGGTCAAAAAGGTGTGTGATAGATGAAGCAAACAACAGGGACAAAACCAAGAAAGTTGGACAAATTCCTAACGATTCATATGGTCAAGATGGCATGGGCGATATGCTAAACGGATCCTTTCTCAAAGAAGGAATGAAGCCTCTTCATCTAGAAGTAAACAAGTATGATTGATCAGATATAAAAAATATAAACATTATTCTGCCACTGTAGAAAAAAATTGTTTGATTTTGTTGATTACATTCAAACCAAGATATATGATGAAAAGAATGAAGTTGGTGATGATTGGAACTGCTGAGTCAAGCAAAAATGTGAACCCATATGCAGACAATATGCAAGACAAGAAGTTGAATGAAGAAGGTATGGTCATAACATAGAAAGGTGATCTTAAGAAGCCTGAGGTAAGCCTGAAGTAAATGCTGGAGCTTTAAATGATGTATACAAGGTTGTGGAATACAAAAGGAAAGAAAAAACAAGTCAATGTTTGGGCAACCTAGGAGGACCTAGAGCCAGGGGGCCTTCCCAGTCAAAGGACAAGATAAAGCTGAAAGACTGATAAGGAGGAGAAATTTGGAACGTACTCCTAAACATTCCTCAAATTCCTTTCAAACTATATCAGATAGAGATACATGCATGAGAAAAGCTAGATGTATGGGTTAGCAGATAAGAGAGAACTCTGGTGAGATTTCATCAAGTTATTGAAGTTTTTTAAAACACTCGAGCTCTGGTGCAGAGAAGTTTATTCCTGTGAGTTCACAAAAATAGTGCTCTAGGAAAATAAATCTAATTTTAAAGTTGCAGAAAGTTAGGAAGAGGATTCAGGGCCTTTTAAATTCTAATACCCCCTAAATTACAGCGTAAAGAGTAAAAATAAAAATAGAAAAATGAAATTGTAAATTGACAGGTTCTTTATGGGATTGTAAGCATGCATGTAAAAAAAGGAACAGCAGATCTCAGTTATAACAGCTCACTCAAACTCAAATCTGAGCTGTATTGGCTCCAACACCCTGATTTTCAAGACTAATTAATAGAACTTGGCACAAACCAATCAGGTTAAGATATTATTGACAAAATACGAATATAAGAGGAAAAAGAAAGAATGCTTTCAAAGATTGGGTTGAGGTTTTAGCTGCAAAAATAAGCACTACTCCCTCTGTCCCAAAATATGGCTACCTTTAGCTATAAATCTGATCAAAAAGAACACATTTGACTTGGCTGTTGAGGAAAGGCGATAACTACACAGAGTATTTTTGTAGGATAGTTAATGGTAGTAGAAAGGAAAACAATACCAAATCTAAAAATGGGGAGAAATTATTACTGGGGCAGAAACTCAGATAGAAATGCTACTGACTAATGACTTCTGTAAGGATTGTTAAGGCTAGCGCAGGCAATTTGATCCCAATATATTTAGCAGGGCAGAGACTATCAAACATTCACAATGTTGAATTGGGTAAGCCTTTTAGTGAAGAAGAAATAAACAAAAAAAAAAACGCTCCAAAGAGTTTTACGACAATAAATTTGATGTTAGTGGCCTAGATTATGGGATAGTTACCCTTCTAGACTTCTTCCAAAAGTTGGTCATGTTGAGCAAATAGCTGAATGCAACAAGGCGGACCCATCTGCTAAATTATTTGTATGAACTTGTAATTGACATTGAGATTAGAGCCTTACATAGTTACATGAAATTGATAAGACAAACCTAAAATGCCTCTATTAACAGGAATAAAACAGATGAGACCATGCCCCAACATGAGACTCTACATGAAACCAAAAGAAGAAAGCAAATGAACATTCCCTGTCTAGTAATCTAGTGTTTGGAAAAATGATGTTTTAGCCCAAATAGGCAGGGGTGGTTGAAACGGCATGTGTAATGCGACACTTAGTGCCAAATAACAAACCAGATAGGCACACATGTCCAGAGTTAGAAAGGTGCAAAGCAGTGCTGATCGTATAGATAAGATGGTACAGGAAATGTAAAATAATGGGTTGATTCCTCATTATTTGATGATGACATAGCAATGTTGCAATATACCAAGGACAATTCTCAGTCTTAAAAATAACTTGGGAAAAATATAGATTCCAGAAAATGGTGATTCTGTTGTATATATGAGTACAGGTTTCAAAATAAATTTAGCTAAAGGTGAGGTGTTATGGGGGGAAGATCTTATGCAAACATGTTCAATTGTTGATTAGGAAACTTTCCAATCATACCTGGAGTGCATCTGTTAGTGCATCTAGAACACATGTGACTAGGATAAAGTAGATGAGAAAAATAATAAAAAGGCTTGATATCTACCAGGGAGATCTGTAAATTGATGACAGGGCCACTTTGATTAATGCCAGTTATCCAACATCCCTACTTTACTGTATGTCCATGTCCTTATTCCTGAACACTGTCTGGCAAAGTGGTGGACAAAGATAGTATCAACAGGTCAAACAGGATAATATTTTGTCACTCAAAAAAAGAAAGGGGGTCTTGGTATTAAAAATCTGAGGCAATGAATGTAAGTGTCCTTAATAAATGTTGGTGGAAACTAGAAAAAGAGGAAGGTAGATGACTCATCTTGTTGCGCTGACCTACTTAAGGTTCATCAAAACATTCATTTGAAAGGCAGGAAAGTCATCATTTGTAAATTGTAATGGTGATAATAGCAGATAATGAGAGGCTAAATAGATTGGTGATAAACCTTGCTCAATAATATCTGCTATTTATGATATCTGTGACAAGGATAAATTAGTGAGTCAGTGCTATACCAATGGCAGCAAAGTTTTAGGAGATGGTTAACAGGTTTCCCAAAAGATAAATGAGATATGTACTGTCACAAGCGCAACATGTTAGTCTGTCTGTTGCTCCTCATGTTACCACAGGATCTTGGGGGAACGAAGGCAGGTTTTTTAGTGAAATTCATATAGATGATGAGAAATTATGGTGATAGTTCTTTTACACACGTATGGAAAGCTAAATACCTGTCAAAGTTCAAACATTTTTGTGGTTGTTACAAAAAGGTATGCTGTTAAACAAAGGTAAAATATTGAAAAGAAATGGCTGGGTGATCCCAAATACTTTAACTGTAATCATCCTGAAACTGTCCAACATTTCTTATTTGAATGTGCTACACCTGTTGTTTGAAGAGAAATTGCTATGTTCATTCATGCTGATGCTATTCCCAGATCAGCTACAAGTTTTTCCTCATGGGTTGAGAAATTCTTACCCAAAGGTTAAGAGAGACATGTCACTGGGCTAGGCAGTTGTGTTGGGCAAAATGGAAGGCAGGAAATAGAGGCTGCTTTGGAAAGACAATTCAATCTCATAATTCTCCATGATTGTATTGCCATAAAGTAGAGCTGCTGAACAGGGTGAGCAAATAAGAACTCCTACAATAATCGGAAGGCATGTTGGCATGTAGTATGATGGGATGTGATACTGCTAGTCAACATGTCTCTGCTAATGTACTTCATGCTCCCAATGATATGCCTACAAGACTGCTAGTCAACATGTTTCTGCTAATGTACTTCATGCTCCTAATGATATGCCTACAAGGGACAGCTACAGGATGCGATATGCCTGGAAGACAGAGAATTGTGGCGAAAAGGATGTGCTTTTGGTGTCCAGGTATCTCTTCTCTCCGGTTTGTTCAGGTATCTCTTCTAGACTAGCCTTTGGTACTGTAGTTAGTAGATTCCGCTTGCCTTACATTCTATCTGGCTTCTGAACTATATTTTCATCTGCTATTGATATAATATTTCATTTCCCATTCATCTATAATGGAAATATGGACATCTTAGATTCAAAAATAGCAACACTAAACACTCATCAAAACAAAAAATAGAAGTCACAAAAGCTCCTGTCTTTTATATGTAGTAAATAAATGCTATCTTATAATTATATTTTTTGCCTCTCTTAGTGGTCTGCCCGCTAAAAATGTCTTGTAACTATGGACCAACATAATGACATTTATAGCAGATATAAAGTAAACTTACTTGTATGTCTACGCTGGAACCAATGCCTCTTCCTTTGTCAAGATGATCCTCGCATATTTGCATAAGTTCAATCTCCAACTGACAGCAGCAACAAGAGTAATAAATGTGTGAGTTAATGAGGAGATCATAAAGTGTAATTTTTCTATCCACTTCACTCACAAAATAATAAATCACCTTTACTGCTATTACTGTTAATAATAAATACCTCCACTGTTGTTGCAATACACTTTCAATTCATGGATTGAATGATATCACCAGCTCTAACTCCTCTATTCTCAGCATTTGATCCATAGGACACCTATAGTGCAATTTGTCATGTACAGCCAACAATATGTGATAAAAGAGGTAAGGATTGTTTAAGAAAGTAAGAAACAACAGTCAATATATACCTCTTTAACTATTAGACCCGAATCAATATTACATTTGCGAGAGATCTTCTCCACATGAATTGGATCTAGAAACTTCATGGCTGAAAGTTTCATCCCAATATGCAAGCGAGGGATATAACTACACATAATTATCATTTATTAGTATGTGTGAAATGCATTTGAGTTTGAAAAGGTAAAGGTTGTTCTATATTATTAGTATGAGTGAGATAGACAAATTAAACTCTTTTTGGGACGAAGGTAGTATTATATAATGCAGCAAAAGAAACTTACCCAAACTTTTTCCACATATCCAAGCAATGAAGTATAACAGATGAAGGAATAAATCCCATTCCTAGAACATTAGTCATCCCCAAAACTTGCCCATTGAAGTTAATAATTGGCCCTCCAATGCCAGACTAAAATATTTAAATTATCGATATCAGAACCAAAAGCAACAAAAGTTAATACTAATTTATAAGATAATCGTAGTGATATTTATACCTGACCAGTCGTGAAACCAGTATACATATAGTAGTGGCGCTCAAACATACTTGGACCCTTAAATTGGACACGCCCATGATTGATAGTCAAATTTAAATCATCATCTCTACCAAGGGCAAATATGTCCTGACCACAAGTCACTTCACTGCTGAAACTAGGAATCTTAGCACATGAGTCTACATCAACCTTAAACAGAGCAATGTTAAAGTGCCTGTCATAATGTAGCAAGGCTGCTGGTACAGTTGTCTCATCTTTATCTAGCAAGTGAGCGTAAACCTAAAAATACAAATGCAAAAGACATGTGTTACATTATTTTAAGAATAAATCACATTATTTAACAAAAGTGTATTATTTCCTTTACTTTCTAATTAAAGTGTTGTGCTCTATGTGTGTGCTAGACATGTATTTATTTGTGTGTGGCAAAAACCTAAGCTCAAAAGACCATTATTACTTTGTATGTCAACTAACAAAGAGACTACAGTTAAGTTTGTATGTGAACTCACCGTAGCATCAGGTGAATACTCATCTGAACCTAACCACTGGTCCATCGATGAGTACTTTGAGCAGATTAGACGTGCAGATGTAAGGACAGTGCACACTTTACTCTCCTCATCCCAATTGATGAAAAAACCAGATGACCGTGCCATTAATGTGCCATCTGTAGATGCAATGATTGGTTAGGAAAAATAAATCATAAAATAAACACGCAATAAAAGCAATGATTAGTTAGCAAAAATAAATAACAGAATATACACAAAATAAAGGCAGTGTATTACATACCAACATAAGATGAAAGGCTAATAACAACTTTAGCTCCTTCTAGAATTGTTTTGGTCGAAGAATCACGAACAGGAAGAAGATTTTGATTTCCCATACACGAGCGAGGAACATGAGGGTCAAGTGTTACAAGCTTCAATTGACGTTCTGCACAGTGAGACAAGTTACAAAAGTGCACGGTGAGACAAGTTCCAAAAATAAAAACACGATAAAACTATGGCCATGTTTAGTTCCCCAAAAACTTTTCCCAAAAACATCACATCGAATCTTTGGACACATATATGAAGCATTAAATATAAATAAAAAGAAAAACTAATTGCACAGTTTGCATGTAAATCGCGAGATGAATCTTTTGAGCCTAATTAGGCCATGATTAGCCATAAAGTGCTACAGTATCCCACATGTGCTTATGACGGATTAATTAGGCTCAAAAGATTCGTCTTGCGGTTTCCAGGCGAGTTATGAAATTAGTTTTTTTTATTCGTCTCGCGGTCTTTTGGTGATAACTGGGACAGAGGGCCAACGCATGGGAGAGCTGACCACAGACGAGGCCTCCGTGGAGGAGGAGGCATGCCATGCACCAAGTGAAGTCGCCGCCGCCGCCTCCACCGGCTCGCTCGTGCCTCTCTCCAGAGGAATTTTCCTCTCGCCTTGTTGCGATGATGCCATAGCTTCCGATTGAGCTACCCCTGCCCGGTTGGTCGGGCTGTGCCGTCGCCGTTGCCGTTGTCGTTGTCGTTGCCGCCGCCGCCGCTACGCCCTTGACCGGGATCCCGACACCTCTCCAACCTTCTCCATGGTCGTCGGTGCCATATCCTGCAGTTGTCAAAGGAGACTAGTAATATGCACATGCTAAACACTACGGTGTAATTCTATTATCTTTAATAACTATTAAATTTTCATGATAGAAAAAATATTTTTCTATGATCTAAACAATTGAGCTTTAACTCAATTCATGTCGTACATAAGATGTATTTCACGCCAAGTACAATAATATGATATTGTGTATCATATTACAATAATGTGTACATCAATAAGGGAATAACCAATTTCCATATCATCAATAAGGTTCACATGTTCAAGGGTATTTCTATGCATTAAAAGAGCTAATTGTTCCTGTCCACTTATTCAAGCAGCAACATGTTTGTTTTAGAACCTTTATGTTCAGAACTTCAAAGACCAAATATCTAAGTGTAAGAAGGATATGATCACATCAACATAAATGGTAGCAAAATTCATTAAAAACCAAATCAATGTGGATGATGTAATTGATGATTACTTAGAAAACCTAAACTGACCCATGGAAACTGATGATATATGCATGACACTAACTATTTTCACCGACATGTACAAATATGGTTTCAGACATAAGAACAAAGGAGTAATATCTCAATTCATTTCCCAAATTGGATACGTCATGCAATCAAATTTGGAAATTCATTTCTCAATTCATCTCCCGAATTGCATTATCCACTCTTTCAGAGTACATAATAAACAACAAAATACGCAGCAATTATTACACATTTTACCTCTACCTCCAACAACATAAATATCATTTCATACGACAGTCGTTGTACAAGCAAATATATATACATAGCTTTCCATTCATCTAAAAAAAGAATATTCCACCACAATTTTCATTCACACAAAGTAGAGAGTTAAGAGAAATAAAGTAGCACTACCAGGCACGAAGGAACACGTTCTACAGTGCAGTCAGTCCCATGGCACTAAATTTCTAAATATATTGTAAATAATACATGTATATTAAGAAAAAAAGTTAAGCTGCAGCAGAATATGGATGACAGTACTAAAGGCCATAGGAGAAGATTTAAGTAACCTTGAATTAAATAACCATGAACAACTGACATGTGCAACAAGCTAATAGGTGTTGTCTGATTTAAGAGTTAGATAACCCATACAGGCAACTTTGTTGCATGGGCAATCGACTTTAATAAGAAGTATAGTGCAGACCAGCACCATTCTTATGGAGAAGCATATCATACACTTATTCGTCAAAGAACCAGTGAAGTACAACTCAATGTACTATGATATTTGTCATTGTTTTTTTTATTTTGTAAAATAAAAAGTGTGCATAGATGCCCTCGCTTATCTTTAGAAACAAAAAGGGTGGATAGTCGCACTTAAAAATGAAAACGTAAAATGATCAAATACATGAATGATGCATCTCGTTGTTTTATTTTGGTTGATTCTTTCAGATGGGAATAAAGAGAGAGAGAGGGGGGGAGGGGGAAGGAGGATGATATTTGTACCTTCCGGTGAATCAGGTTGATGCAGGAGACGTTGTTGAAGAGGCCGGGACCAGTGGGCGTGCGGAGGCTGTTGACGAGGTGGAGTGGAGGCAATTGATGACGCGCAGAGGAGAGGAAGCAGTTGGCTATGCGGAGACTGGGGGCGGCGCGGTGGGACGCGTGGAGACGGCAGGGAGGATGGTGTCAACTATACATCATTGAGCACATAGGCAAACAAGGTTATGAGGTTTCTTCTGCCAGTAACCAGCAAACTGCTGCCCACAGCAGCAATGGTACACACCAGAATAAATCAATGATACAACCTAGCTTCCATAATATTTATTTTGAGAAGGATAAAAGGGTCAGTGTTGCCTACAATATAGTTCAACATAACCATCTCACCTAAATGAGAAACATCCCAAATTTATCATAGGAAAAAAACTGAAAAAAAAAACCATTCACCTTGATCTCACCAATCCAAATGTATTAGTTCACCCCATTCCACAACCTGATCTTCGTGGAAACATTGTATGTACTGAACAAACGACACAGCAATTGGAATTGTGGAAACGGTATAAATCAAGATAGTTTCTGTACAGAAAGATTGTTCGTTTCCCACCAGTTATCCCCAAAAAACCAAGACCTATTAATGGCTCTTGTATAATGGAAACCACAACCCTTCAGATCTCAGTCACAGGCTCACAGCGTTAACATTAGGCATAAACTTACCGGTGGGCGCGCGGAGGAGACCGAGATCAGGGGCGCGGAGAAAACCGACGAGGCGGGCGCAACGGCGGGACGATATTCCGGCGACGGAGTTCGAGGTGGAGATCGGGGGCGGCGAGGGGAAGGGACGTGTCGGCGGCGGGGGTGTGGGAGCGCAGGTCGCGGCGTACTGGCCGCATGCAGCGGGGAGTGGGCCGGGGTGGCGAGCGGAGGGGAGAACCGGCGGCGCTGCGGCGACGGTGATGTGGGACTGTGGGGGGCGATACGATACGGAGGGAGTGTGCGCCGCGGTTGCGGAGGTGGGGGCCGAAGCGGAGGGGGAGGGAGGGGGCAGGGGGGTGTGCGCACAGTAACACCGTTGGATTATAGGATAGATGAATCCGAGCCACTAGATCGGTAGGATGTAAATCAACCATACAGCTCAACAAATGCTTTTATTACACATCTAAGAGCAGGTACAATAAACTAGTTTAGCCGGCGATAAAACTGTCATATCAGATTTGTCCATGAGTTGCACAAGAGAGAGAGGACGAGTGGGCGACTAAATTGTCGCTGGCTACACACACAACCCAACGCAAGTGCAGCAGCACCAGGCTAGCTTTGATTGGGACAAGCGATTGTGGGCCCACGTGAGCTGACTCGATGCAGGATGAAACAACAGCAACAAGATTAAAAAATTGGATGGGGAAGCTAGCTAAAGAGGGCTCTTTGTTTAGGCTCAGGCTTATTGGTCTAGACTTTTAAGTCAGCTTATTGGCTTATATGATTTATAAGCCAGTGGATTTAATGTCCCAAGTTTAGTGGTGGAGTCATACATCTATTTCATATAAGCCAAAAAAAACTTCTCTAACCTAGCTTTTGGCTTAATAGTGTTAGAGTGACTTATGGCTTCAAAAAAGCCAAATGAAAAAGCTGCTTGTTTGTTTTGGCTTGGACTTTTCAACTTATAAGTTGGCTTATAAGCCTAAACAAAGAGGGCCTAAACAAATAGATAATAGTCGATGTGAACATGCTTATTGTATACATTAGCTCTTAGCAATATCTCTAAGAGGCTGATGTGGTCATTTTTGCAGCCCTTAGCGGGCGGCACTATTGACCTTGTTCTAATGGTTCAAAATCATCCAATCCAACACCTAGAGGTGGCCAAACGGGCGGCCCGGCCCGGCACGGCACGGGCACGGGTCCGGCACGGCCCGTTTCGGCACGGCCCGTTAGGCACGGCTCATGAAACGGGCCGTGCCGTCCCGACCCACGTGCCGAGCCGCCGGCCCAAGCACGGCCCGTGGATGGCCGGGCCGTGCCCGTGCCGGCACGGCATGCGTGTGGCCCGCCGTGTCAGTACGGGCCCGTGAATGAAAAATGGGCCGTGGACGGGGCACGGTTGGCCCAGGAACCGAAATGGCGCGGAAGGATGCGATGCGGACTTGCGGAGGTGGCTGGCGGGCTGGGCCATCAGCTAGGAGGGGTGCTCAACGGACTTGCGGAGGCGGCTAGCGGGCTGGGCCGTCAGTTGGGAGGGATGAGATACGGACTTGCGGAAGGATGAGATGCGGACTTACTACAGTAGCCGTGCCGTGCCGTGCCGGCCCGCGGGCTCGGCCGGCGGCCCAAGCACGGCACGGCTACTCGTGCCGTGCCGGCACGGCCCGTTACTGTAGCAGGCCGTGCCGGGCCGTGCCGGCTACAGGTTCCGCCGTGCCTCAGGCCGCCCGTTTTGGCCCGGCCCGTTTGGCCACCTCTACCAACACCTCAGATAATCCCCCACGTCCCCCCTCCTCCCCTCCCGCACCCATCTCCTCACGCCCCGCATCCACCCTCATCCCTCCTCTCTCTCCCGCATCTTCTCCTCGCACTCTCTCGCCCCCTCGCCGCCATGCGGCGGATTTTTCATAGAATCGAGGCGCTCCTCCTCCGCAGTCCGCACCACCATCGCGCCGCGCGCCTCCCCTCCATCGTCGCACCTCCCCAACATCGCCGCGCCGGCGCCCACCATCGTCACTGCCGCCCATCGCTCTCCACTGCGCCCCCTCGCCGCCGTGCGCCCTCCCAACCCTAACCCCTGCCGCTCAGGATCCCCCCTCCCCCGCCTCTCCTCCTCCTCCCCACCGCCGACGACTAGCGCCGACGTTGTCCCCCCCCCCCCCCGCCTTTCCTCCTTCCGCCCACCTGCCACCGACGCCGCCACCCCAGGCAGTGACTCCTCCTCGCCGACGCCGACACTGAATCCCCCGCCGACAACGCCACCGCCGTTGACGCCTACTCCTGTGGCAGTGTGAGTGTGGAGGACTGCTGCTTCCTTGTCTTCATCAGGTGTGTGCACAATTTGTGTTTGTTAAAATGCTTATGTGAAAAAGCTGTGGGTACAAAATGATATGCTAAAGATTATCTTTTCCTGTTATAGGTAGATTAATAATGGTTTCCCTAATTCAACTTTCATATTGCTGAATCTTTTGGTCTACATTGATAGCTGATGCATTGGGGGGGGGGGGGGTGATTATACAAATGATTTCCGTTGGTAATGATTTTTCCCTACATTGCAGACAGAGGAATACCGGACAGTTGTTGTTTTTCTTTCTTTTCTTCTGTTGGGGTGGGTTCATTTAAGAAATACCCAGTTTGTTAGGTTGATCACATGTCCCCATTTTGATCTGCGACGTCACAGACAATTCTCTTGTAATGTATATGTGCATTGTTTGTCAGAAACCTGTTGAATGGGAAACACCATCATAATTATATGATCCAGCATTATTGTCACGCCCAAAAATTTAGCCCAAATTTTCAGACTATTTTGTGCATTAAATCCCTGTACAGGATCAGCTAGGGTACACAAAACGACAAGTAATAAACAGTTCCAAACATAAATAAAGCGTAAAATACTTACAGAAGAGGCACTTAGTCCTCACACCGAAACAAAAGCAGCAACAGTGGAAAAAAGGCGATCCTAGCGGGGCTTCAGCTCCACTCCACAGGCAAAACTCAACTGGGGTCTGAGCCTTGGTCTTCTAACTCCGTCTTCAGCTCAGAAGCACTACACTTCTGAAAAGGGGGAATAATAGCAAGGCTGAGTACAACCACCGTACTCAGCAAGCCACACCAACGATGCAGACGTGCAAGGGGAATACAAGGATGGTTTGAGGCTATTTGCATAAAAGGCGGTTGTAAAACGTTTTATTGAGCAAAACAGTAACACTGTTGAGTAATTAAAGTAGCATTAAATCTCCACTGATCAACGCTACACCACGTTGAACAGGCCCAACCAAAACACCTGAACTACAGTGCATTGAGTCGATTTATTAAGGTGGGACTAATCACGGTGAATCTGGTCGACCGCCCATAACCGCGGGCACGGCTATTCGAATAGTTTTACTCTGATCAGAGGTGTACAACTGCCCACAAGACACAGCCCCACGACATGTTACCGTGCGCTGACATGCCACCACGACATACCGGAAAGAGGCCATGACAGGACCTTTCGCATAACCCCCTCTAACCAAGCACACCACACCTTAGGTTTCAACCCCACTCCTCGCAAGGCAGCGGGCAGTCCCCTCTCGTGCCTAGGTGAATCCGGAAGCTGCATAGGCCGTCGCAGGGCCCATCCAAACTCCATCACGCCTACCCTTGCCTGGATGCGTTAGCTAGAGGAAAGCTACACTACAAGCCCAGCCGTTGCCCACGCTGACTTGGGGTAAGTACGCTGAATTCTTCCAGGGTTTCCCGCGAACCGGTCCTTAACTGCCATGGGTGTGATTAGCAAAGCCATGCACCCACAGCCCACCATACAGTCGCATTTTAGTTGGATAATTACGACCATGAAGCATGGCCAGATGTCTCGAGCACGCAGCTCATTCTGATACTAAAAAGGTCTAATACTGTAATTATCATATCAACTGAGCTAGTTGTAATTAAGCATGGCTAAGCATATAGTTCTAGCTAGGTCACATAAGTAACATGAGCTAGTCGATTTATTACCCAATATTGACAAGGGACAGATATCAAGTAAACATGGCATAAGCAAGCAGATAGGTAATACCCGGATCCCATGTAATTAGCAAGACATGCATGTTTATTTACAAACGGTAAAACGTTTATAAATTAGGATCAAAATGCTCAAGGGGAATGTGTGACTTGCCTTGCTTCTTCACTTCGATCTTCCGAACTCTTTTCCTCACGACCGCGGACTTCCAAAACGACGGATTCTACACGCTGGCACGCAAAATGAGGAAAAACTCTAATAAAAACCAAGGAAACATTACATAAAAAGTAAACTTACATGTAGAACTCAATTTTAGATGAATTTTGCAAGTTGAATGGCGCAATTTGGAGTTCGAATGAATTAGATATGAATTTTAGAAGTTTTGAGCCATTTATATGAATTTCTAGAATTATTATTGATTTATGACGCAATTATTAAATAATTTCTCAAAGGAAAGGCCTGCTGCTGACGTCATCAAAGGGGAACCAGCGCCGACAGGTGGGCCCCAGGCATCAGCGGCTCAAGGGGGCGGCCCACGGTGGACACGGTCCACCGCGACCTCGGGTGCGCCGTGGACCAGGACCACGCCGGTCCACGGACGGCCACAGGGAAGGGCGGGCGCGGCCGAGACCGGCCGGCCGAGCGGCGGCGAACGGCGGCGACGACGGCCTAGCCGGATGGCCACCGGCGGCGGCGGCGCAACGCGGGCGACCGGCGAAGGGGAGATAGAGGGAGAGGGAGGGATGCTCACCGAGCGAACAGGACGACAAGGTGAGGACGGGAAGGCGGCGGCGCTCCTCGGGGAGACAACGGTGACGGCGGTCCGGCGGCGTTCCGCGAGCGGGAACCGGCGGACGGCGGCTGCAAGGACATGGGGAATGCAGTGGTATGGTTAGGAGGATGGGAGAAGGCGTGAAGCAGCGGGAAAAACCGGCCGAAGGCGAAGGAATTAGGGGAGCTCACCGGCGCGCGAAGGGAAGGGGAACTCCGGCGGATTTCCGGTGAAGAGGGGCGGCGGCCGAGGACATCCTCGTCCTTGCGGAGCCGTTTTGGTGGAGAAGAGTGGCGGACAGGCCTGCTCTCGCGGCGGCGCAACTGGCTGCGGTGGTGGCACGGTGCTGGAGCGGCTCAGGCGGCGACGGCGTGCGGCTGGAGGTGGCTGGCGGTGATGTAGCTCGGGTCGGCGGTGGCGGTGGGGTTTCGGCGACGGTTAGGGGAAGAAAGGTGGGGGCCGGGGTGCGGTGTGGAGCGGCGATGCCGGCGGCACAAGCGGCGCGGCGCGGGGACGGCGGGAGCGGCGGCTAGAGGCGGCTGGAGCTCGCCGGCGACAGTGGAGAGAGGTAGCGACGCGGGGAGAGCGGGAAAGGGCACGGGGAGCTCGGGCGAGGAGGGGAAACGGAAGAGGGGAGCACGGGGGTGCTTTATATAGGGCTCGGGGATGGAGATCGTGGCCGGGAGAGGCGGGATCGGGCGGCAACCGGCCGGCGACGTGGGACGCCGACGTGGGCGAAGTGGAGCTCAATTTGGCGCCAAAAATTGGGGAAAAGTAGGGGAAAAGGTGGAGGAGGTGGTGGGGAACCGATTTTACTTGGTTTGGGCGCGAGGGCGTGAGCGGGAGGACCCGGAATCGGCGGCGACGTGGGCGGCAACGGGCGGCATGGCGGCTTCGGGCGGTTGCTGGCCGGGATGGAGGAAGGTTGGGGATGGACCTGACAAGTGGATCCCGCGGTCCCACTTGTCGGCCTGAGGGAGAGAGGGAGCAGGGGGTTATTTAGACTTCAAGGGCGAGCAGGCCGAGGGGGAGAGAGAGAGAGGCCCGAGAGGGGGAGGGGCGCGCGGGCCACGGGGGAGGGGAAGGATTCTTGGGCCGGAAGTGGCCCAAAGTGAAGGAGGGGAGATTTAATTGTTTTTTTTATTAAATTGGTTAAATGAACTTTGTGCTATTAAAATTACTTCTTGAGCTCCGAAAATTTACGGAAAATTCCGGAGAGTATATTAGGGCACAAAAAATATTACAAAATATTCTCGGCCAATGATTTTTAAAGGAAATTTCAAATACTCCCATTATTTCACTTGATTAAATTGATTTAACTTTTATTTAATTTCTAGAAAATGCATTATTTAATAATTTTTAATTCCGAACGAAAATCGGGGCGTTACAATTATGAAGTCTGATGGTCATTTCATAAAAATCTCTTGATATGATTTTATAAGTGAACAGAATAAAATTAGTTTGAATGTACAAGCTAATATGAAATGACCATCATCCCTCTATCTCCCACCCATTTTTTCTTGAATTTTCTTGCGTTAACCATAGCTTCTCTTCTAGATCTGGAATTTTTTTCTTCGCCGCCTCTCCGACGACTACCTGCCACCGCCGCCTCAACCAACATCGCCGATCCGGTCTCCCGTTGCTGTCCCTCGGCCGCTGAAGTCTCCTCGGACTCCATCTCAACCGGCATCACTGCCGCCGCCGCTGTCCCTCCGCTACCAAAATCGTCACGCATCGCCGGTCTCCTCCGACAAACTGCTTCGGCGACCTCCTCCTCGGCCTCCGCCTCAACCGCTGCCGATATGGAGCCACGCCGTCGTTCCTCCGCCGCCGAAAGGTATCTTGAACCAAAACATTCAGACTGAAGCACCTCATGTGTTTTGTGATCTTGAACCAAAACATTCAGCCTGAAGCACCTCATGTGTTTCTTTGAGAATTGGAAAACATAGGCTGGAATGCAATGTTCTGTAGACTGATACTTAGGATGTTTTGTAATAACTTAGGCTCTGTTCGAAAGAGCAGGTTGGGAATGTTTGGCTCTGGCACGAAAAACGGAACGATCCATTAGCGCGTGATTAATTAAGTATTAGCTAATTTTTTTTTTCAAAAATGAAACAATATGATTTTTTTTAAACAACTTTCGTATAAAAACTTTTTTACAAAAAACACATCAAAATAGTAGTTTGAAAAACGTGCGCGCGGAAATCGAGAATGAGAGGTTGGGAACCATCACAAACGAACTGAGCCTTAGAGTAGCTTATGACTATAGATATATATGACAAGTTCATTTTCAATGCAGCTGTTTTTTTTTAATTTCGGCTTATGACTGTTGAAAAACACAAAAATAGATTGCATTGTTTTGTAGACTGATACTTAGGCTGCTTCAACTTCTGATAAAATATTAGACTATATCAATTACTATGAAATTTACACTCACTATATTACAGTTTCTAGATAATCAGAATCAATCAATTGATAATACTGCCGGGCCAACGCCAAGCAGTTCTATGATTTTCTATAATTTATATAGAAATATAGAGTGCAATACATTTTTTTTTACATTCAAACTTTAATTCTACTGTGCATAAAATTGAAACCTATGGTGCTAAAGTTATGCTTTATCAATCAGTACTATTTTCTATATATCTTTGGTTTCTGACAACATATAGCAGCTTTGGTGAGGTCACAATCTGATTGCTCTTATACATGTTTATGCTTTATACTTCTAAGTTGCCAAATAGTGAACAATTTCAGTTTGTCAAGTACTATCACGAATGCTTAAAATTATTTATGCTTAAAATTTCTTCATAACATGTATTTCTTCTACATCTACAGTTTCACAGCTGCTCTAACCAAACCGGCTTCTACTTTTCCCACAGCTGTGGAACCAATCAATCTTATGCAGATTCATGTTTCTTTTTGTTCAGTTATTGCTAGAATGGTTTTTGTCATTTTGCAAAGTGAAAATATTAATAAGAAATCAAGAACATCGGATAAAATGCAGAGGAATAAGAAATCAAGAACATCGGATAAAACGCAGAGGAAGTTGCAAGGGAAATTCAACGACTAACCACACATGCTGACATCCAGCCTCACATACACGTGCACAACTTCATAACGAAGTCCATTATTGGACTTGGCAAATATAACCGTATCTTCATTTTCAAACAGGAAAAGGAATCTTTGAGCTTAAGGAAAATATCTTAGATACAAAATTCTCATCTTTAAGATATAACCGTATCCGATCATTTTCAAACAGGACCAGGAATCTTTGAGCTTAAGGAAAATATCTTAGGTACAAAATTCTCATCTTTACCAGGAACAGACAGGTAAAGTAGGTTCTACCAAAAATTCATAGATCATCGCAAACGTAGAGCAAGTTGCAACTATCTCAAAAAAGTCGCAGCATGTTCACCCATACACACAGCATCCAGAAAGAGGTAAAGGGGGCGGAGCAATGTTGAATCAGGGCCAGCAAATCATACAAGGAATCCTACAAATACAAACAATCGAAATTAGAAACTTATATAATAGGCATTAATTTAAATTAGGAAACATATGTGAACATTAGAAGGTAGGTCGTTCTTGTGCCTTACCCCATTCGGAAGAGAAATGAAGAATGAAAAACTGCCATTGCCACCATGCAAGAGGCCCGTAACTTGAACCTGACCATTCAGCAAAGGCCCCCCGGAGCTTCCTTGTTCTGATCGAATTTGAACCTCAGACAGCATCGTTGTAAAACCCAAAGGATTCACTGGGCTTAACTCATCAAACTGTCGACCCGGGTGTGAGATCTCTCCAGTGACTGCAGTCCGATTCCTCGTAGGATGTGGCCAAGAGACCATGACAACCTTACTGAGAGGTTTGGGAAACTGAGAAGCAATAGGTAATGGGGGGTGAGGCATCCCACAGCGCAACATAAAGTGGACTCTTGTGCTCTGAATAAGAAGTAAATCGCTAGCACAGTCAATGGCAAGCACTGTTCCTATTACATACTCCCTCGCAATCTGATTGTTATGCTGGAGCTCATTCAGGTACGCTTGCTACATATGGTCACAGATAATATGAGGTTGATACAGAATATTAATATCGTCTACATCTATTGGCTGCTCGGCATTGAACACTGGGCCTAGTGCATGTGCACATGTCAACACATGAATATGCAAGGGATCCTGTAGTAATGGTTCTATCACGAAACCAGGGCAATGCACGGGGACTAGGCAGTCCGCCACCCTCTGAGCAAGCTGATCATCCGCTTCTGGATCATCAGGAATAGGAAACAAATGATTCTGCCAGTCTAAAAGAAGATTAGGTTCTGGTCGGAGCTCCACACAAACGATAGAGCTGACACAGTTGCGGTATACCCATCTCTCTAATGCATTGGAGAAATTGTCTGGTGGTGCCATCTATTGAAATAGTATACAGATAATTAAACCTTAATCAGACAAACCAGAGAACTATGAACATAAGCAATTCAGCCATGTGGCGCATTGAAATTTACAGTTACAAGTCTGACTAGGTAGAAGCAATTCCAGCACAGCATATTGGAGAGCATGTGACCAATGAAAATTTACAGTTGGCAATTTATCATTTATCATTAACTAAAGACATCATTAAAAGGAATAAAGACTGTGATTAGAAGGAAATGTCAGAAAGATTCCACATGCTATTTTTGTGACTAAGCTGAATCAGGTCCACATCTTTTTTTTTTATTGATCTGTTACAAAAAGACTGGGCGCACATAGTGGGTGGTTATTCTGTGCCAACTGACAGACCCACTAATGTATTCACAGTATTGGAAAGAAGTGTCTACCCGATGGGAGTGCAATTTATACTCAAGGGTAGCTGCAACAACATGGGCACTTGTAGACAACCATGCATATGTTTTTCTTTGTTATTGGACAGGTCCATACGAAGAACAATTTCATCAATCAATTACGGGTGGAGGTAAATACCCTGTTGCGCTGCAAGGTGACTGCAAGGCAACTTCCAACCCGAAACATGGAGAGTCAGGAGACCAAGACGATTGACAAAGCTTATGAGATATTGCAGGCTAAAATAATATGTTCCATTTATGTATTGGTCCTAGTTCCTAGCTAGGTTTGATTCCGTAGGAAATCCTACGTCTAAGAATTGAATTGTATGGTCTCCCACTCTTCAATCTAATCTAAACACGGAAGGGCAAGATTCGCGTGAGCAGTATATTACCAGCCAAATCTCGATCTGCGTGGAGAGGAGGCGGCAGCGACCTGCACAAGAGCCGGAGGACGAAAGGGCACCAACGAGACGGAGCCGGCGGTGGAAGGGCGTGGAGGCGGTGCCGGCGCAGCTCCTTGGCTCGACTTCGCAGAGGCGGCTGAGGCTCCGAGGGTTCTCGTGTGACGGCGCCTACGGGCTAGGGCTCTGGTGGTTGGTGGTTTATTTATGCTAGACAGCAAGAGGACGAGACGATGGGTAGTCTGATGTGCACCGGGAATTTGCCCTCCAGGCCTCTCATCCAACTCAGGCCAGGCTGCACACTGTGGGACGGGCCGGCATCCCGGCGGCCGAAAACCAACTCTCGCATCGCGTAAAATGAAATGAATGGTTGGGTGTATGATAATTCAGCGTCACAAAAGAAGGTTTATCAGCACCTCAGCGTGTCACAAAACACAATATGACAAGTGAGCACCATGGCAAAGAGAAGTGATGCACGCGTGGAGAATTTTTCCCCGTTTGGGAACCCAACTACATGGAGTATGCACATCGAAGGCTCCATACTAAATGAGAAAAAAATGATGGAATTATGTTTGGCATGAGACCTGGAGTATCGAAAACATGATGTAAGAGATGTGATATTAAATTAGCACATTTGATTAGTAATATATGTATTGGTGGCGCTGCCATGTGTGAGCTGACTCCATAGCCTTTTCGCATTCATCCTTAGACTCTTAAATTTTCATATAAATCCATCCAAATCTACATAAATAACCATGAAAAATTTTCTAGCTCCACCACCACTAGGACTGCCCTAAATACTCAGGGCAATTGAGTGTTGGCACAAATACCTTCCTTTGGTTTCAGGAAATCATTCTACATTACGTATCGTGCCATTTTCGAAAAGGAAATGTGCTCTTGTACCCTTTATATAGTTGAGTCGCATTTGCTTATTTGTGGCCACGGCCCGAGTACATGACAATCAGGTCCAGGGACCACATGTCATGCGCATATACGTGGCGAAAGAATAAATGCCATTCACTTGTTGCAAAATTGATCCTCCTAAAGGAAACTACACAAGCTGTCGCATCATACGATCAGCAGTGCTAGGGGATTTTACCTCGAAAAGGAGTTATGTAGCATACTACTAGTAGGGTGTTCGACTGAAAAAAAAAACTGTAGGTCCTCCTTGAGTTGCAAAATCGATTATTCTAATACGTGGCAAAGCCATTTTTTCTAATAATATTCTGCCCCTGGTGGCCTGGTGTGAAGTTGTTTTTAGTTGCATCATTTTAGAGCATCACGCACAAGTGGATGATTGAGACCGATGTGTGCTGTTGGTCCAGCCTTTGGTTGAGACAAGTCGTCCTTGCTTGTCGCCACCCTCGTGCTTCTATTGCCTATTGCCAAGTCGTGCTAGTGTGACATCTCTGTTTCAGGTCATAAGACGTTTTTATTTTGGTTAAAGTCAAACAGTTTTAAGTTTGACTAAGTTTATAAACAAATATAGTAATATTTATAATACTAAATTAGTTTCATCAAATCAATAAGTGAGTAAAAAACTTTAAAATCCTAAGTTGAAAGTTTTCAAATATGAGTAAAAAAACTTTAAAATCTTAAGTTGACAGTTTTCAAAATTTAAGTCAAAAGTTTTTGAAATTTGAGTCGAAAGTTTTTATAATTTAATTAATTTTATTTTTACTTTTCAATTTAAATAAAGTTGTAAATATTTCAATAGAATGTTGTCATTTTTTTTAAAAAAAAGGAGTTGACACTCTTTTTGAAAAAAAAAGAAAGAAAAATTACATTTTTTAAGGAAAATGATCAACGTACAACGTACACATCCCGTACGGTAAGGACGTCGTCTCCACCCCAGTCTCCGCGTTTCCACGTGCGCGCGAGATATGTTTCTAGCGCACATGCACTACTTAGTAATCTCGCTACTTTGGAGCTGAAGCACGGCTGCAAGGCACATGGAGGGGAGATGAAAGGAAATGCCACAAGTAAAGAGATTTGCACTCGGATGTAGATCCTCTACAATACTGTTGAATATCAATGTCTGCTACTGTACCAGCAACACTGTAGGCAATCCCCACTATTTCGTTTCATTTATACTTATGCTTATAAGCTAAAATTTAATTTTAAATATGTTTTTGTGTTTTTTCATCGTGGATTATTTTATAGCTAAAATTTAATTTTGAAGTTGATTTTTTGGTTTTTCATCGTTGTTTATTTTATAGCATTTACTAGACAAGTATATGGGTCCAAGCGAAACAATGATCCAAGTCTCGTTGAATATGGGTCCAAGCATGCATGTCACAGAGAGAGCTAGTGGGCATTTCAAAGATTCAGAAAATGTTTCCCGTAGCACACCCAGGGGCGTGCCTAGGTTATACTATCCGGTGTCACAAGATACCGGGTAGATTATTCAAATCCTATATAAATTACACTATATTAATTAATATATTAGTCAATAATTAGATAATTAGTATGTATTGGACCCCCGGTAACTTTTGTTCTGGGTTCGCCACTGAGCACACCGATAACCACTCAGACTGGGCACCCTCACACCCCCCCACTCTCAGCTTTACTCTATCTCCTTCCTTGCTACCTCCAGATCTCACCATTCCTTTCTTGCTCCCTCCTCAAACATAGGAATGCAACAACATCTCATCATGATGATCCTCCTTGATACACCGTTGCTCACTACCGGAGTGCGGAAGCTCAAGATAGGCATAGGCAGAACGGGAGAGGGGGGGAGGGCTCAGGGTATAGTATGTGACAGCGACCTAGGCGAAGGGAGGAACCAAGGGGAAGCAACTGACGATGGTGGCCTAGGGGACAGGGAGCTCAGTGCCATAATGGCATAGATCCGAGCTAGGAAAAAGGGGGTGTGGGGTGATGTAAGGGGCCATGCTCTATGAGGCCTTGTTCGGTTAACCCCCATAAGAAAGGGATTGGAGGGGATTTATTCCACACCTATTGTGGTGTGAAATTATTCCCCCTCAATCCCCTCTAAACGGAACAAAGCCTGAAGGAGAATTGGTGATGATGGCATAGCCGCGGGCGGTGTTTGAGGAAGAGGTTAGTGGAGGTGGTAATTTTCAGTTAAATCAAATGTTGCACAACATATTTTCTGGATGTATTCAACAAATACTTTTTGTAATGTTTCAATAGTTAGAGCTATATGTTTCACGTCTGATATAAAAATGCTTCAATTAGAATTTGGCTGTGTTTCAAGTCCCTTGATATAAAAAAAAGTTGTACTCTGAGTCAACAATAATGTTTCATTAAGTCGTTTTTTTCGCTTTGCACAGTTCAGTGTTTCATGGGAGGTCAACTGTCTTATCCCAAAGATCATGTCTTTGAGAGTGGCATTTTCTGAACTTATGCTTCCCTCTGAAGGGCAGGCAGGCAAGGTTCGTCATTGGGTTTGGGAGTTCTAGCCTTTGTAATTGAAAAAAAAATAGAATAAATATATAGAAAAAGGCCGTAGAACGTACCTTCCTAGGCCGAAGACCATCTGAATCCTTTGCAAAGTGATAACTGACATGTCCCTTTTCTTATATATCCAGCAAAACGTGTGTATAGGAGTATGGCGAAACATAGTCCCGATAGTTTCTTCAACAAACATGGGAACGGCAACTACATGAAGAATCAAAAAGCACACGGTTAATTGACAACAGGTCTAACTAATGTAGCCTTTTCTGAAAATCTTAAGGAGTACATACATACAGAAGAAAAACTAAAGGAAACTTAACTGATTCTGCAGAAAGTCCAGCATGGATATAGTTGAGCGAATAAAACTGTAGCAGTTAGCACCAAAATTAGCACAAGCATTAGAGCAGTAAAAAATGAGAGTAATTTGTGGTGCTTAGCTGGAGCCCAAGTCCTCCATAAGCTTCTATATGTAGGTCGCTTAATCTGGACAGCTAGAGCTGGTCTTGTGCGTCGCGCCTTTTAGTTGGTGTATGGATGGGTGGTTGTGATTTATGGGGAGGACAGTTTATATTCTCTCTTTTGTATTTGTTTTCTTTATCTTTCTTCTTAATTAAATGAGGAACAATTCTCTAATGTGTTTTCGAGGAAAAAAAAGTAGGTTTCTAACCTTGAGTAGTTGTTCATGTATACATCCGGTTGAGCTAGAGAACCTTGCTTGCCCAAGACTCTTTCTGAGATTGAGAGAACGAATTCTTTTTTTAATTTTTGCCACTTCAGAGATCCAAAGTTTATTGCTTCCTCGGTTTGAAAAATGCACTTCAGTGATCCAATTAGTGTTGTGCGAGCGTTCGGTGTCTCTCGAGTCTGCGCAGTAAGATTTCTCCAGCGTTGGGAATCTGCAAAAACAAATTTGGTAAAGAAAATTTCTACTAACAGCTAGGAGTAAGAAATTAAATGAAGAGGACAAAGATTGCTGAACCCCTGTCCCATCCCCCACCACGCATGCTGCCCACCTCTAACGAAGAGATTTGCCTTTTCAAGCTCACACCACCCACCACCACGGCACTGCTGATGCCTTTTGAATTACTAGCTCACAGTGGTGGTCGAGGTCATCAATGGCAGCAAGGCACATGTGGAGCAAATTGGGAACACGACTGCGCATGCAGTACACCGGCGGCGGCACTCTACTGCATGCACGTACCGGCATGGTCATGGACTCATGGAGATGCTAAAATTTAATGGAAACATGCTAAGGGTGATAATAAGATTCAGATCTAGAGTATTGAACAACTAGTTAGGGCTACTGTGGAATGGGGAGTCCGGATCCGGATCTCGCGGCCATGAACGCCACCGGAACTGGATATCTGATTCTCTTCTCCCTCGTCGTTGTACACAAAAATCCATTCCGTTGATAGGGATCAGCTCCGAGATATGCAAACAAACTTGATAACCTACCTTGAGAGAGGGAAAGCTTCAGCACAGATCTCCATCGCCATTATTGTCCAAAGAAATACTAATTAGCTCGATATGTTGACGTTGAGACGGAACATCCATACCCGACCACAAAGCATATCGGCGCCGCCGAGGACGCCGCACGCCCGCACGCGCATCACGGTCGGGATCCGGCCTCTTCATCGATAGATCTCGGCGAACATGTCGCGAATCGATCGAGACGCCACCGTGGCCTCCTCATCGATCGATAGATCGATCGAGATGCCACCGTGCCTGCCGGTTGCACCTCCACCGCTCCACGTACGTTCATCCCATCTTCGATCCGCGTGATGTGTATATGTGCATGGGCAGACAAAACTCCGGCCGGCGAAGGAACTCGGCCATGGAGATCGAGGAGGAAGACGTGCACAAGTTGGAGGATGCGTCGAGAGAGAGAGAGGAGAAGGAAAGTGCCTTGCGTTTGGGGAGGAGGAATCGAAGATGTAATAGCCGGCCATAAATATGATATATATGGAGCCGGCCTCACAATAAAGAAGATGAGAAGTGGGCCGATCTGGCGGCGCGGAAGACGTCGTCACAAATCTACCGGCTCTACGCCTCTACCGGCGACGTTTCCGCGCGGTCCTTCAACCAAAAAAACCAGATGCAACAGGTCCCTCAACTATTAAAACTGATGTAGATAAGATCTCTCGACGGTTTAGATGGTGGTTTTGGCTGACGTGGCGCCTACGTCGCAAATTCGACTTGGTCTTCATCTGACGTGGCGCTTACGTGGCAATTTGATCCGAAAAAATAATAAACCATGTGGGACCCACATGTCTGTTTCACATACAAAATAATAAAAATGGTGGGACCCACGTGGGCCCCACATGTCATCCTCCTACCCCTCATCTTCTTCCCGTTATCCTCTCTCTCTTCTTGACGATGTGCACTAGGGCAGCGGGCGAAGTGGGGCGACGGCGGCCGGAGCGGCGGCGCGCGAAGACCACCTCCAACTGCGACGAGCTCGAAGACCACCTCTACGTTGCCGCCGCCGCCGCGGCAGCCAGCACACCCACTGCCTCATCCACTCCGACCACGACCCCGCCGTCCTCCAACTCCAACCTCCTCCTCCACCCGCTGCCCGGCGCCGCGCCCTCCAAGTCCAACCGCATCAGCCTCCCTACCAATCCCAATCGCAACCCCAAACCCTAGCCTTCCCTCTCCTCCATGCCTCCCGTGATGGAGGTCGAGATCAAGCTCCGTCTCCCCGACGCCGCTGCGCACCGTCGCCTCTCCTCATTCCTCGTGCCCCGCCTCCACCGCGCACCGCCGCCTCTCCTCCTTCCTCGCGCCCCGCCTCCGCCGCACCACCGCCGCGCCCCCCCTCTGCGCCGCCACCGCCGTGCTCCGCGTCCGTCTCTACGGCCTCGAAGACCGGGCCGTCGTCGCGCTCAAGCGCCGCCCGCGCATCGACGCCGGCGTCAGCCGCGTCGAGGAGGTCGAGGAGCCTCTCGAGCCCGCCATCGCCCTCGAGGATGAGGAGGCGTTGGTGGCGAGTGGGGGAGGCAGTGGTTGACGCGCGTGACGAGGTAGGTGGTGAATCGGTGGGGGCGCGGGGCGCCGTGACAGAGCATGTGGACGCGGAGCGCGTCGCGGATTTCTCCCGCTCCCCTTGGCCTCCGCCCGTGGCTCCTATACTTCCGCCGGCCGAGCACACGCGCCGCTCCTCTCCTTCCTCCGGCCGGTGCCCACGCCCGCGCCTGCGCACCGCTCCTCTCCTCCCTCCGGCTGACGCTCGTGTGCTGCTTATTTCCCAGCGGCCGCCGGCGATAGGCTCGAGGGGGCGGAAGCGGAGGAGGTCACGCCTCTCCAGGCCGTCGTTATCTCCGCCGGCTGGCGAGACTGCGAGAGGAGGGAGGAGAGGGGAGAGAGATGGAGAGAGGAGGAAGAAGAGGAAGGCTGTGAGTATGACATGTGGGCCCCACATGGGTCCCACCTTTTTTTAATGTGAAACTGACATGTGGGTCCCACGGGTTTTATTATTTTTTCCGATCGAATTGTCACGTAAGCGCCACGTCAATGCCACGTCAGACGAAGACCGAGTCCAATTGGCCACGTAGACGCCACGTCTGCCAAAACCACCCTTAAAACCGCTAAGGGACCTAATCTGCGCCGGTTTTGATAGTTGAGGGACTCGTTGTGTCTGGTTTTCCGTTTGAGGGATGAAAATCAGATTCATTGACAAGTTGAGGGACCTCTGATGGACTTTATTCCTTTCCGCGCAGCGAGCGGTAAATCGTTAATTAACTTGAGTGCTGGGCCGACGGAAGTCAAAATAGTTTCTTTAGGCCGTGGTGCTGTGGTGGGTTAAATGTGGCCGAGCGGACGCTTTCGGCACCGAGTACGAGTGCACGCCTCACGAAACAACGGAACGGAGGGACTCTACGATTGGTCACTCGATTTAAAATGGAGTCGGTTCACATTAGATCCCTTAATTTGTCACCGAGTCAGAAATTCATTGCTAAACCAAATTATCAGATATAACCGATCTCTCAATTTATAAAACTGGATCACCTGAGATCTAGGTAGTATTGTGTAAGGTTTTAACTGACGTGACAAGCTGACTTAGCATGGGACCCACGTGGGCCCCACATGTCAGTGGGTAGCACTTTCATTCTCCTCTCTCTCTCCCCTTCTCCCTCTTCCCAATCGTTCTGGACGTCGGCTGCCCGCCAACCAACGTTTTCGTCGTCGTCTCCTTAGCTCCTGCTGGTACATACGCATCAAGACAACTAGATGAAACTCCGCGCATTGTTGCGGGAGCTTAGTATGATAACAATAAGTAAAAACAATGTGTAACATAGGTACATAACATAAGATTACGTAAGTTAACGTGGTTTATGATAATTTAATTTTAATAGTATATAGAATGATGATTAAATGTAAAAGTAAGGTGATATGATTTTATGAAAGAAGAAAAATATTGAGATAGTTTGGGCCTATTTGAAAGTAGAAAGACTTATTTGGAAATCATGGATATACACGGTGATGTAATAACTTTGTAAATTCTATTTCTCTCCCTATTTGTAAATATTTTATATATATATATATATATATATATATATATATATATATATATATATATATATATATATATATATATATATATATGCGCGCGCACATGGTGGCGCTACGAAGGAAGTAGCGCGCCTCTCAGCGCTCGCCTTCCTGGCTTTTAGTTTTTTCTGGGTCCAACTTCGGATTTCTCGCCTTTCTCATGTGCCGCATCCTCATGGACCGCTTTTACTACTACCACCGCCTGCAAAGGCTTTTCCCATCCCATTTGTCCCGAGTTAAAAAGTTACTCGTCTGGTGATGTGAACGCTTAATGAGTAAAAAAATTGTACGGCAAGTAAAAAAATCACTGGATCATCTCTCCTCTAATTTGCCTGTACACCACTCCTAGTGAAGGCTGAGTAAAATAATTACTGCCTCATCTTATAAGTTATAAGGTGCTACGTATTAAATAACACCTGATACAGCCTCTAACCCACTCACCTTGCTCCCCACCAGGTACATAGCATGCAGTTAAAATTTAACTTATAACATGAGGCAGTAATTATTTATAGGAGTTGGATAATCTGCACCTGGGTTCATATGCACCCACGATCTGCACCCTACACGTGTGCACACGAATCTTAAAGCATGGTACATTTACCCCTAGTGAAGTGTATCTGCTCTATCAAAAGTAGCTCTTTCACCTAATAGGAGCTGGTGGGATTGGACGGTGGGTACACAATGGTACTGTAGTTTTACCCGAAATGCCCTTCTAGTACTACTCGGGCTGTGCCCTCGCTCGTGGACGATGGACCGGCGGCGAGCTTGTCCGGTGAGGGGCGGCAAGCTTCCGCCTGACCACTCGAGCTTGACTCCACCACAAGGACTGGCTCGAGACTCCTTGGTCCACCCCGCGCCGGATCTTGAAGCTATGGCGCGCGTCGGCGTCGAGAAGGAGTGAGAGGAGTGGGAGTAGGAAGGTGAGCAGCGACATGGTGCGTGGGTCAGCGCGGGAAGGGTCCACGGCCACCAAATCCGGCAGCCCTCCGCCTCCTAGGCGATAGATCGGACGGCCCTGTTCCTCCTAGCGCTGGATAATTCGTGTGGATGTCCATGGCGATGTGATGTCGCCAGCGCAGCGTAGCTGCTAGTCTCGATCCATGTCTCAGCGAGGTAGGGAGGAGGCACTGGGTTGACGAGGACCGAGGACAGCGCAGCCCGGCGGTGGCTGCTTCCGCTGCCCCCAAGTAGTGAGTTTTCTTTGGATTTTTGGGAATCGGGTGTTCTTGGTCGATTTGGTTTTTTCCTTAATTTTATTTCCATTATTTGATTTGTTTTTTTATGATGTGTGCGAAGAGCGCTGAAGCTGATGATCTGGGCATCCGGCAGATAAAGCTGTTGCGGAACCAGCGGTGCGCACATAATTTCGGAATCGCATCCCCCATGAGAGTAGGCCGACATGGAGGATTTCTGCAGCTACCTCATCCTTCGCCACTGCATGTTCCTCCCGATCTCTCTCTCCCCTCTCTCTGGCGAGGAAACAGTCATGGAAGGTCCTGCCTTGATGTGAAAAATTATTTGGTTGATCTTGAGAAAAAAAAATCCCAGTTCATGTGCATGCTCTTTGTATTTCGCTTGCTGCATTTTTTTTAGTGAATTGAACTTTGAGCCACCTTTGATTACCATTGTTACAATTTGGACTAGGCTAAAGCTAAATTTTTCAATTTGGGCAAAGTATCTTTACATGATGTTTCAATTTGGACTCCCTTCTTCTTCCTCCAACTCTCTTCCCCCAATCTCCCCTTCAATCTGTAAAATCTTCCAAAGAATTCAAAGGGTAGTTTGCATTTTCAATCTCGACTACCTAGTGCTTGTGGCTTAATTTCAAGGACAGCGGAAGGTGCACAACAAGTATTCCTACTGGTAGCAACTAGCATACGAAGAAGCTGGCCGGCAATGGCAGACAGTTGCTGCTACTTTCTGAACTGACGATAAGAACTAAGTCAAGTAGCAGATAGCCACGCTCTCAAGCTCATGCTCGACCTCAGCTAGTGCTACATGTTATGCTGCACGCCTGCGCTAAATTTCCACATGTGTCGCTCGAGCTTCAACAAGTTTTGCAGCGCTCAAGCTCCGCCTTCGTAGTGCCGCCTGCATTTGAGCTCGAAATCAACTTCGGCGGGTGGCTACCCTGTGAAAGGTTTTGCTTCTTGCCTTTTCATGCACTGCACCTGATCGAGAAAGAGACCTTGAGCTGTACGGAGAAAAGAGAGGAAGAAAGGGAGTTGGAGGAAGAAGAAGAGAGTCTAAATTGAAACATTGTGTAAACATACCCGGTTCAAAGTGAAAAGTTTACTTTTTCACTGGTCTAAGTTACAGTACAGGTAAGAAAAAATAGCCCAAGATGCAATTTACTGTTTTTTTTCTTTCCAGTTCCAGTTCTCGAAGGCTAGCTGTTGGCCTGTTGCTGGGTGCTACTGCTACCTTCTTCTCATGTTTCTCGAGAAGGTTATTGCCTTCCTTATGTTCCGTTCTATAATATATCTTCCGGTTATTTTGATTTCACACGAGTTCTTGTAATCTTTTGCCATGGATCAATTAGTACTTTTACTGAAATCCTTATTATCTAGTTTTGCCCTTTAAATTTGGGTTGCCATCCACCCATCTGTTCTCATCATGCCTGTAAAAACAAAGTCAAAATATATAATAGATTGATACTTCATTTTGTAAATATCATTTTTGGTGAATAGAGATATATCATTTCAACAAAAAAAAAATTCAGCGTGTGTATATATAATAGATCGATATTTTATTTTGTAAATGTCATTTTAATTTGGTGAATGAGAAGAGCCTGCGCCAAGAGTGGTTTTAATAAGTAAGACGCTTCCTCACACAGCAAAAGGCCAAATCCGGGATTCTTGCTCTCGGTCCCTGTGTAGCAATAGTACGGGTTACTCCATGCTCTACATTTAACCCTCCCTGCCAGAATACTATACTTATAAAACTAATTACATAAATAAAAACTAATTTGCGAGACATATTTTTAAGCCTAATTAATCCATAATTAGATAATGTTTACTGTAGCATCACATAGGCTAATCATGGATTAATTAGGCTCAATAGTCGTTCACTAACAATCATTAAATTTAAACATCATGCAAACATGCTATATTAACTATAATTTTATAATTTATTAAATTTTAGATCTTTTAAAATGCAAGCATGTTAAATTATTATCCCACATAATTCACATAATATTTTTATATATATCTTGATTGTTTTTTTATATTATACTATGTACATATATAGTTCATCATCACTTAGTTCTCTCTTCTCTCATTAAGTCATATCACATCAATTGTTTTTAGTGCTTAAATAAAATCTATGGTCCAAATTATCTCTCTTTTTCTTCTCTTATTAATCCATATCATCTCGATAATTTTTAGCCTTTAGATGATTAATCTATATATATATATATATATATATATATAACATAGATTTGAGCTCGGGTACATAAGTACCCACCATCCTTACCGTCTGACTGCTTGGAGATTCGTGACAGAGGGGTCACAAGAAGGGTGGTGCCGGGCTGGTTGACCCTGTTTAGATGGGACTGAAACTTACTTTTAAGTCTCTATCACATCGGATGTTCTAATTATAAATATTAAACGTAGACTATTAATAAAACCCATACATAATCTTGGACTAATTCATGAGACGAATCTAATTTGGACCATAGATTTTATTTAAGCACTAAAAACAATTGATGTGATATGACTTAATGAGAGAAGAGAGAACTAAGTGATGATGAACTATATATGTACATAGTATAATATAAAAAAACAATCAAGATATATATAAAAATATTATGTGAATTATGTGGGATAATAATTTAACATGCTTGCATTTTAAAAGATCTAAAATTTAATAAATTATAAAATTATAGTTAATATAGCATGTTTGCATGATGTTTAAATTTAATGATTGTTAGTGAACGATGATGTGTCATCTTTACATGTTAAGCTTTAGTAATTAATGGATTATAACTTTGTAGGAAGAGAGGATAAGAACACCACTAAGATCAGATCAATCTAATCACGAGCAGAGAGAGTCAACGGAGAGGATGAAATGAATCGCTTGCCCGTTAATAGAAGAATCACCCGTTGCAAGAACACGGCTAGGAGGAAGAAGATGAGGAGCAGGAGCCATGGTTTCGTGATCATTGAATTTGGAGAAAACTCCCTATGTATCCATAAAAGTTCACCTAATCCATTCTTTGCTCATTTACTTACATGGATCCTTTTTATGCCATTTTTCCTAGTTGATCATTAAATTCTTATGAAAATATCTATTTTATCCTTTACTATTAAGAAACATAATAAACTAATGGAGTAGATTGTTGGAGTGTAGAAATTTATTTGATGAAACTATTATATTTATGAGTTTGTTATGCACAATATTATTTATGACAAATTTACTTTTAGATATCATATAAAAAATTAATACTCCCTCCGTTTCACAATGTAAGTTTTATGACTTACATTGTGAAACGGAGTAGTACTTATTTATTAGTTATTAAAACTTTTTTTTATGTAGCATATGTGTTTTGACAGTAATACAACAAATTTGTCGTATAAGAAAAATATACTAATGTGCTACATAGAAAACTTTTAATAACTAATAAGTAAGTACTATTTTTTATGTTATATCTAAAAGTATATTTATCGCAAATAATATGGTGCATAACTAACTCATAAATATAATAGTCCCATCTAACAAATTTCTACTCTATTATTTTATATGTTTTTTCATAGCAGAGGGTAAAATGGGTTTTTTTCATTAAAAATTTAACGGTTAACTAATAGTCAACTAGCGGAAAAAGGCATGGAAGAGATCCAAACTAAAATTCATGGGTATATAAGAAAATAAGTAAAATTCAAGGACGTATAAGGGATTAGGTGAATTTTTAAGGGTACACAGGAATTTTCTCTTGAATTTGTCTCGGTTTCGCAGGTTGGCCGTAGCTACGTATTTAAATGCGACTTGAAAGCTGACTACGTTTTTTTTGAACCCTTTTAGGTTTAGCAATGCATTATTCGATTCTATGAACGTATCCAAGAAAAAACCTTGATTTCTTGGAAAGAACACATAGATTGCAGATTGAAGATGCGGGAAAATCTCACCGGAAATCCCGAATCGGGCGGATTCTCTATGATTCCTTTGGATTCTGCGTTCGCAAAAAATTCCTTTGGATTCATTTCATTCTATGTACACAACAAGATCAATCGATTTAAATTCAAGATTTGAAATTGGGTGCGGTGCGGTTCGGGTCAGGATTCATTCAGAGGGGAAGCAGAGCGACAGCGGCGCAGGAGGCTGCCCGACACCGGGCGCCGCGCTGCGCTTGCCCGGGTGGTGCTCTGATGGGTCCGGCCTGCCGTGGCTGCTGCCATGTCCGCCGCCGTGGCCGTGGCCGGCTCCGGCATGGCCGCTGCCGTGACCACCACCTCCTCCTTCCCTAACGGTGACCGACCACAGAGCCACAGCTGCTGCGTGCGTCGTCATCTGGCCGACGAGATCGACGCGACGATGAACACGGAGGATGGCGCCGGGAAATGTTATCCACTGACATGTGAGCCCAGCTTGTCAATCAGTTAAAATTGGTGATAATACTACCTAGGATCTCGGTTGATCCGGTTTTGTAAATTGAAAGACCTGCTATACCTGTCATTTTAGTTTAGGGATGAATTTCAGACTGAGAGATAAATTGAGGTACCTAAAGTGAACTTGCTCAATTTCACGTCCTCGTACTCAATTTCACATGGTACGTACTATGCTACCACGTTACCAGGCTACCAGCACATGAAATTGTGCCCTCAAATATGTACATAAAAGCCGTGAGTTTATTTTAGATGTACAACATATATACAATGGAAGGAATTTATATGTTCGTTCTGCAATGAATCTAGTCGACTATAAAGGGAACCTGTAGCCTACGGATGGCATGGAGAATAACTTGTTTCGGAATCATTTTAGGCATTAATGAAGGTAACTAGGTAAGGCCGCAAGGGTGAACATCACTCACGATCAGGTGTATTATCTATATTCTTTTTTAGATTATTAATTAGACGTGTTACACGGTAACATCTGATTACCCTGACATGTTAGCTTTGTGAAAGAAAAAAATATTGACCGAACTCATCATTCCATCTACCGTAGCTGCAAGCCTGCAAGGCCCCCGACACACAAGTTTACAGCAGGTTGCATGAATTCTGAAACAAACGGGTTCTTACCTTTATTCTGTATTTCAATTATGATTTTACCTTTTTTTTTAGGATTTGTGTTTTCATCCCTACTTTTTTCAAACGAAAATTCAATTTGCCCGGTGTGTGAATTCAACTGTAAAAAGACATGTATTTTAGAATTTGTATCCCAAAATTTCATAGAATTTTGATAGCATTTTCACATAATTCGAATGGTTGCGAAACTTCAGCACTAATATTTACATAAATTCCTCGCAAGTCACAAATACTATGAGATGGGAAAAAACAAAAGGAAAATCAAGCAGCAACGGCATCGTTCGTCTTTGTGGACGAACTGCCCGCCGTATATGTGTCGTTGTTGCCGTCGTGCCACGCCATGCTGCTCACTGCTCAACTGCCTGTAATGCTGCGCCGGAGCGCTGCCGCCGGCCGCTCGCCGCAGCCTTCCCGTGGTGATGCGCAAGATCTGCCGCCTTCCCGTGTGTTGCGCCGTAGCTGTTGCTGGCTCGCCGTAGCCCGCTGTTGTCTTCCCGTGGCGCTGTGCCAGAGCCGCCGCCAGCTACCCGCCTACCCCCAGCCTCAGCCGCTAACTGCTCGAGTTCTACACAGGACTTGGATAGGAATATTTGAATGGGAACGGCTGAACGAATACTGTGTTGGGGGTACAATAGTCCTTTTGCACTTCGTTAATATTTTTCTCTTTTATTTTATCTCACAAATCTGGGCCACCTAACAACCATTTAGAATTGGGGCAAACTGAAGCTTTCTTAGCAAAAAGTAAAGGTAAAAACACCAATCTAAAAAAGAAGGGTAAAATCATAATTGCAACATAAAATAGGGGCAATAACACAGTTGTCCTTGAAATAAATGGTTGATTAAATTTTTAATGGATCATGGGTGAAACATTAAGTTATACATGCTGAAAAAAATAGCAAATGAATTATTTAAAAAGTTTATGAAATGAAAACATATGTTAAAACATATGTATTACTTTCATCAAAATATAATCATGTTATATATTGTTGTAAAGATTTAATTACAACAAACATAATGGTGCGATCATACCGTAGATTGGATAAATAGTTTAGAAGAAAATTTATTTTAAAAATTACTACATGCATGTAATATGAGAGAGAGGGAGTAGCCACATTATCACGCATGCAACATTAAATTTTAACTGTTGAAAGATATATTTTTCTTTAAGTAGAATATAGTCATATGACATCTTGTCGAAAAGATTTAATTATAACGAATACAATAGTGTGATCGGATTATAAAACAGAATAATAATTGTAAGATTAA